ACTAACCAAAAAGGTGTTAAACAATTCAAAATATATTATTTATTTGAGATTCTTCAAATAGCCACCCTTTGCCTTGATGACAGCTTTGCACACTCTTGGCATTCTCTCAACCAGCTTCACCTGGAATGCTTTTCCAACAGTCTTGAAGGAATTCCCACATATGCTGAGCACTTGTTGGCTGCTTTTCCTTCACTCTGCGGTCCGACTCATCCCAAACCATCTCAATTTGGTTGAGGTCGGGGGATTGTGGAGGCCAGATCATCTGATACAGCACTCCATCACACTCCTTCTTGGTAAAATAGCCCTTACACAGCCTGGAGGTGTGTTGGGTCATTGTCCTGTTGAAAAACAAATGATAGTCCCACTAAGCCCAAACCAGATGGGATGGCGTATCGCTGCAGAATGCTGTGGTAGCCATGCTGGTTAAGTGTGCCTTGAATTCTAAATAAATCACAGACAGTGTCACCAGCAAAGCACCCCCACACCATAACACCTCCTCCTCCATGCTTTACGGTGGGAAATACACATGCGGAGATCATCCGTTCACCCACACTGCGTCTCACAAAGACCAAAGGACAAATTTCCACCGTTCTAATGTCCATTGCTCGTGTTTCTTGGCCCAAGCAAGTCTCTTCTTCTTATTGGTGTCATTTAGTAGTGGTTTCTTTTCAGCAATTTGACCATGAAGGCCTGATTCACACAGTCTTCTCTGAACAGTTGATGTTGAGATGTGTCTGTTACTTGAACATTTATTTGGGCTGCAATTTCTGAGGCTGGTAACTCTAATGGACTTATCCTCTGCAGCAGAGGTAACTCTGGGTCTTCCATTCCTGTGGCTGTCCTCATGAGAGCCAGTTTCATCATAGCGCTTGATGTTTTTTTGCGACTGCACTTGAAGAGACTTTCAAAGTTCTTGAAATGTTCCGTATTGACTGTCCTTCATGTCTTAAAGTAATGACGGACTGTCGTTTCTCTTTGCTTATTTGAGCTGTTCTTGCTATAATATGGACTTGGTCTTTTACCAAATAGGGCTATCTTCTGTATACCCCCCCCTACCTTGTCACAACACAGCTGATTGGCTCAAACGCATTAAGAAGGAAAGAAATTCCACAAATCAACTTTTTAGAAAGCACACCTGTTAATTTAAATGCATTCCAGGTGACTACCTCATGAAGCTGGTTGAGAGAATGCCAAGAGTGTGCAAAGCTGTCATCAAGGCAAAGGGTGGCTATTTGAAGAATCTCAAATATAAAATATATTTTGATTTGTTTAACACTTTTTTGATTAATACATGATTCCATATGTGTTATTTCAATATTTTTGATGTCTTCACTATTATTCTACAATGTAGAAAATAGTAAAAATAAAGAAAACCCCTTGAATGAGTAGGTGTTCTAAAACTTTTGACCGGTATGTCAATCACTTCTCGAATTCTTCTCGGGCCTAACAACACCCGTGACAATATAGGGTGTGTTCGTAAATTCACTCTGGCTGTCTACTCCGATTTCAGAGCACTCTCTTCTGAGTGTGCCAGAGCGTAAAATAATAGATGCATTTACGAATCCGCAACACCTGTGGTATATGACCGGGGTCAGTAAACGTTGGCCAAAAAACGTAATTCAATTCTTGCCAGCAGCACAGTTACAGTCACCAATGCTCTAGATAACATGAAAACAGCCTAACCAGCTCTGCTAGGGTGAAATGGGAGATTATGTCTAGATGCTTTTTACAGTGTAGATCTAGTATATAAATTGCCTGGCTGGGCTGATGAGACAGTGGATTGCTCAGTCAGATGGAACAGAGTAAATAAGCATTTTAATGTCATAGATTTAGCCGGTGGTAACTTGTAGAATAGACACTGGCTGGAATGCGGTTTTAACCAATCAGCATTCAGGATTACACCCACCTGTTGTATAACTAACAATATGATGGGATGTATAGACATTATGGACAGTATATGGTTAGAATATGTAATATATCTGAAGAATATGTACGATAGAATAGTATATGTACAGCAATAGTTAAATAGGATAGTCCTTGACTAGAATACAGTATATTACATATGATGTGGGTAAAACAGTATGCAAACATTATTGAAGTGACCAGTGTTCCATTAAAGTGACCAATGTTCCATGTCTATGTACATTGGCAGGAGCCTTTATGGTGTCTGCTAAATGACTAAAATGTAAAATGTAAAAATATGGTGCAGGGTAGAGTACCGGGTGGTGGCCGGCTAGCAACAGTGACTAAGTTCAGGGCAGGGTACTGGGCGGAGGCCGGTTGGTGGTGACTATTTAACAGTCTGATGGCTTTGAGATAGAACCTGTTTTAGTCTCTTGGTCCCAGCTTTGATGCACCTGTACTGACCTCGCCTTCTGTACAGGCTGTGGCTCGGATTGCTGAGGTTCTTGGTGATCGTTTTGGCCTTCCTGTGACACCGGGTGCTGTAGATGTCCTGGAGGGCAGGCAGTGTGTCCCCGATGATGCGTTGGGCAGACCGAACCACTCTCTGGAGAGCCCTGCGGTTGCGGACGGTGCAGTTGCCGTACCAGGCGGTGATACAGCCCGACAGAATGCTCTCAATGGTGCATCTGTAAAAGTTTGTACACTAGAAGGTATAATAGTAATAAATGTCCCACTTCTACCTTTAATTTAAACAATTTATCAAGCAACATTTCATAGTTCAATGTGAATACAATAAGGAGATTCAAGAAGAAGAAGAATACGTTATTGTCCATCGTAATTTTCTGATTCTGGTCATTCATCTTCATTTTACTTTTAAATCCAGCCCTATTCAGTAAAGTCTTACTATTAGTTCACTGTACTAGGAATAGGTAGGATACTAAGGGCAATGGTCTTCTTCTCTGGTGTCATACTAACTAATTGTATCTGCTCTTCTTCTGTGGTGTCCCCCCCGGCAGGCTTTAACACTCTGGATGCAGCGAGGGTCTTCCACAAGCTGATGGAGCGTCTGTGATTCTCTGAGTATTATCTGCAGGGAGGAGACAGGGGCTCACTCATCACTACCAACATGGCCCAGATGAAGCCATAGTAAGAACAGAGTCCCAATTATCCACTCTTTTCTAGATGTGTGCACTTGTACACTCCCAATCATGGATTTGAAAGGATGTGATTGGTGTAAGCATTGGCTGGAGTGATATGCCAGTATGGTTTATTGCTTCCAGTTGAAGCTTGCATCTGCTACAAGACCATGGTGCTTGCCTACGGAGCTGTGAGGGGAACGGCACCTCCGTACCTTCAGGCTCTGATCAGTCCCTACACCCAAACGAGGGCATTACGTTAATCCACCTCTGGCCTGCTGGCCCCCCTACCTCTGCGGAAGCACAGTTCCCGCTCAGCTCAGTCAAAACTGTTCGCTGCTCTGGCACCCCAATGGTGGAACAAGCTCCCTCACGACGCCAGGACAGCGGAGTCACTCACCACCTTCCGGAGACACTTGAAACCCCACCTCTTTAAGGAATACCTGGGATAGGATAAAGTAATCCTTCTACCCCCCCAAAAAAATAAAATAATAATAATAATTTTTTGTAAAGTGGTTGTCCCTCTGGCTATCATAAGGTGAATGCACCAATTTGTAAGTCGCTCTGGATAAGAGCGTCTGCTAAATGACGAAAATGTAAATGTAAATGTTTAATCCATGAGAAAAAAAGTGTGCATCAGTACACTTTGGGAGAAGGGTGGAAAATCGGGACGCAGCCTAAGAACAGAGACAGCTTGCCCCAATCCTCTCCCTTCTCCTTCCCCTTGGAACCCTTCCCCTTTAGTCTTTGTTGATCTGTTAGGTGGAAGCAAGCAATATGGTGGAAGCGCCACCACTATACTGCTTACACCTACACAGACCTTTCAGATCTGCAAATTTCGAAGGGTTAGGGCCACAGGGACATTAGTGTACCCAGATTCAAATGTTTTAAGAGCATTGAACTTGAGTCAAATCATCCACACTAAACCCCACTAAGCAGACGACCCCCTTTGTTTAATTCTCTCATTAAAATTATATTTTTTTTCTCTCTTTTTATTCCAGTTTTATTATTTTTATACCCTTTTTTTCTCTCTTCCTGTGCTACTGTGGGTGTGTGAAAGGTCTCCACCTCAACATGTTAACTGGCAAACAGAGGGTGTTGGGTGTCCTGTTTTCTGTCCTGATTGGTTGCTACCTGCCCTGGCTGGTTGGGTTCACCCGGGAGGATGTCAGGAGTTTGTATGGCTCAGTAGGTCTCATGTAGGGGAACGTGCTGTATATACGAGATCCTCAGGGAGACTGGCTACCTGCACATCCAGGCCACCAAGCCAGACTCCGCTGGTGAGAACGTGATCATCACACACGTTTTTACCTCACTGTCAAACACACAAACTGCCCATCTGAAATTCAAAGTAGTAATATGATGTATTGTATGATCATATATGTTTTTAACCTGTGATATCGTTTGTGGAAGCAACAGCACTTTTTAATGTCCAAAACACATTTCCCCTCAGGGACAACAAAATAAATTCTAAATCCTAATCCAGGCGTTCTGAAGAAACCTATATTTGCTGGATTCGAGGTGGCTGTAGTCATGTTGTGGACTGTCTTCCCCTGCAGGTTGAGGGGTGAATGACACGCCAGCAGGCCTGGCTGCCTAAAGACTGGAATAGTTATCCACCTGGACTGACTTAAACAACATGGACTTGGGTAACACTTTATTTGATTAGTCCATCTGTAGATGTTCTACAGATTATCAGTAACATTTCAACTAACCCTAAACTTAATCCTTACCCTAACCCTTATTGTAAACTGAACCTTAACCTTAGATAGTGCACTACTTTTGACCCTATTGGCCCAGATCAAAAGTAAAGCACTATATAGGGAATAGAGTACAATTTTCAGAGGCAGACACAGCATTCTTCCTGTTGTCGGAGCTGCTGATTGGTCATTGATAAAGCCTTCTTCTTCCTGTCTTTAGGAAGTTCACCCTGGACTACCTGCTGACCAACACCGTGATCTACTGGACCACGGGTTCCATCGTCTCCTCCATGAGGTTCTACAAAGAGAACCTCAAGACCAACATCGAGAACAGACTGGATAACGAGTGAGTGTTTGTGTGGAGGCACAGTGCTCCAGTATGACATGAGGCTGTTGGCTTTCTCCCTAAAGGGCCTGTCATTTAATACCTATTTTAATAAAAAGAATATGCCATAAGTGATTTACAGTACATTTGTAGTTGTTGTATGTGATCCTTGCAGGACTTGAACCCATGACCAACTGAATTACAGAGCCCTAATCATGTTTGCTTTGGGTTATGATAACAGGCTCCTAATGAGGGGCTGGAAGTGGTTGTTTGACCTACTTTAGTTGAATGCCCTGATTCTAAGTCACCCTGGGAAAGAGCGTCTGCTAAATGAGAGTCTGCTATGAATAAAATGTAAATGTGCGGCAGTGTTTGTTCACCTCTCTTGTGTCCTCAGGAAGGTGTACAATATGTGCTTACAGGCCTGGCGGCGTTCCTCAATGAGATAACATTGTGCCCCAGCCGTGGGCCAGGTTCAGGAACATCTACTCCTACTTCCCCCGAGGAGGCCACTTCGCTGCATTCGAAGAGCCACAGCTCCTGGCCAACAACCTGCTGCAGTTTGTTAGGAAGATGGAGAAGTGGTAGGGCTGATGATGCAACAGCAGCCAATCCCAAATTGCTCCCTACCCCTCTATGTTCTGTAGGTTCTGGATAGCTACACTGCTCAAAAAAATAAAGGGAACACTTAAACAACACAATGTAACTCCAAGTCAATCACACTTCTGTGAAATCAAACTGTCCACTTAGGAAGCAACACTGATTGACAATACATTTCACATGCGGTTGTGCAAATGGAATAGACAACAGGTGGAAATTATAGGCAATTAGCAAGACACCCCCAATAAAGGACTGGTTTTGCAGGTGGTGACCACAGACCACTTCTCAGTTCCTATGCTTCCTGGCTGATGTTTTGGTCACTTTTGAATGCTGGCGGTGCTTTCACTCTAGTGGTAGCATGAGACGGAGTCTACAACCCACACAAGTGGCTCAGGTAGTGCAGCTCATCCAGGATGGCACATCAATGCGAGCTGTGGCAAGAAGGTTTGCTGTTTCTGTCAGCGTAGTGTCCAGAGCATGGAGGCGCTACCAGGAGACAGGCCAGTACATCAGGAGACGTGGAGGAGGCCGTAGGAGGGCAACAACCCAGCAGCAGGACTGCTACCTCCACCTTTGTGCAAGGAGGAGCACTGCCAGAGCCCTGCAAAATGACCTCCAGCAGGCCACAAATGTGCATGTGTCTGCTCAAACGGTCAGAAACAGACTCCATGAGGGTGGTATGAGGGCCCGACGTCCACAGGTGGGGGTTGTGCTTACAGCCCAACTCCGTGCAGGACGTTTGGCATTTGCCAGAGAACACCAAGATTGGCAAATTCGCCACTGGCGCCCTGTGCTCTTCACAGATTAAAGCAGGTTCACACTGAGCACATGTGACAGATGTGACAGAGTATGGAGAAGCCATGGAGAACGTTCTGCTGCCTGCAACATCCTCCAGCATGACCGGTTTGGCGGTGGGTCAGTCATGGTGTGGGGTGGCATTTCTTTGGGGGGCCGCACAGCCCTCCATGTGCTCGCCAGAGGTAGCCTGACTGCCATTAGGTACCGAGATGAGATCCTCAGACCCCTTGTGAGACCATATGCTGGTGCGGTTGGCCCTGGGTTCCTCCTAATGCAAGACAATGCTAGACCTCATGTGGCTGGAGTGTGTCAGCAGTTCCTGAAAGAGGAAGGCATTGATGCTATGGACTGGCCCGCCCGTTCCCCAGACCTGAATCCAATTGAGCTGGGACATCATGTCTCGCTCCATCCACCAACGCCACGTTGCACCACAGACTGTCCAGGAGTTGGCGGATGCTTTAGTCCAGGTCTGGGAGGAGATCCCTCAGGAGACCATCCGCCACCTCATCAGGAGCATGCCCAGGCGTTGTAGGGAGGTCATACAGGCACGTGGAGGCCACACACACTACTGAGCCTCATTTTGACTTGTTTTATGGACATTACATCAAAGTTGAATCAGCCTGTAGTGTGGTTTTCCACTTTAATTTTGAGGGTGACTCCAAATCCAGACCTCCATGGGTTGATAAATTTGATTTCCATTGATAATTTTTTGTGTGATTTTGTTGTCAGCACATTCAACTATGTAAAGAAAAAAGTATTTAATAAGATTATTTCATTCATTCAGATATAGGATGTGTTATTTTAGTGTTCCCTTTATTTTTTTGAGCAGTGTATTAGAAGTGCAGTGGTGAAGTGCCCACCATATTTGCTGACACCTTAATAAAGATTTGCAGAAATGAAGGGTTAGGCCCAAAGAAAAGGAGAAGGAAGCGTTTGGGACCGTCAGGAGAAGGTGTGGGACGTGGATTTGGTATGTAATGAACATAACCCAGGTATGAGCACTGCACTCTCCAGCCAAGTGCCAGGAAGAGAACCAGCAGAACTTCAGGGACTTAGTTAGTTGTGCACCTCTGTGATAACACTAACTACTAACTATAGTCCAAGTTTCTCTAAAACCATTTTATACTGTAATCAAAGCTCAAAATCACAAACAACTGTCTTATCAAGTCAATATTTTAAATACTCTATCAAACGATGCTATTATCATTTAAGATCAATGTAATGTGATCAAGTTTAGTCATTTGACCGGGGTAGGCCGTCATTGTAAATAAGAATTTGTTCTTAACTGACTTGCCTAGATAAATAAAAAATAAACATAAATGATAATGTATACTATCAGTCAAAACATAATTAACCAGTACCGTAATAAGACAGCTGAATGATCAGCACTAATAGATTCAGGTTACAAATGTCTTCCATATTGCACAAGAACTGTGTGGAAGCAGCATCAATCATAGATGTTTCAGCTCTTTCCTTCTCTTGTCCTTGTTGCAATAATGCACTACTGCTGTAATCATGTCTATTGTGGAGACTGTAATGTCTGGCTTGTTTGTTAAGTCTGAAGTCTTTTGTAGTGTCTAATATTGGTGGGGCTGGTTTCCCGGAATAACCCAGACACAGCTTAAGCCTAGTCCTAGGCTGTATACTACAATTCAGCTTTTAGCTGCAAATGTGTACAATTCAAATAAACCTGAAATAATTTAGTGATCCAGCTAAAACTGACATACAGTACTCTATATTTACAAAATATTGTTTCAGACATCCATTTTTAAGCAATTGAAAACCAAGACACGACAACGAACAGTACAGGTAAAGCCAGTATTGCGTCTCAACCAGATGACAAGTAGGCATACTGTGCATAAAATCATTTAGTAGGCTATATTATACACAGTGAGAGCACCAACACTGCTTCATTACAGCATGTATCCAAGCTAAAAGTAAATACATAGCTAAGACAAAATATAATTAATTAAAATCATTCTGTACAGATCACACCAGTCATTCATATGAATTGTTATAAAAACACAGTCCCTGGACTGGGCTCAGGGTTACATAGGCTGCGTTTACACAGGCAGCACAATTCATATATTTTTTCCACTAATTGGTATTTCCTATCACATCAGATCTTTTCACAATATCTTTTTCAGACCTGATCTGAGATGGTCAAAAGACCAATTAGTGAATAAAATATCAGAACTGGACTGCCCGTGTAAACGCAGCCAGAGAGACAGGGGTCCCTGAGAGAGAGATGTATGGCAAATGCAGTGGCGGCTCCTGAAAACATTCTCAGGGGGGGCAATTTTTCTGATGATTTAGGTGACCTACACACATTTAAAAAAAGATATGTCCAGCAACAACATGAAGACAGGGGCAGCATATAAGTCAATACTGATATACACATTACTTGCTTCAAAAAGGCCTCATGGTTGAATTGGAAATATGTGCACCTGAGCATAATTCACAACAAGCAAGCAGGAGCTTTTGATAGAGGCTACTGAAAACATTGATGCAAGTTATTGGTAATAAGACATTTTTATAGACTTCCATATTCTGCCCTCTTGTATAGATTTGTGAAAATGAACAGTGATAGACATTTTGCCTGAAAACAGAATTTGAAAATAATTTCTAGAAAAGGTAAACACAGCTATCTGTATGGCTTTGTAAAAATGAACAACCATATTCTGGCCAATTGTATAGATTTGTAAATATGATGATGTCTCCTTTCATGCATACATTTTCAAATAAAGCTCTGCTTTGAGAAAGATCGAATGATATTGTTTAATCTTACCTTATGGCCTGCACACTGCTTGTGAAGCTGTCGAGGGCACGTTTGATGAAGACAGCATCGATGTCCTTCTTCTGTAGCTTCTGGTACAGAATGTCGACGTGGGGCATGATTTTGTGAAAAAGCCCCAGGAAAAAAATAAAATCTTCTTGCTATCTATGTACCTCAGCACAAGCACCAGCTGTGTCTGTGTAGAAACGTCCGTGGTCTCGTCAGCTTGGATAGCTACGAAGTTCGCCGACTTCACCTCCTCCACAATATGTTCCCTCATGACCGCTAGCATACACTCCAGTAGCTCGTTTTGAATGGTCTTTGATGTGCCCTTGAAAACTTTAGCATTTTTAAGATGGTCATCAAACACCTCATCTAATTGTGCCACAAAGTTGACAAGTCCAAGAAAAATACCAGGGTTGGTGGAGCCCTCAGTTTCATCTTTGCCTCGCAAAGCTAACTCAAACACGCCGCAAAACTTCACACAATGGATTAGCCGGCTGAGGATGTGGCGGTTCTTGCTAACCTCATCGTTGTGGCGGCGGACAGCTAGCCTGTATCCCTCATCCAGTTGAGTGGCAATGTTCACTCTCCCCAAAGCAGACAATCTCAAACAGCTATCCATGTGGGTCTTTGACAGCTCATGTTTCTTAATCTTTTCTGAAAGATGGTGCATGTCGGTTACACCAGTCGCTGTCCAAGCGGTGCTGTCTGTCGTGCCGCCTTCAGGGTGAAAGAGTAAGCAGGGGTAGCAGAAGACTGCATTAGCTACATCGCAGCCTGCTAGCCAGGTTTTTCGTTCGTACCAATTTTTGGAAAATCCTCGGGTGTAGGACTTTCCCCCTTTAGTAGAAAGCTGTTGAATTATTAAATTTGGTCTGGGAGGTCCTAATTGTTTCGTTGCCAATTTATCTTGATTTGTTCGCAGACAAAAATGAACTTATTTCAAAGAGACAATCGAGTTGCACTGAACGCTAGCAATCTTGACAGTAGTACGTGAATTGATTGACGCTGCTACCCGCTCTTTTCTTAGTTATGTTCATGGTTATGTTACGTATGACGAAAGCGCGTACGTGCAAGCCCTCCCGGAACCCATAGAGATTGTATTGAAAGCTCTGATATTTGAAAAAAAAAAGATTTTACATGAGAGTCTGAGAGACTTCTGGGGCGATTTTCAACCTGACTGAAATCGCCCCAAAACGGGCGGGGCCATTTGAAGCACGACTTTAGCCTGATTGGACATTTAGTGGCAGATCAGACGTCTAGATTAGAACACTGAAAACTACTGTTGCCGTGATATAATTGATTAGAAAAAAAATCCCTTCCTTTTCCCGTTTGGCAGTGCGTCGCCCATATCGCCCATATCGCCCTAATGAACACACCGCCCCTGGGCAAATGTGTCAATCCACTCGGTCAACACTTGGGCTGCGTTTAAACAGGTCCATTTTCTCATATGATCTCAGAGTGCTGATCTAGGATCAGGTGCCCTCTATCCATATAATGTTGTGATCCAAAAGGTCAAACTGAACCTAGATCAGCTCTCCTACTCTGAGACACTTCATAAATGTGTAAGTCGCTCTGGAAAAGAGCGTCTGCTAAATGACTTAAATGTAAATGTCAATAAAGACGGGCCCAGTTTTGCCTTTAGATCAGTACGAGTAGGATTATATAGACGGGGCGACCGGATCCTAGATCAGCACTCTTACTTTCAGACTCTGAATACAGGACCCTGTCTCATCTCATACTATGGCTGTGGATGAGCGTACCTTCCTTGTCCCTTGTATGTCATTTACTGAAGCCTTTGATAGCCATGGGGGCCTGAAACCATACATAGTCCTGCCAGTCAGTCTGCCCTCCTCACAAGACAGAGAAATAACCTGGCTCTTCACCCGTGTGGGGACCTTGAAATCCAGCTTGGGCCGGAACCGCAAGGAGACGCGGAGGCTCAGGTCGCCGGCGGCTAGTATCACGTCCTCCATGTTGACTTCGTACAGCTCCTTGGGAAGGAGGAGGGAGCCCCCAAGCAGGAGGAGCACGCGGGGGACCAGGGAGAGGGAGAAGAGCACCTCCAGTTGTTGTAGCACCTCCTCAAGGTCTTGGAGGGTACGCTGGCACCTCCTCCAGTCCAGGCCTGCGGCGGACTGACCGGGCCTCCAGCCCACCACCGCCTCATTCTTGGGTAAAGAGGAAGAGAGAGGGCCTGAGGTCAAACAACAACTCATAGATCCTAGACAACACTGCTAGGAGTAGGGCTATTATAGCAGCCAGTGTTACTTCGATTCCTCGTCCCCATCTTCTAAACTGTATTGGAGGAGGTTCCCAAGGTTCATCCCCTCCGACCTTCTCCAATGTGTTTTGAGGAGGTGAGGAGAGACGAAGCAAGGAATCGAGGAAAGGCAAATTGAGAAACTGTCATTGATGTTAAATATGTAGTGAAAGAAACATATTGCAGACATCACCTGCCAGGTTAAGGATCTGTGGCTAGAACAATAGAATAATCTGATAGGTCCACCTTAGATTTAGAGCAGATCACACTGTCAAATCACTGTCAAATAACAACTTTTTAGGCAATAGGCTGTCATTAGTCTCGGAAACCCAGACCCTAGGCACCATTGTGGGAGGCAACCAGTCTAGGCTGTCATCAATTTTGCAATACAAACAATTGCTATAACTGTTTCAAAGAATTGATCACCTGACGTATGCGTATGACCTGGCTGACTGACGTATGATACATTTATCATGGACATGGAGAGAGATACTGTAGCTACAAGTACTGTAGTTACCTACATGCAACACGTGAACATCATGCGCAAGTGAATAAGAATACAAGAGAGACGCACCAACATCAGAGACACCAGCGTGGATGTAGTTTTCCTTATCTTCCGTGCCTACTACGATATCTTTGGATTTCATCTCATCTGACGATAGCTTATTTGAATTGGAGCTGTTTGGTGTGGTACAATTGCTTGTTGTTGTCGGTGTTTTCTGGGATAGTCGCCAGAGGTTTCCGTAGCTGGTGGTTCGTCTGAGAAGTTGTTTGTCCGGCTAGGGACGTTACATTCGGTGTCGAATTGAATGTGTATGTTGATCCCGTTTCCTTGCGAAGTTAGGACGCATTTTTGATTGAAGGTTGTGATCATTTGTAAATGTATTCGTTGTCTCTACTCTCCCCATGAGAATTTCCCTGCTCGTTCGTTTTGAAAAACTCCACTCAGTGCGTTGCATCATGGGAAACGTGGGTAGACGAGTCAAATATGTTTTAATTTATCTCATTGTTTTATCTGTGGACGAGTGTTAGAAAGTCATTGCTAGAAGGGATCCAGCTTTGCTATGAAAATTCAAATCGGACTTTAATTTGACAAAAGCTCCCTTTCGAAAAAATATTGACCTAATGCTTTGAACACACCGACTGTGTTTTTGCGTTTTGGTACACTAGAAGTATATTCATTTCCAATGGAACGCTGCGTTTGCTTACAACATTACGTTGCAGAGGCAGTTGCAGTGCAGTATGTGTCAAACTGTATGTGTAAACGGGTTGCCAGAAATGGTAACAGAAGGTGATGTTGAACTTGTGTAGCACACATCTCTAGATGATGCTGAATAATGGGTTAGAGTGCAGTATAACTGCAGGATGCGTAAAATACTGCGTTTTTTTTTACTGAAGGAATTTTGCAGTGTAACTGCAGTTAGAGTGCAGTATAATTGCAGTTCAACTACAGTACACAATAGTTATTCTGCAATTACTGCGTCCAAAATACCAAAGTCGACTGCAGTTACTGCACTTTTACTGCAGTTTCAAAACGACAATATTTTTTTGTAAGTGCTGGTTCAAAGAAGTTTATAGCTAACCTAAGACACTGCCTGTCTTCTTCTTCTTCTTCTTCTTCTTCTATGATATCATGGCAGACCACAAATAAATGTTTAAAGTGCATCCGCCACCTACTGTGCTGGAATGTCCGATCAATCATGATCTGCCCAATTCTATACTACCATGAAAATAAAATTCCAAACCAAATAAATCCCTACTAACTTCTACCACACCCTCTCCCCCAAAAAACCTCCCCAACCCCATTAAACTTGATCTATATCATGCTGAAACAATCCACCCTTAGGATTGTTCAGCATGTCAACAACCATTTCAACAGTAACATCTGTTACCCCCAATATCTCTTTTGCCATCTCCACAATAACCTTCAACCTGGCATTTCTGCTTTCCATAACCCAAGTCGTATTGATAACCTTACCAATAAAATATATGAAGTCAACTTTATTCATTTTCAAAGTGCCCTTTGACACCGCACATTCATGAGCACAACATTTCTGAACAGGCCTTGAAACCATGCCAGGACCATCAGAAGCACCAGCCCCTACAGTAGGTCCACTTACTACAGGAACATCCATGTAAGCTCCATCAGTCCGCATTGTAGTTCTACTAATCTGTTTTAATAATATAATAATAATAATATGCCATTTAGCAGACGCTTTTATCCAAAGCGACTTACAGTCATGCGTGCATACATTTTTTTTTTTGTATATGGGTGGTCCCGGGGTTCGACCCCACTACCTTGGCGTTACAAGCGCCGTGCTCTACCAGCTGAGCTACAGAGGACCACATCCTCTGTATATGTTACATCATGACGGATCCTATATCTCCAGCCTCTCCCTGCACCTGGCATCCACCAAATGCTGCACTGTGTTCTCGCCCACAATTACAGCACTTAACCTCTTAAGGATCAGACCCTTTTTTTCCAATTTTCGCCTAAAATAACATACCCAAATCTAACTGGCTGTAGCTCAGGACGTGAAGCAAGGATATACATATTCTTGAAACCATTGAAAGGAAACACTTTGAAGTTTGTAGAAATTAATGTAGGAGAATATAACACCTTAGATCTGGTAAAAGATAATAAAAAATAAAAAAACATGCATTTTCTATATACAGTGAGGGAAAAAATTATTTGATCCCCTGCTGATTTTGTATGTTTGCCCACTGACAAAGACATGATCAGTCTATAATTTTAATGGTAGGTTTATTTGAACAGTGAGAGACAGAATAACAACAAAAAAATCCAGAAAAACGTATGTCAAAGATGTTTGATGATGATTTGCATTTGATTTGCATTTGAATGAGGGAAATAGGTATTTGACCTCTCTGCAAAACATGACTTAGTACTTGGTGGCAAAACCCTTGTTGGCAATCACAGAGGTCAGACGTTTCTTGTAGTTGGCCACCAGGTTTGCACACATCTCAGGAGGAATTTTGTTCCACTCCTCTTTGCAGATCTTCTCCAAGTCATTAAGGTTTCGAGCCTGACATTTGGCAACTCGAACCTTCAGCTCCCTCCACAGATTTTCTATGGGATTAAGGTCTGGAGACTGACTAGGCCACTCCAGGACCTTCATGTGCTTCTTCTTGAGCCACTCCTTTGTTGCCTTGGCCGTGTGTTTTGGGTCATTGTCATGCTGGAATACCCATCCACGACCCATTTTCAATGCCCTGGCTGAGGGAAGGAGGTTCTCACCCAAGATTTGACGGTAGATGGCCCCGTCCATCGTCCCTTTGATGCGGTGAAGTTGTCCTGTCCCCTTAGCAGAAAAACACCCCCAAAGCATAATGTTTCCACCTCCATGTTTGATGGTGGGGATGGTGTTCTTGGTGTCATAGGCAGCATTCCTCCTCCTCCAAACACGGCGAGTTGAGTTGATGCCAAAGAGCTCGATTTTGGTCTCATCTGACCACAACACTTTCACCCAGTTCTCCTCTGAATCATTCAGATGTTCATTGGCAAACTTCAGACGGCCCTGTTTATGTGCTATATCTTGCTTCTGTGGACAGGTGTCTTTTATACAGGTAACAAGCTGAGATTAGGAGCGCTCCCTTTAAGAGTGTGCTCCTAATCTCAGCTCGTTACCTGTATAAAAGACACCTGGGAGCCAGAAATCTTTCTGATTGAGAGGGGGTCAAATACTTATTTCCCTCATTAAAATGCAAATCAATTTATAACATTTTTTACATGCGTTTTTCTGGATTTTGTTGTTGTTATTCTGTCTCTCACTGTTCAAATAAACCTACCATTAAAATTATAGACTGATCATGTCTTTGTCAGTGGGCAAACGTACAAAATCAGCAGGGGATCACTGTATATATTTTTTCATCATCTTTGAAATGTAAGAGAAAGGCCACAATATAATATTGCAGTTTAGGCGCAATTTAGATTTTGGCAGTGTGTGCAAAGTTTCAGATTGATCCAGTGAAGCATTGCAATACTGGACTATTTTGTGCCGAATTGGTCAATTGATACATTTTCAAGTACATAACTATAGAGAACATACAAAAATGATATGGTAATACAAAATGTAAGTTTACACACTCCCAGGAATGTCATACATGATGGATCATTAGCTTACACACTAACTTTCACACATCTAGATGGCCGGGCAGGGTAGGTGTGGAGCCAGAGACAGCAGGGGTTCAAACTGTAGAACCCAGTTCCTACATTTGAATATAAAAATTGATTTTATCAAACCAAACTATGCTACATTTTATCTCTGGGACCCTCAGGATGACAAATCAGAGCAAGATTACTGAATGTAAGTACATTATTTACCTTCAGAGGTGAACGTATCAAACCAGTTGCAGTGATACGTTTTTTGTTGTTGTGCACTCTCCTCAAACAATAGCATGGTATTTTTTCACTGTAATAGCTACTGTAAATTGGACAGTGCAGTTAGATTAACAAGAATTTAAGCGTTCTGCCCATATAAGACATGTCTATGTCCTGGAAAGTTTGCTGTTACTTACAACAGTCATGCTAATCACATTAGTGCACGTTAGCTCAACCGTCCCGTATACGGGACTTCGATCCCGTAGAGGTTAACCTTCACATTGCTTCCACAGTCACCGTAAACAGGCAAAGTGCAAGTGGCAGGTAGTGTAATTACAGTGTAATTACCTAAAGAGAGGAACATTGTCCAGTCAATTATGTTGTTCTCTCCAAGGATATTCCTAAAAGAAGCTTAATCTTTAGTAAAAACACATCTTTAAAAAGGTCCCCCTCCTGCAAAATGGGCAAATGAGGAGTTGAGACAACAAAATACACATTAGTTCTATAAGTTTGGTACGGGTGCATCTTTATTAACTAATTTCAGGTAGTTACCTTCTCACATAATGGTTTGCAGAGAATTACATTGAATTCTGGCCAGCGGTCCACATAAACCTGAATTGGGTCAGCCTTAACTCTGTTAATCTGGAAAATATAACCGTAAACCTTGACAGACAAGGCAAAAAGAACCCCTAGACACTACAGATAAAATTGGACATGGAGAAATATACAGTTGAAGTCGGAAGTTCACATGTACCTTATCCAAATACATTTAAACTCAGTTTTTCACAATTCCTGACATTTAATCCTAGTAAAAATTCCCTGTCTTAGGTCAGTTAGGATCACCACTTTATTTTAAGAATGTGAATGTCAGAATAATAGTAGAGAGAATGATTTATTTCAGCTTTTATTTCTTTAATCACATTCCCAGTGGGTCAGAAGTTTACATACACTCAATTAGTATTTGGTAGCATTGCCTTTAAATTGTTTAACTTGGGTCAAATGTTTCAGGTAGCCTTCCACAAACTTCCCACAATAAGTTGGGTGAATTTTGGCCCATTCCTCCTGACAGAGCTGGTGTAATTGAGTCAGGTATGTAGACCTCCTTGCTCACACAAGCTTTTTCAGTTCTGCCCACACATTTTCTATAGGATTGAGGTCAGGGCTTTGTGATGGCCACTCCAATACCTTGACTTTGTTGTCCTTAAGCCATTGTCCATTTGGAAGACTATCGTATCTGAAGATTATGCCTTTGTTAAATGTTTTGGAGGAACAAAGAATGTTGTTTTATGATCTTAGTTCAAATGTAGCGTTGGGAGGGTGATGCCCCAGGGGAGACTGGTGATTGGCCAGAAGAGGGGAGTCACTCCTCTTTTTGCATTGTTTATAAATAGGGGGTAAACGATGAGACGGCAGAACGGCCATAGCAATCTGGGAGCCGTTCTCCGGACATCGCGAGTCTGTATCTATGCTGTAAATTCGTGATTTTAATAAAAGCCTCTAACACGATGCAGCATAGCGGACTTTTTGTTGACAGCAATAATTGCTACCACTCATCATATACGACAAGACCCATTTGCGACCAAGCTTAAACTTCCTGACTGATGTCTTGAGATGTTGCTTCAATATATCCACATAATTTTCCTTCCTCATGATGCCATCTGTTTTGTGAAGTGCACCAGTCCCTCCTGCAGCAAAGCACCCCCACAGCATGATGCTGCCATCCCCGTGCTTCACGGTTGGGATGGTGTTCTTCGGCTTGCAATTCCTCCCTTTTTCCTCCAAACATAACGATGGTCATTATGGCCAAACAGTTATATTTTTGTTTCATCAGACCAGAGGATATTTCTTCAAAAAGTACGATCTTTGTCCCCATGTGCAGTTGCAAAAAGTAGTCTGTATGGCGGTTTTGGAGCAGTGGCTTCTTCCTTGCTGAGCGGCCTTTCAGGTTATGTCGATATAGTACTCGTTTTACTGTGGACATATATACTTTTGTACCTGTTTCCTCCAGTATCTTCACAAGATCCTTTGCTGTTGTTCTGGGATTGATTTGCACTTTTCGCACCAAAGTACGTTCATCTCTAGGAGACAGAACGCGTCTCTTTCCTGAGCGGTATGAGGGCTGCGAGGTCCCATGGTGTTTATACTTGCGTACTATTGTTTGTACCGATGAATGTGGTACCTTCAGGCGTTTGGAAATTGCTCCCAAGGATGAACCAGACTTGTGGAGGTCTACAATTGTTTTTCTGAAGTCTTGGCTGATTTCTTTTGATTTTCCCATGATGTCAAGCAAAGAGGCACTGAGTTTGAAGGTAGGCCTTGAAATACATCCACAGGTACACCTCCAATTAGCCTATCAGAAGCTTCTAAAGCCATGAGATCATTTTCTGGAATTTTCCAAGCTGTTTAAAGGCACAGTCAACTTAATGTATGTAAACTTCTGACCCACTGGAATTGTGATACAGTGAATTATAAGTGAAATAATCTGTCATGCACAAAGTAGATGTCCTAACCGACTTGCCAAAACTATAGTTTGTTAACAAGAAATGTGTGGAGTGGTTGAAAAACTAGTTTTAATGACTCCAACCTAAGTGTATGTAAACTTCCGACTTCAACTGTACAAATACATGACAGTTCCCTATCTGTTACGTGTGAAGTGGCTCAGGAGGTAGAGCATGGAGCTTGCAACGCCAGGGTTGAGGGTTCGATTCACACAGTGGACCAATACGTATCCACTCACTACTGTAAGTTGCTCTGGATACGAGCGTCTGCTAAATGACTAAAATGTAAATGTTGCTGTTATACACTGAGTGTACAAAACATTAGGAACAAGTCACTGAATGTCCTTGAGTGGCCCGGACTTGAACACGATCAAACATCTCTGGAGAGACCTGAAAATAGCTCTGCAGCAACGCTCCCCATCCAACCTGACAGAGCTTGAGATGAACTGCGGAGCAGAATGGGAGAAACTCCCGAAATCCATGTGTGCCAAGCTTGTAGCGTCATACCCAAGGAGACTCGAGGCTGTAATCACTGCCAAAGGTGCGTCAACAAAGTTCTGAGTAAAGTGTCTGAATACTTACAGTACCAGTCAAAAGTTTGGACACACCTACTCATTCAAGGGTTTTTCTTTATATTTACTATTTTCTACATTGTAGAATAATAGTGAAGACATCAAAACTACGAAATAACACATATGGAATCATGTAGTAACCAAAAGTGTTAAACAAATCAAAATATATTTTATATTTGAGATTCTTCAAAGTAGCCACCCTTTGCCTTGATGACAGCTTTGCACACTCTTGGCATTCTCTCAACCAGCTTCATGAGGCAGTAACCTGGAATGTATTTCAATTAACAGGTGTGCCTTGTTAAAAGTTAATTTGTGGAATTTCTTTCCTTCTTAATGCGTTTGAGCCAATCAGTTGTGTTGTGACAAGGTAGGGGTGGTATACAGAAGATAGACCAAGTCCATATTATGGCAAGAGCAGCTCAAATAAGCAAAGAGAAGCGACAGTCCATCATTTATTTAAGACATGAAGGTCAGTCAATCTGGAAAATTTTAAGAACTTTGAAAGTTTCTTCAAGTGCAGTGGCAAAAACCATAATTGTCTCTCTGACCTATTATCAATTTTTAAATGTTGTGATATACAACAGGTGTGATGCCTTACGGGGCGGACTGGGACCAGAAATCGGCCCTGGCATTTCAAACACACAGGCCCATTTTTTTCCTTGAGGCCCCCATTAGCCAGATAATGATCATTTTTCGCAACACAAAAAACTAGTTACAGGCCCACTGGGCTAAAAACCGACCAACCCATCTGCCTTTTGCCAGATAGCCAGCTGCCCCTGCTTAAATGTGGAATGTATGAGCCTTTATGATGTCTTATTATATTTTCATCTGTCCCGTCCTGTTTTCTGTGGTCTATGTGACTCATTGGGCGTGACTGAAAGTTGTATTTCTCAACCGTGGACACATTCTTGTGAAAATAACACATCTATAGCTTACTTTGTAAAGGAGTGGTTTGGGCATATGCCAACAAAATTAGACAAATAACTACATGTAAATGTTCCAAAGCATTTCTTTATTTAGGTAACTGTTGCATCATTTTAATACTACATTTTCAAGATAGCAGTGTTTGTATTAAGTGCTTATATTAGTGTGGGAATGCAATACGTTTTAAAATCAGTTATTAGTTGGATTCTCTGAATATATCCTTGAGAAGGAGGTTGAACTGCATTGGTAAGACTAACAAATAACACTAGATAATACTGGTTATTTGGTAGACTAGACATTGATTGAAGTCTTCTTCTCTTCATTGTGTCTTTACTGCTTGCACTGGTTCTTGACCATCTGGATTTCGCTCAGCCAGGGGCGGCTCCACACCTCGAAGGTGCACTGGTAGGGCTGAGGAGACAGAAAGCAACATGAAGCAACATGAGTTGGCATAATAACATAACCTTTCAGCAAGCAGAACGCTTGACAAAGGGCTTGTTCGACATTGCAGCCGACTGCCTGAACTACAAATCAACTTGCATCATAAATAACTATTCATTATCAGTCAGTCACAATTCACAGTTTTGATGCTCTCGAACACGGCCAAAGGCTGCACACACATTAGTCTATATACACTGAGTGTACAAAACATTATTCCTAATATTGAGTTGCAGTGCCAGTCGCCTGAGCACAAACCGATCCGGGACCAGGCTAGTCTAGGCCCTAGTGGTCCTTACCGCAGCCATCTCCGGGTCCTTGTGCACGGAGCAGACCTTCTCAACACCTCCCTTCCTGCACGGGGTCCTGGCCATCTGCACTGTGAAGATGTACTTCATCCCAGATACCACCTGTAGACAAGAGGCTGGGTTACAAGAGACTGGGATACAAGAGGCTGGGATACAAGAGGCTGGGATACAAGAGGCTGGGATACAAGAGGCTGGGATACAAGAGGCTGGGTTACAAGAGGCTGGGTTACAAGAGGCTGGGATACAAGAGGCTGGGATACAAGAGGCTGGGATACAAGAGGCTGGGTTACAAGAGGCTGGGATACAAGAGGCTGGGATACAAGAGGCTGGGATACAAGAGGCTGGGATACAAGAGGCTGGGATACAAGAGGCTGGGATACAAGCGGGTGGGTTACAACAGGGTGGAATACAAGAGGGTGGGTTACACAGAATCCTTTTAATCATGGCCATCATGTCATGGGATCATATCATTCACATATACAGTAATCATATCTGCTTTCAAAGTAATTTTCCAAGTTTTACTGATTGTCCATGTCCTTTTAGATTAGGCCATGGTGGCAGTCTATATCTGCTCTTTTGCCAACTCCTTACAGAACTGTCATGCAAAACAAAGCACATTATAGCACAAACACTGGCACTCAGGCTATGAGGTCAACTAACAGAGCTGGTAAACAGCATTTAGGCCTAATCCTAGAGTCTCTTTTCCCTATCATGCACTGATGATAAATAATTGAACAGGTAAAACCAGAATCCCTGTCACGATCAAGGTAAGGAACAGACCAAGGCGCAGCGTGATGAACAAACATACTTTAATTAGTTAAAGTTTTAAACATGAAATACAAAACAAGAAACGACTCGTGACGTCCACGGTATCAATGACCAAACACGGAACAAGAACCCACAAACACAAAGGGAAAATAGACAGTATAAATATGGCTCCCAATCAGAGACAACCAACGACAGCTGACACTCGTTGCCTCTGATTGGGAGTCACTCTAGCCAACATAGAAATAAACACACCAGAATTACCAACATAGAAAAACACATAGAATGAACACACCCTGGCTCAACATATAGAGTCCCAGAGCCAGGGTGTGACAATCCCATCCACGATCCTCCCCTTCTGCTTGCTACTATGTTGTGTTCTCAAATCAGCGCAGATGCTTGCCTGGTTTAGAAATGAATAGGGTTACCAACATATTCAAATAATGACTGACATTTTTATTAAAAACTTTATTTTGATATATTTATTCATACTACTTCATCCTTCCACAAGCTATAGTCCCGACACAAATCTAAGGTTGCTACCCAAGCTGGCTGGTCGTTCGTTCTATCGGTTCGGTTGCTAGAGACGTGACCCAGTCGTTCGTTCTAAATGTTCCTTTGCCATACTGGCTGGCAATGTTCTTATCCCTTGCTTGCTAGTTTGCCAACTACAGCTAACTTACAGTCACGTCAAAAAGTGCAGCCAGAATAACAGCAAAGTAGCTGCATTTGCATTCGCTTAAGCTGTATTCTAGTGACATTTATTTGGATACATCCATAACAATGAGCTAATGAGGCGCGATTTCGCCAGGCATAGAAAACGTGCTCACTTGTCAGGACACTGTTGTTCAGAGGAGCTAGCCAACAACACAGCTAACACAATCGTTTCGTTTTACCTTTTTTTCCCCTCCGATTTCTTTGTATATTTCCATACAAATTATGCCAGCTGATTCATGATTTCGACTGGCTGAGAAACGCTGCCTGTCTGTCCGTCTCATCCCAACTCCCGACACATTCATTACTATGGGACAGCTGGAAATCGAATCTGAATATTGAAACAATGTTGCAAATGTTGGAGAGACACAACAAAGTTTATACAAATCTCCACTGTTGAAAACTAAATGTCAGTCTAAAAGAAATGTGAGATAATAATAATAATAATAATAATAATAATAATAATAAGCCATTTAGCAGACGCTTTTATCCAAAGCGCCTTACAGTCATGCGTGCACACATTTTTTGTGTATGGGTGGTCCCGGGGATCGAACCCACTACCTTGGCGTTACAAGCGCCGTGCTCTACCAGCTGAGCTACAGAGGACCACAGATAATGTCTAGATGCTTTTTATAGTGGAGATCAAGTTTATAAATTGCATGGCTGGGCTAATGAGCCAGTGGATTGCACAGTTAGACATAACAGAGTAAAAAGGCATTTTAACGTCATAGATTTAGCCGGTGGTAACTTGTGGAATAGATACCGGCTGGAATGCGGTTTTAACCAATCAGTATTCAGGATTAGACCCACCCATTGTATAATTCCTGACAATAAGATACATTTACATTTTCTACCATTTACATTTTCTACATCAGTCATTTAGCAGACGCTCTTATCCAGAGCGATTTACAGTTAAATGATTAGGCCCATTTCACTTGAGGAATGAAACATGAGCAAACTACCCAGTAAGCACGGACCCGATGTATTTTGGGCGTCTATGTTTGGTTCAGATTTGGTCCAGCCCGGAACGGCCTTGATTTGGTCCATATCTGAACATATCATAGACATCTATGTTTCACAAGTTTGGACAGCACAGCACAGTACAGTAGAGCGCGGTACGGTACAGTATAGTAGAGCGCAACACAGAACGGTAGAGCACAGCACAGTACAGCACAGTGTAGCACAGTAAGCTATAGTACAGTAGAGCGCAATACAGCACGGTACAGTAGAGCGCAACACAGCACAGTAGAGCGCAACACAGTACGGTACAGTACAGCACAGCAGAGAAAATGAAGTATAGTTCAGTACAGTACAGTACAACACAGTATAATGTACCATATTGTACCCTACTTTACTCTACGGAATTAAACTATATTGTACTGTACTTTACTAAATAAACCTCTGTACTGTGCCGTACTGTACTGTGCTGTTCAAACTTGTGAAACATCGCCTCGATGTCTATGATTCTTTCAGATTTGGTCTGGTCAGGACTGACCAAATTTGTACATGTTTAGGGCAAAGCTCTTTAGAATAATACCCAGCATGCTTTGTTAGTTTTTTACATTTTGGTCATTCAGTTTATCCAGAGCGACTTACAGTCAGTGCATTCAACTAAGCTAGATAAACAGTATATCAGTAATTGCAAGAAACAAGTATTTTTGTAACCGTTCCTAAGAATGTCATTGTAGTTGGTTTATTATTTTGGTTGGGTTATTTTGAACATCATCGCTGCCAGCTTTAAAGCTTTTTGAAAAAGATAACATAAGTGCATGTGACAGATGGGAGGAATGTATTATTATAATAAATATGCCATACTGCAATCTTCAGTTTGCTAATTTATTTTATTTTGAATTAAAATGTTGAATGTGATAATGCTTTCTTCATTGACATGTACAGTCATGGTCAAAGGTTTTGAGAATGACACAAATACTAATTTTCACAAAGTCTGCTGCCTCAGTTTTGATGATGGCAATTTGCATATACTCCATAATGTCATGAAGAGTGATCAGATGAATTGCAATTAATTGCAAAGTCCCTCTTTGCCATGAAAATGAACTTAATCGCCAAAAAACATTTCCACTGCATTTCAGCCCTGCCACAAAAGGACCAGCTGCCATCATGTCAGTGATTCTCTCATTAACAAGGGTGAGAGTGTTGACGAGGACAAGGCTGGAGATCACTCTGTCATGCTGATTGAGTTAGAATAACAGACTGGAAGCTTTAAAAAGGACAGTGGTGCTTGAAATCATTGTTCTTCCTCTGTTAACCATGGTTACCTGCAAGGAAACACGTGCCGTCATCATTGCTTTGCATAAAAAGGGCTTCACAGGCAAGGATATTGCTGCTAATAAGATTGCACCAAAATCAACCATTTATCGGATCATCGAGAACTTCAAGGAGAGAGGTTCAATTGTTGTGAAGAAGGCGTCAGGGCGCCCAAGAAAGTCCAGCAAGCGCCAGGACCGTCTCCTAAAGTTGATTCAGCTGCGGGATCGAGGCACCACCAGTGCAGAGCTTGCTCAGGAATGGCAGCAGGCAGGTGTGAGTGCATCTGCACACTCAGTGAGGCGAAGACTTTTGGAGGATGGCCTGGTGTCAAGAAGGGCAGCAAAGAAGCCACTTCTCTCCAGGAAAAACATCAGGGCAGACTGATATTCTGCAAAAAGTACAGAGATTGGACTGCTGAGGACCGGGGTAAAGTCATTTTCTCTGATGAATCCCCTTTCCGATTGTTTGGGGCATCCGGAAAACACCTTGTCCGGAGAAGACAAGGTGAGCGCTACCATCAGTCCTGTGTCATGCCAACAGTAAAGCATCCTGAGACCATTCATGTGTGGGGTTGCTTCTCAGCCAAGGGAGTGGGCTCACTCACAATTTTGCCTAAGAACACAGCCATGAATAAAGAATGGTACAAACACATCCTACGAGAGCAACTTCTCCCAACAATCCAAGAACGTTTGGTGACGACCAATGCCTTTTCCAGCATGATGGAGCACCTTGCCATAAGGCAAAAGTGATAACTAAGTGGCTCGGGGAACAAAACATCGACATTTTGGGTCCATGGCCAGGAAACTCCCCAGACCTTAATCCCATTGAGAACTTGTGGTCGATCCTCAAGAGGTGGGTGGACAAACAAAAACCCACAAATTCGGACAAACTCCAAGCATTGATTATGCAAGAATGGGCTGCCATCAGTCAGGATGTGGCCCAGAAGTTAATTGACAGCATGCCAGGGCGGATTGCAGAGGTCTTGAAAAAGAAGGGTCAACACTGCAAATATTGACTCTTTGCATAAACGTAATGTAATTGTCAATAAAAGCCTTTGACACTTATGGAATGCTTGTAATAATACTTCAGTATACTATAGTAACATCTGACAAAAATATCTCATAACACTGAAGCAGCGAACTTTGTGAAGACCAATACTTGTGTAATTCTCAAAACTTTTGACCACGACTGTAGATATAAGTGAATGTACAGTTGAAATTTTTCCATAGAAACAATGACAAAAGAAAGTATTTTCAACTTCCATAAATTAGGTATATCCAACTTCCGGAAAATAGGTGTTTTCAACATCCTGAAAATACCTTTTGTCAACATCCGGAAAATACATATTTTCAATATACATTCAGAACCAACAATGAACCTAATTTCGACGTCTGGAATATACGTATTTTCAACGTCATTTTGTTCACTGGGTAGACTACACAATAAACTACCAAAATGATATTGTCGTTGAACTAATAAAGGGAAGAGGAACTGACCTGTCTCTGCGCTTTGACAACCTTGGCCACCTGCCTGACAAACATGTCGTTTGTTTTCTTGTTGTGTTCGACCACGGCGAACTGCAGGGCGTTTCTCATTCCTTCTTCGTTCATATTTGCGTCCATGGGGCCTCCGATCAAACCGGCGCTCGCCACGGTAAAGGCCACCGCGAGCAAAGGAACGACGATCTTCCATTCCATGTTCATTTTCCCGTTTGATATCTCTTTTAATTGCAACTCCGATCGTATCACGTAAACAACAAATCCTTACCTCAGACGATTTATGCTCTTATATAAACACGGTGACGTCACTTTCTGCTTGCTGAGGGGTGTGGCTTGATCTTGATTCCATCAATCACTTCAACCCAAAGTTAACACGTAGTTAAGTGCGTTTGTTTTGCAGAGCAGCTTACCCGGTTTTGTTTGCCTGGTTGTACAGCTAAATAAATCATTGAAAAATACTGTATTATTAAACGTCACATGAGACTCTGCTCACCAATGTATTTCTCAAATCTAAACCTATTATATATATATATATATATATATAAGCGATAATAAACTAAAAAGGCCTAGGATTTATTGCCTATTATTGCATGGCTTTAAGGATTATTGGCTAGTCTTCACAAGGTTTTCACACACTGTTGCTGGTATTTTGGCCCATTCCTCCATGCAGATCTCCTCTAGAGCAGTGATGTTTTGGGGCTGTCGCTGGGCAACACGGACTTGAGATCTGGAGACTGGCTAGACCACTCCAGGACCTTGAAATGCTTCTTACGAAGCCACTCCTTCGTTGCCCGGGCGGTGTGTTTGGGATCATTGTCATGCTGAAAGACCCAGCCACGTTTCATCTTCAATGCCCTTGCTGATGGAAGGAGGTTTTCACTCAAAATCTCACGATACATGGCCCCATTCATTCTTTCCTTTACACAGATCAGTCGTCCTGGTCCCTTTGCAGAAAAAACAGCCCCAAAGCATGATGTTTCCACCCCCATGCTTCACAGTAGGTATGGTGTTCTTTGGATGCAACTCAGCATTCTTTGTCCTCCAAACACGACGAGTTGAGTTTTTACCAAAAAGTTCTATTTTGGTTTCATCTGACCATATGACAATCTCCCAATCCTCTTCTGGATTATCCAAATGCACTCTAGCAAACTTCAGATGGGCCTGGACATGTACTGGCTTAAGCAGGGGGACACGTCTGGCACTGCAGGATTTGAGTCCCTGGCGGCGTAGTGTGTTACTGATGTTAGACTTTGTTACTTTGGTCCCAGCTCTCTGCAGGTCATTCACTAGGTCCCCCCGTGTGGTTCTGGGATTTTTGCTCACCGTTCTTGTGATCATTTTGACCCCACGGGGTGAGATCTTGCGTGGAGCCCCAGATCGAGGGAGATTATCAGTGGTCTTGTATGTCTTCCATTTCCTAATAATTGCTCCCACAGTTGATTTCTTCAAACCAAGCTGCTTACCTATTGCAGATTCAGTCTTCCCAGCCTGGTGCAGGTCTACAATTTTGTTTCTGGTGTCCTTTGACAGCTCTTTGGTCTTGGCCATAGTGGAGTTTGGAGTGTGACTGTTTGAGGTTGTGGACAGGTGTATATACATTCTAGTACAGGGGTATTCAACTCTTACCCTATGACAGGGAACATCAACTAGATTCAGCCGCAGGCCGATGTTTTGTTAAGCGGATGGTCAGGGGGCCGAAACAAATTGACTGCAAGAAGCCCAACGAGTTATAATATTTGGCAAAAACATAATTTCAAACCTTGCTTACATTTGTATACGATCACATATCTCTGTATTAGAATGTATGTATGAAAAAAAAAATGCACTCTAACTGTAAGTCGCTTTGGATAAGAGCGTCTGCTAAATGACTAAAATGGAAATGTAAAATTATGCGTGGTAATACTTTGGAACAGATTTCCTAAATTAAAATCACTTGGAGCCAATTTGCTGGTGTTTTTAGTATTTTCTGTCTCAAAAATAATGAACTCATTCACGGGCCTCCAGTTGAGGAACCCTGCCCTACAAGGTATGGAGCCTGCTGGTTTTATACCTGATAATGAATTGCACTCACCTGTGTCCCAGGTCCCTCGTGTCGTTATTCAAAGTTCTAGAATACTTTACATGTACAGCTGGTCTGAGTGAATTTCGTAACCAAGGCATTTTATCCACGGGTAAAAAGAGGGCATTCCATCACGCCGACACAATGTCTGTGCTCCCTTGGGGCGTGGTTACTGACTAGGCAAAAGTTTACATGAAAAACAATTCTCATTAGAAGACTAAAATCACATTCCTATATTCACCAAAATACTCTCATACTTAATCATATATTTAATACAACATTTAGATGTAAACTTGACAAATAGAATGTGTACACTTTCCGAGTTCCAGGATCCAGGCTCTGTCGTAGCCAGCCGCGACCGGGAGACCCATGGGGCGGCGCGCATTGGCCCAGCGTCGTCCAGGGTAGGGGAGGGAATGGCCAGGAGGGATGTAGCATAGAGCATGGCGTTTGCAACGCCAGGGTTGTGGGTTTGATTCCTACAGGGGGTATGAAAAAAAATAATGTATGCACTAACTGTAAGTCGCTCTGGATAAGAGCGTCTGCTAAATGACTAAAATGTAAATGTAAAATGAGTTATTTCGTTATACCATCCTTAATGACATCACTAAATAATAAACAATATGACATGATTATTCTTTAGATCCCCACTGACCATTCTTAACATTTGGATGATAGATATAAATGTTCCAATGTTCACTTTTTAGGGAAAAAGGTTTTGGCGCAAAACTCTCTCTAGACAAAGGCATTATTTTCTCAATACTAGAGAGCCAGGAAGAGAGTTCTCTCCTGCTTAAATTTACGACCCATTGTTAAGGTGTCAAGACCGGCACAGACCCCCCCCTTCCCCTCTTCTGTGGGAGAGAGGGGGTCTGGCTATCTTCAAACATTTGCCTAGCTGATGGGTCCTTTGATCCACTGTCAGGAGAGTCATGACAACTGTGTGGAAGCAGCATCAATCACATTTGTTTCAGCTCTTTCCTTCTCTTGTCCTTGTTGCAATAATGCACTACTGCTGTAATCATGTCTATTGTGGCAACGCTGTACTACTTGGCTTGTTTGTTAAGTATTTTGTAGTATCTACTATTGGTGGGGCTGGTTTCCCAGAATAACCCAGACACAGCTTAAGCCTGGTCCTGGGCTGTATACAACAATTCAGCTTTTAGCTGCAAATGTGTACAATTCAAATAAACCTGAAATAATTTAGTGATCCAGCTAAAACTGACATACAGTACTGTATATTTACAAAAGATTGTTTCAGACATCCATTTTTAAGCAATTGACAACCAAGACACGACAACTAACAGTGTCAGAGGAAGGCCCTCAAAATTCTCAAAGTCTCCAGCCACCCTAGTCATAGACTGTTCTCTCTGCTACCGCACGGCAAGCGGTACCGGAGTGCCAAGTCTAGGTCCAAAATACTTCTCAACAGCTTCTACCCCCAAGCCATAAGACTCCTGAATAGCTAATCATGGCTACCCAGACTATTTGCACTGCCCCCCACCCCATCTTTTTACGCTGCTGCTACTCTTGTTAATTATTCATGCATAGTCAGTCACTTTAACTCTACCCACATGTACATATTACTTCAACTACCTCAACTAGTCGGTGCCCCCGCACATTGACTCTGCACCGGTACCCCCCTGTATATATAGCCTCCCTACTGTCATTTTATTTTACTTCTGCTCTTTTTTTCTCTACATTTTTATTTAAAATAAATGCACTGTTGGTTAAGGGCTGTAAGTAAGCATTTCACAGTAATGTCTGCACCTGTTGTATTCGGCGCATGTGGCCAATAAAATTTGATTTGATACAGCCAGTATTGCGTCTCAACCAGATGACAAGTAGGCATACTGTGCATAAAATCATTTAGTAGGCTATATTATACACAGTGAGAACACCAACACTGCTTCATTACAGCATGTATCCAAGCTAAAAGTAAATACATAGCGAAGACAAAATATAATTAATTAAAATCATTCTGTACAGATCACACCAGTCATTCATATGAATTGTTATAAAAAACACAGTCCCTGGACTGGGCTCAGGGTTACATAGGCTGCGTTTATACAGGCAGCAAAATTCATATATTTTTTTCCACTAATTGGTATTTCCTATCACATCAGATCTTTTCACAATATCTTTTTCAGACCTGATCTGAGATAGTCAAAACACCAATTAGTGACAAATATATCAGAACTGGACTGCCTGTGTAAATGCAGCGAGAGAGACAGGGGTCCCTGAGAGAGAGAGGTATGGCAAATGTGTCAATACGCTCAGTCAACACTTGGGCTGCGTTTACACAGGTCCATTTGCTCAAATGATCTCAGAGTGCTGATCTAGGATCAGGTGCCCTCTGTCTATATAATGTTAGTCATTGTGATCCAAAAGGTCAAACTGAACCTAGATCTGCACTCCAACTCAGACACTTCATAAAGACGGGCCCAGTTTTGCCTTTAGATCAGTACGAGTAGGATTATATAGACGGGGGGACCGGATCCAAGATCAGCACTCTTACTTTCAGACTCTGAATACAGGACCTTGTCTCATCTCATACTATGGCTGTGGATGAGCGTACCTTCCTTGTCCCTTGTATGTCATTTACTGAAGCCTTTGATAGCCATGGGGGCCTGAAACCATACATAGTCCTGCCAGTCAGTCTGCCCTCCTCCCTCAGACGTCCCAGACTCAGAGACACTACTGGGGTCACAAGACAGAGAAATAACCTGGCTCTTCACCCGTGTGGGGACCTTGAAATTCAGCTTGGGCCGGAACCACCCCACGCCACAGTCCCTATGGGCCAGAACCATGACCGTCGTGGCTGTGAGCCGGACAGGTTTAGCGTCAGACAACAGGTCGGCCACAAAGAGCGTGCGGAAGACCTGGCGCAAACACGAGGAAACACGGAGACTCAGGTCGCCGGCGGCTAGTATCACGTCCTCCATGTTGACTTCGTACAGCTCCTTGGGAAGGAGGAGGGAGCCCCCGAGCAGGAGGAGCACGCGGGGGACCAGGGAGAGGGAGAAGAGCACCTCCAGTTGTTGTAGCACCTCCTCAAGGTCTTGGAGGGTACGCTGGCACCTCCTCCAGTCCAGGCCTTCTGCGGCGGACTGACCGGGCCTCCAGCCCACCACCGCCTCATTCTTGGGTAAAGAGGAAGAGAGAGGGCCTGAGGTCAAACAGCAACTCATAGATCCTAGACAACACTGCTAGGAGTAGGGCTATTATAGCAGCCAGTGTTTCTTCGATTCCTCGTCCTCATCTTCTCAACTGTATTGGAGGAGGTTCCCAAGGTTCATCCCTTCCGACCTTCTCCAATGTGTTTTGAGGAGGTGAGGAGAGATGAAGCAAGGAATCGAGGAAAGACAAATTGAGAAACTGTCATTGATGTTAAATATGTAGTGAGAGAAACATGGTTGAGAACATTGGAAGCATCACTGCCCAGTACTCACCTGCATGGCAGCTTGCTGTCTCTTCTGAGAGTAAACCAGCTGGTCATAGGTCATAGGCAGTTGCTGTCTTTGGTAGAGGATACACTTCAGTATCTCACTGACGAAGCGGCAGCAGCCCTCCTGTGTTACCAAGCCTGGGAACACTACCTCCACACGGCCCTCCTCCCTGGCCCTCCGCAGCGTCTCTGCATCATCTGCCTCAGCCTGCTTGGAGGGGGTCAGAGTGGGGGGAGTGTCTGTGCTGCTGGTCTCGGTGATAACCTGGCAGGTGCTGTCTTCAGATGAAGGATCTGTGGATTTTTTATTTCACCTTTATTTAACCAGGTAAGCCAGTTGAGAACAAGTTCTCATTTACAACTGCGGCCTGGCCAATATAAAGCAAAGCAGTGCGATAAAAACAACACAGAGTTACATATGGAAAACAAAAACGTACAGTCAATAACACAATAGAAAGTCTATATAAAGTGTGTGCAAATGTAGTAAGTCATGGAGGTAAGGCAATAAATAGGCCATAGTGCAAAATAATTACAATTTAGTATTAACACTGGAGTGATAGATGTGCAGAAGATGATGTGCAAATAGAGACACTGGGGTGCAAATGAGCAAAATAAATAACAATGTAAATAACAATATGGGGATGAGGTAGTTGGGTGGGCTAATTACAGATGGGCTGTGTACAGGTGCAGTGATCGGTAAGCTGCTCTGACAACTGATGCTTAAAGTTAGGGAGGGAGATAAGTGTCTCCAGCTTCAGAGATTTTTGCAGTTCGTTCCAGTCATTTGCAGCAGAGAACTGGAAGGAATGGCGGCCAAAGGAGGTGTTGGCTTTGGGGATGACCAGTGAGATATACCTGCTGGAATACATACTACGGGTGGGTGTTGATATGGTGACCAATGATCTAAGATAAGGCTGGGATTTGCCTAAAAGTTATTTATAGATGACCTGGAGCCAGTGGGTTTGGCGACCAATATGTAGTGAGGGCCAGCCAACGAGAGCGTACAGGTCACAATGGTGGGTAGTATATGGGGCTTTGGTGACAAAACGATAGAACACAATATAATCATCTGATAGGTCCACCTTAGACTTAGATCTGATCACACTGTCAAATAACACAGCAAATAAAAACGTTTTAGGCGATAGGCTGTCATTAGTCTCGGAAACCCAGACCCTAGGCACCATTGTGGGAGGCAACCAGTCTAGGCTGTCGTAAGTGTGTTTGTTGGTTCAATACGTTTATTTTGCAATACAAACAATTACTATAACTGTTTCAAAGAATTGATCACCTGACGTATCATGCGTATGACCTGGCTGACTGACGTATGATACATTTATCATGGACATGGAGAGAGATACTGTAGCTACAAGTACAAGTACTGTAGTTACCTACATGCAACACGTGAACATCATGCGCAAGTGAATAGGAATACAAGAGAGACCCACCAACATCAGAGACACCGGCGTGGATGTAGTTTTCCTTATCTTCCGTGCCTACTACGATATCTTTGGATTTCATCTCATCTGACGATAGATTATTTGACTTGGAGCTGTTTGGTGTGGTACAATTGCTTGTTGTTGTAGGTGTTTCCTGGGATAGTCGCCCAGAGGTTTCCGTAGCTGGTGGTTCGTCTGAGAAGTCGTTTGTCCGGCTCGGGACGTTACATTCGGTGTCGAATTGAATGGGTATGTTGATCCCTTTTCCTTGCGAAGTTGGGAGGCATATTTTTGATCGGAGGTTGTGATCGTTTGTGAATGTATTCGTTGTCTCTACGCTCCCGATGACCACCTCCTTGCTTGTTTGTTCCGCCATCGCTGATTCGTTTTGAAAAATTCCTCTCAGTGCGTTGCATCATGGGAAAAGTGGAATCCGGTCATTACTAGAATGGATCGATCTACATCTACTTCTTCTTCTTCGATGAGGTTTAACGGCGGTTGGCATCCAATAAATGTTGCATTACCGCCACCTACTAGACTGGAGTATAACATTTGACATTTTAGTCATTTAGCAGACGCTCTTATCCAGAGCGATTTACAGTTAGTGAGTGCATAATTTTTTTTTTTTCTCATACTGGTCCCCCATGATAATCGAACCCACAACCCTGGCGTTGCAAGCGCCATGCTCTACCAACTAAGCTACACGGGACTAACTCTCTTATACTTTGCTTGGAAAATAAATCAACAAATACCCTACCATCTAAACCTACTCCACTATCAACTATTCTGCAATTACTGCGTCCAAAATACCAAAGTCGACTGCACTTTTATTGCAGTTTCAAAACTACAATCTTTTTTTTGTAAGGGCTGGATCAAATATGTTTATAGCTAACCCAAGACAGATCACTGCCTTTCTTCTTCTTCTTCTTCTTCTTCTTCTTCTATGATATCATGGCAGACTACAAGCAAACGTTTAAAGTGCATGCCGCCACCTACTGTGTTAGAATGTCCGATCAATCATGATCTGCCCTATTCTATACTATCATGGGAAAAAAATTCTAAACCAAATAAATCGCTACTAACTTCTACCACACCCTCTCCCCCAAAAAACCTCCCCAACCCCATTAAACTTGATCTATATCATGCTGAAACAATCCACCCTTAGTTCAACCATTTCAACAGTAACATCTGTTACCCCCAATATCTCTTTTGCCTTCTCCACAATAACCTTTAACCTGCCATTTCTGCTTTCCACAACCCGAGTCGTATTGATAACCTTACCAATAAAAGATATGAAGTCAACTTTATTCATTTTCAAAATGTCATTTAACACCACACATTCATGAGCGCAAGATTTTCTGAACTCAAAACCATGCCAAGACCATCAGAAGCACCGACTACAGTAGGTCCACTTACTACAGGAACATCCATGTAAGCTCCATCAGTCCGCACTGTAGTTCTACCAATCTGTTTTACAGCCTCTGCATATGATACATTATGACTGATCCTGTATCTATGAGCCTCTCTAGCTTCTCTCTGCACCTGGCATCCACCAAATGGTTCTCCCCCACAATTACAGCACTTAACCTTCACATTGCTTCCACATTCACCATAATCATGTTCCCCCCCACACTTGGCACATCTTTTCTTTCCTTTACACTGAGCATCTACATGGAAACTAAGGAATCCTATCTGTACTTTTCCCCTGCAAAACTTTCTCAAACCCCAGCATCACTGATAAGCTTTCACTTCTTTGACACTCTTTCCTACTGATCAACCTTTTGACCTCAATCGCTCTGCCTCCCTTCACATTTTCTTTAATATCATCTATGGACATAGATATTGTGACCCCAGTGATGACTCCTCTCAACCTAGCATAAGCACCAGGTACATGGCTTTTAATCTTCTTCCCATTAAGCTTTTCCATTTGCAGAATCTTCCCTTGCTGAGCCTGGCTTTCCACAGCCTGTCGTTTTCAATGGGAACAAATCAGTCATAGTGGGAAGAACAATCAAGGAAGGGGGCAGAGCCAAGCATGTATTTGCCTATTTCTGTTAGGGAATGCCTACTCTAAAGTGCGCGTGTGCGATAACTCAATTTGCCCTTGCACTCCTTCTAAACAACGCAATTTTTGAAACTTTGGCAAAGGGTAAAGTCTACTGAACTTAGTCCACATTATTCGTAACAGATTCTAGTTTTGCGAACAGAAAACTGTGTTGGGATCAAATGTTTCATCAATGAGAACATTTGCAGAATTTTGTCCAAAATGCATCTCGCTCCATCTCCTCCCACTGCCGGCCATTGGGCTTCCTTTCACCACCATATTTGGTAGTGAGTGGAAAACGCCAAGCGTATGCTTCACATCCGGTTAAATATCTGTCTAATTGTTCTATTTGTGGCTGGATCCCTTCTAGACATGACCGTGGAAGACTGGAGCCCAATCCTATGAGCCCAAGTCAAGTGGAGCCACCTAGCGGTGAGTTGGTGCAGACCGGGACAAGCACAGTGGCAGCAGCTGCATCACACAGTTAATCAAGTTGATATCAGTCCGTTCTGAGAAGTAAACTATTGGAAGAGGGCTGCCAAACGAGTAAGTTTCCCGCAGCAATGAAAACTGAATCAGTATGTTGCCATTTCAAAGTTTTTAACTGATTGTAGCTACTTATGTGACTGACACGGTGCAGTTCTCAGGTGATTTGGACGAAAGTGCTCCGTGCCATGGCGTCAGTGCGTGTGGCTGTTCGTGTTCGACCGTTGATCAAAAGGTCTGTATCCCGATGCAGTCAGTCAATATACACAATGTCAACGTTTATGAACAGTTGATGGAGGTTAGGAATGTATTTTTTTTATTTTGTACAATTTAAAACGTATTTCCAGCACTTATACACAGTTTGACATTACTTATTCTTCATCTCCCGTGTAGCTCAGTTGGTAGAGCATGGCGTTGCAAGGTTGTGGGTTCGATTCCCACAGGGTATGAAAATGTATGCACTCACTAACTGTAAGTCGCTCTGGATAAGAGCGTCTGCTAAATGACTAAAATGTACATGGAGGGGTATTTTGAAAACAGTATAAGTGGAAAGTAAAAATGTTGCAGTTTTAATGTAACTGTCCAGTGACAATCTCACTTAAGTTCATATTCTGTTAACTCATACCCAAATAATGTTGTTGTGGCCAAAGCATAAATTATAGGAAAAAAACACTTCCAAAAACCCCACCTCAAACTTGTATCTCAAACAAAACCGTTTAAAACATTTTTGCTATTTCCTGGTAGAGGATGATGTCTGGCCAATCAGTGGTCTACTCACATTAATATTTTTAATGACTGGTATAGGCCCGCACCATTCTGTTGTTGGTGTACTTCCACACTATTCCAACATAGAAAAGCTTAATACCCCAAATTAGGAAGGAAAACTATTTCACTCATAATGTCATTAATTATAGGTCATATTTCATAGAAATCTGCAAACATTGGACAATAACTTTAAAGGTCGACTTTGGGCAAAAATAACAGCTTTAAACTGCATAACTGATTAATGTACTATCACAGGGTTTCCCTCCATCTAAACGTGAATCGATTCTCAATTGTGGTATGGCTCTAGAAACATAAAGCCCCGTCCTATCAAAATAATTTCACAAATGCAAAATATACCTTTACTGTACACTGTTTTAACAGTTGCAGCCGACAGTATTTTTCAGTGACAGCACATTTGTGTCTTCCGTTTACACACAGATGTTCGGAGACGCAGATGATTAGCACAGATAGTCGACTCTGTCTTTGGTCTGTTTTCCATAAAGAAGCGCTGTAACATGGAAATATGGCCGTGTGGGAACCCTAACCCTATAAAGGTGTTTAATAATTTGACCTTTATTTTTTTGAAAAATATTTCTTGCTGATATGAAACATGCGTTCCTTATGTTTACAAAGCCATACCGCAAGCGATGCGTGTTAACATTTAGAGCAAGCGTCGGGGCTCTTAATAAAACTCTTCCGGCCAGAAGATAGTATCATCAATAGGCGCTAAAGGTAGTTGGCGTCTATATGGGCTAGACACGATTCAGCATATGAATGAAGGCTATATACACTGCTAAAAAAAACACTAAAATAACACATCCTAGATCTGAATGAATGAAATAATCTTATTAAATACTTTTTTCTTTACATAGTTGAATGTGCTGACAACAAAATCACACAAAAATTATCAATGGAAATCAAATTTATCAACCCATGGAGGTCTGGATTTGGAGTCACCCTCAAAATTAAAGTGGAAAACCACACTACAGGCTGATCCAACTTTGATGTAATGTCCTTAAAACAAGTCAAAATGAGGCTCAGTAGTGTGTGTGGCCTCCACGTGCCTGTATGACCTCCCTACAACGCCTGGGCATGCTCCTGATGAGGTGGTGGCTGGTCTCCTGAGGGATCTCCTCCCAGACCTGGACTAAAGCATCCGCGAACTCCTGGACAGTCTGTGGTGCAACGTGGCGTTGGTGGATGGAGCGAGACATGATGTCCCAGATGTGCTCAATTGGATTCAGGTCTGGGGAACGGGCGGGCCAATCCATAGCATCAATGCCTTCCTCTTGCAGGAACTTTTGACACACTCCAGCCACATGAGGTCTAGCATTGTCTTGCATTAGGAGGAACCCAGGGCCAACCGCACCAGCATATGGTCTCACAAGGGGTCTGAGGATCTCATCTCGGTACCTAATGGCAGTCAGGCTACCTCTGGCGAGCACATGGAGGGCTGTGCGGCCCCCCAAAGAAATGCCACCCCACACCATGACTGATCACCGCCGAACCGGTCATGCTGTAGGATGTTGCAGGCAGCAGAACGTCCACGGCGTCTCCAGACTCTGTCACGTGCTCAGTGTGAACCTGCTTTCATCTGTGAAGAGCACAGGGAGCCAGTGGCAAATTTGCCAGTCTTGGTGTTCTCTGGCAAATGCCAAACGTCCTGCACGGTGTTGGGCTGTAAGCACAACCCCCACCTGTGGACGTCGGGCCCTCATACCACCCTCATGTTTCTGACCATTTGAGCAGACACATGCACATTTGTGGCCTGCTGGAGGTCATTTTGCAGGGCTCTGGCAGTGCTCCTCCTGCTCCTCCTTGCACAAAGGCGGAGGTAGCAGTCCTGCTGCTGGGTTGTTGCCCTCCTTCCTCCTCCACGTCTCCTGATGTACTGGCCTGTCTCCTGGTAGCGCCTCCATGCTCTGGACACTACGCTGACAGACACAGCAAACCTTCTTGCCACAGCTCGCATTGATGTGCCATCCTGGATGAGCTGCACTAACTGAGCCACTTGTGTGGGTTGTAGACTCCGTCTCATGCTACCACTAGAGTGAAAGCACCGCCAGCATTCAAAAGTGACCAAAATATCAGCCAGGAAGCATAGGAACTGAGAAGTGGTCTGTGGTCACCACCTGCAAAACCAGTCCTTTATTGGGGGTGTCTTGCTAATTGCCTATAATTTCCACCTGTTGTCTATTCCATTTGCACAACAGCATGTGAAATGTATTGTCAATCAGTGTTGCTTCCTAAGTGGACAGTTTGAGTTCACAGAAGTGTGATTGACTTGGAGTTACATTGTGTTGTTTAAGTGTTCCCTTTTATTTTTTTGAGCAGTGTATAATGTTTTGATATAGTCATGATTCACGCAACACATTTAAAGTCCAATGGTGATCTTTCAAAGATTAACTACACAGTTAAAACTCTTCTTACCTGATAAGAGGGGGATTTCTGGTTCAAGTAAAATTATCATCATGACACTAACAATCAATCGGACTCTCCCGAGTGGTCTAAGGCACTGCATCGCAGTGCTAGCTGTGCCATTAGAGATCCTGGTTCAAATCCAGGCTCTGTCGTAGCCGGCCGCGACCGGGAGACCCATGGGGCGGCGCACAATTGGCCCAGCGTCGTCCAGGGTAGGGGAGGGAATGGCCGGCAGGGATGTAGCTCAGTTGGTAGAGCATGGCGTTTGCAACGCCAGGGTTGTGGGTTTGATTCCCACGGGGGGCCAGTATATATAAAAAAAAAAAAAATAATGTATGCACTGACTAACTGTAAGTCGCTCTGGATAAGAGCGTCTGCTAAATGACTAAAATGTAAATGTAGACCTACATTGGGCATTGTATACAGTTTTCTACATAAAACAGCCTGACTGACTTCAAGTAAACTGTTCACAAAATCTACGTTAATTTCACAGAGAAAAGGAAATGTCTGCGACGGTCATTATCCACATAGAGGGGAGCACCACTTCTATAGACTGCAACAAAAAGGTGAATTATTGATTCATTTCAATACAGCACGATTTTCAATACAGTGATTGATTTTTTTTATTTTATTATTCAATGAACAGACAATGTTTAAGAGATACATTTTGGTACAGATATCAGGACCAACTAAAGGCTCTAGAATGAGGATGACATATTGCACAATGACCACAATAACAATACCTCTCCTGTTTTATAAATTAATCAAAGCTATTATGTTTGTAGCACATATCCAAATGCATCCCTGGCACTGGGCTGAAGGACAGAGGCAGACATTCATTCTCCTATGATTTCTCCTACGATTCTACTGATGTCGGAAGCCCCAACTTTGTGCCTCAGGAGAAGGTATAGAACACGTACACACACACCTCTGAACATGCAGCCACTCTCAATCCAAGTGGTACCCTGTTGGTTACAACTTCATCAACTAGACTCTCAGTAGTGTGTGTTCTCTTCTCTACATGGAGGAGAGGCAGTACATCTCTCATCTTGAGCTCCAGACTGGAGTCCTACAGTGATGTTCTTCTAGCTCTTTCTCCTCCATAGCAAAACCCTCATACTGACTGAACTCACCTTGGTTTCACACATGCTTCAGGCTTAACCCCTATTTCACCTCTTACGCTCTCCCCGAGGGCCCTCTTCAACCACCCCCATCACTGTTGCACCCCATAGAATTACATATAGGACACCTATATGCTCCTCTCCCTCGCCATTGTCTACTAAGATTCCAGTGTTGTGTACACCATGCACTGTCTGTATAATACTATATAGTTTGAAGTAAGACCAACTCTTGTAAACCTGTCCAGAACCATTGCGTACTCTGAACCTAAAACCTACAGTGGGGAGAGCAAGTATTTGATACACTGCTGATTTTGCAGGTTTTCCTACTTACAAAGCATGTAGAGGTCTGTAATTTTTAATCATAGGTACACTTCAAAAGTGAGAGGCAGAATCTAAAACAAAAATCCAGAAAATCACATTGTATGATTTTTAAGTAATTAATTTGTATTTTATTGCATGACATAAGTATTTGATACATCAGAAAAGCAGAACTTAATATTTGGTACAGAAACCTTTGTTTGCAATTACAGAGATCATACGTTTCCTGTAGGTCTTGACCAGGTTTGCACACACTGCAGCAGGGATTTTGGCCCACTCCTCCATACAGACCACCTCCAGATCCTTCAGGTTTCGGGGCTGTCGCTGGGCAATACGGACTTTCAGCTCCCTCCAAAGATTTTCTATTCGGTTCAGGTCTGGAGACTGGCTAGGCCACTCCAGGACCTTGAGATGCTTCTTACGGAGCCACTCCTTAGTTGTCCTGGCTGTGTGTTTCGGGTCATTGTCATGCTGGAAGACTCAGCCACGACCCATCTTCAATGCTCTTACTGAGGGAAGGAGGTTGTTGGCCAAGATCTCGCGATACATGGCCCCATCCATCCTCCCCTCAATACGGTGCAGTCATCCTGTCCCCTTTGCAGAAAAGCATCCCCAAAGATTTCTGTTTCCATCTCCATGCTTCACGGTTGGGATGGTGTTCTTGGGGTTGTACTCATCCTTCTTCTCCCTCCAAACACGGCGAGTGGAGTTTAGACCAAAAAGCTCTATTTTTGTCTCATCAGACCACATGACCTTCTCCCATTCCTCCTCTGGATCATCCAGATGGTCATTGGCAAACTTCAGACGGGACATGCGCTGCCTTGAGCAGGGGGACCTTGCGTGCACTGCAGGATTTTAATCCATGACGGCGTAGTGTGTTACTAATGGTTTTCTTTGAGACTGTGGTCCCAGCTCTCTTCAGGTCATTGATCAGGTCCTGCCGTTTAGTTCTGGGCTGATCCCTCACCTTCCTCATGATCATTGATGCCCCACGAGGTGAGATCTTGCATGGAGCCCCAGACCGAGGGTGATTGACCGTCATCTTGAACTTCTTCAATTTTCTAATAATTGCGCCAACAGTTGTTGCCTTCTCACGAAGCTGCTTGCCTATTGTCCTGTAGCCCATCCCAGCCTTGTGCAGGTCTACAATTGTATCCCTGATGTCCTTACACAGCTCTCTGGTCTTGGCCATTGTGGAGAGGTTGGAGTCTGTTTGATTGAGTGTGTGGACAGGTGTCTTTTATACAGGTAACGAGTTCAAACAGGTGCAGTTAATACAGGTATTGAGTGGAGAACAGTTTTTCTTTAAGAAGCCCTCCTAACAGGTCTGTGAGAGCCGGAATTCTTACTGGTTGGTAGGTGATCAAATACTTAGTGGGGAAAAAAAGTATTTAGTCAGCCACCAATTGTGCAAGTTCTCCCACTTAAAAAGATGAGAGAGGCCTGTAATTTTCATCATAGGTACACGTCAACTATGACAGACAAAATGAGAAAAAAACATCCAGAAAATCACATTGTAGGATTTTTAATGAATTTATTTGCAAATTATGGTGGAAAATAAGTATTTGGTCAATAACAAAAGTTTCTCAATACTTTGTTATATACCCTTTGTTGGCAATGACACAGGTCAAACGTTTTCTGTAAGTCTTCACAAGGTTTTCACACACTTTTGCTGGTATTTTGGCCCATTCCTCCATGCAGATCTCCTCTAGAGCAGTGATGTTTTGGGGCTGTCGCTGGGCAACACGGACTTTCAACTCCCTCCAAAGATTTTCTATGGGGTTGAGATCTGGAGACTGGCTAGGCCACTCCAGGACCTTGAAATGCTTCTTACGAAGCCACTCCTTTGTTGCCCGGGCGGTGTGTTTGGGATAATTGTCATGCTGAAAGACCCAGCCACGTTTCATCTTCAATGCCCTTGCTGATGGAAGGAGGTTTTCACTCAAAATCTCACGATACATGGCCCCATTCATTCTTTCCTTTACACGGATCAGTCGTCCTGGTCCCTTTGCAGAAAAACAGCCCCAAAGCATGATGTTTCCACCCCCATGCTTCACAGTAGGTATGGTGTTCTTTGGATGCAACTCAGCATTCTTTGTCCTCCAAACACGACGAGTTGAGTTTTTACCAAAAAGTTCTATTTTGGTTTCATCTGACCATATGACATTCTCCCAATCCTCTTCTGGATCATCCAAATGCACTCTAGCAAACTTCAGACGGGCCTGGACATGTACTGGCTTAAGCAGGGGGACACGTCTGGCACTGCAGGATTTGAGTCCCTGGCGGCGTAGTGTGTTACTGATGGTAGGCTGAGTGGAGGACAGAGGAGCCTCTTAAAGAAGAAGTTACAGGTCTGTGAGAGCCAGAAATCTTGCTTGTTTGTAGGTGACCAAATACTTATTTTCCACCATAATCTGCAAATAAATTCATAAAAAATCCTACAATGTGATTTTCTGGAAAAAAATTTCTCAATTTGTCTGTCATAGTTGACGTGTACCTATGGTGAAAATTACAGTCCTCTCTCATCTTTTTAAGTGGGAGAACTTGCACAATTGGTGGCTGACTAAATACTTTTTTCCCCACTGTATGTCATGCAATAAAATACAAATTAATTACTTAAAAATCATACAATGTGATTTTCTGGATTTTTGTTTTAGATTCTGCCTCTCACAGTGTACCTATGATTAAAAATTACAGACCTCTACATGCTTTGTAAGTAGGAAAACGTGCAAAATCGGCAGTGTATCAAATACTTGTTCTCCCCACTGTATATCGTTGCAGGTGTTTAAAGATTTGCGCTGTGATATTTCTCTGTATCATTGCAGGTGTTTAAAGACTTGGGCTGTGATGTCCTGGAGGCAGCGTTTGGTGGTTACAATGCCTGTGTGTTCGCCTATGGACAGACGGGATCAGGGAAGTCTTATACCATGATGGGAAGCCCAGTAAGTCACTTTTGAGACGCCATGATAATATGCACTATTGTTGATTCACTCCGGTCACAGAGCTGTTTTTTGAGGTAATGTTTGTGGTGTATCCTGCCACAGAGATCTTATTAAATAATATGCAGTTCTATGTATCCTGTAGTGTTGCCTTCAATTTCAATTCAGTCAATTCTGGAAGTAACCCTGAAGTTCCAATTCCAATTTTCCTCATTTAAAAACACATTTTCTTCCTGAATAGAAATGGGAGTTAAATAAGGTTATTCTATCTACATGTTTCTCTCCACTAATCAGAAAATGTGATGAGTGGAGCTGTCTGAGTCCTGTCCACTCTCTGCCTCTCTCTCCTCTGTCTCTTCTCCTTGCACAGCACAGGAAACACTCAGTACACAACAGTCAGACCGGCGGAGGCTAATGAGTTTTCTGCTTGTCTAACCACCAGGAGACTTATACAAGGTCAACACCACCATAGAAAGCTGCTGTCAACATGTTGGCTAATCATACAGGCCTACAGGGCTGTTAATAACCACATGCACTATCTGCTGTGTGTGCTAATTAAAAACAAGAGGACAGGACTTCACAAATCAGAGTGGACCGACGTGCTGTTACGCCTCAGTAACGCTAACTCCAAATTATATGCCCTGGCTGGCTGGCTGGCTGGCTGGCTGGCTGGCTAGTTGGTATTTGTAAGCTGTTAGAAGTAGTTGCCTGAATTGATGAGTCGGTGTGTGGACAGGACAGAAGAGGAGATGGAATGTAGGAAACCTTTTACCACACATAGTACTATCCCTGTTCACCATTAGAGGCTAAGGTTAATCAAATACAGTTTTTATTTATAACAAATGTAAATAATTCTGAAGGGTATTATAATATAATAACAGTATGTATGTTTAGCAAATATAAATGTAAGTCCTCTATGTCATACTTTCTACTCCTTGTGTTGCAGGGAGATATAGGTCTGATTCCACGGATCTGTGAAGGCCTGTTCTGTCAGATATCAGAGAAGAGCCAGGGGGATGGGGCCTCCTTCCGCACAGAGGTCAGGTAATAGTCAGCACTGCTGAGCAACAAACAAACAACAACAACAACAACTAGGATGTTGTTGTGGAACAGTTTATGGCGACGCAAGGGATGGCTACAAGGTACAGATTTCCTCTGGGGGACCACTAGCAGTTTAAATACGTCTGGCAGACAGCGTGGTCCAATGGTCTTGGCTGGAGGGCATGTTAATTTAGCACTTATCTAACAAGTGACTAATTACTTGAGAAGAGAGGAATGGACCATGTGTGGCCATCTCTGTTGGTATTCACAGCGGTTACCTGGCCAGACTTTTAGCCAGTAGTGCAGATAAGAATAATATGTGGAGGATGCCCCGACTGGAAGTCTGAGGGACAATAGCTAGCTGACTGCTAGCTGAATTGACTGCCAATCCCCATAGAGGAGTGCTAGGCTAGTTGACCTGACTGCCAAACCCCATAGAGGAGTGCTAGCTGACCTGACTGCCAATCCTCATAGAGGAGCGATAGGCTAGCTGAGCTAATTGCTACAGTAGCTGACCTGACTGGCAAGCCAAGCTTCTGCCTTAAACTTCTGCCCATTGTGAATGATTGAGGAGTACAGAGTGCATACAGGATGTCTGTATGCCAATGAGCCTAAAGAAAAGCTGTAATTTAACATCTCTCCTGTCAGTAATAATTATTATGGCTTTTATGACTAAATAAAAACATTTCCCTGCCACTGTCAGAATAAATGGGTTGTGAGAACTATTGTAATTCAATAAACATCTAGGCGTTTTAAAAACGTATTCAGGTGGAAGTTGTTTCAGCTTTCATTTGTGTGCTCACAAAGAAATCATTGTTGACTGGAGCCAAACAACTGAGCGAAAACATTAACCGTCTTTATTTCCTCCCGCTAACAACCGAACAGAAAATCTCTTTGTTCAGGCTGTGAAAATATCATTTGCTCTGAAGTTAATGTCTCTTTAATCTCTGTCAGTACAACAATAGATTAGGAAAATCATGGATTTTAATGTGTTTTTCTGACAGGGTTTAATTGGGTAATTCGCTAACTGAGAGCTGAAAATGAGCTTGAAAATACAATTTGTCAGTGGATGATTGGATCTAGTGATAAGTCATGTTGATATTATTCTGATGGTTGAATGAAAGCAGCCATGTCAGTGTGACAGACATCAGGAACAGGAAATGGAGTAGCTATCTAACGTCTTCAGACTGACATAATTCTCTAAGGTGTGATAGGGGAAATGAAGACAAGTAGCTTTAACCACATCAAATGGCAAACCTCTCTAGAGCATGTACCTACTGAAGGAAGCTTGCGGTAGATTGTTCTGCAGCCTGACGATGGTGATGTGAAATGTTCCATGTCTTGTTCTGTTAGTTACCTGGAGATCTATAACGAGCGTGTGCAAGACCTTCTCACGACTAAGAAGAGCCCAGAGAACGGGTCAGGACTCAAGGTCAGAGAACACCCCAAGGATGGGCCGTATGTGGAGGGTAAGACTTGATCTCTCACCGCCACACTACCGCATAGATTAAGGACAGATCAGTGGTATAATCTTAGTGGTGACAAGCATAGAAATAGAATGAACAGAAAGGGTGTCTCCATTTAAGTCAATGGTGGCATAATGGGTGGACTGGCAGCCATTTTGACTGTACCCATTCCAGGTAGTAAAAACAGGAAGTGTACCCTTCAATCTGTGCTGTGATTTGTTGAGTCAACTCAACTGACATTACAGAAATACATTCCATTCTACATTACTATGGCAATCCAGCATCAGTTGATTGAACATTCCAAAATACCATGGGAATTATTGCATCACAATACCAGGCAGCCATTGCGAGTGTACCCATGAGTTTACCAGTCAAATTGCCAGGGTTAGTGCTTCCAAGACCGTTCAATTAATTATATTACCCTTTACAGACAGAACGCCGGTACGGTAATGTGACGATAGCAACAATTGATAACATTTCAGACAATTTAAAAAAGTGCCGCATCAGAAACATCTACCTTTTCAGACAGTAGAATTCTGCTCAGGCATAGAATGTTCTGTATTGTTTCCCTGACAACAATAAACATAGCTGATTGATGCACTGCTGTGTCGTTTTTTTATGGTATGGTAGCTAGATGTGTTTTATTTCTACTAAATGTCACGGTATTTAATGAACTTTAACATCCTTTTTTAGGAAAGAGTGGTCTGCTCGCAGGCAGCTCGAGATTATTTGATTGACAGTTCTGGTGATGGACGTTAGTCCCACTTCAGAAGCGACATTCCTTTACAGACGACAAGTAAAATGGCCGTTCAGTGGCGCTTCGAAACTATCTCCAGAGGTTTCATGGCAGGCATTTAAAAAGCCGTAGTGTACCCTTACAGACAAGCAAACATGCCGAGGCGCTTTCAAGGCGGCACATTCCATATGTCTGAAAAGGGTATGTTTCTATGTTGACAAGGCCCCTTTCTATAGTGAGGTTCTCTCACTGGTCCGGGCCGTAGACAGACATGATGCTAACCAACACAGACGGGTCATAGTGGCTAACAGGATCTGAGCATGTCAGCATATGTGATGTGTCAGGTGTGATTCTCCTTGCTGTGTGTGTGTTCAGACCTGTCGAAGCACCTGGTTCAGAACTACAGGGATATAGAGAAGCTGTTGCATGCTGGGAACGCCAAACGCACCACGGCGAGCACAGGCATGAACGATGTTAGCAGCCGCTCACACGCCATCTTCACCATCAACTTCACACAGGTACATACACACACTGTTAGAGACCAAGTGTTTTTTGTAATATAACAATACATGGTACTTTTATCCAAAGCATCTTACTGTACATTGAGTCATAAAAATGTTTGTCTGTGTCACTGTGATCCCTGTGGGAATTGAACCCACAACCTTGCTTATCAACTGAACCACACAGGACCACTCGTGTTCATGTCAGTTTTTACTTGCTTGGTGTGTGTGTGGTTGACGCTTTTGATGTTGTAAATACATTATTTACTAGCCTTAGGATGCAACCGAAGACCAGCCCTTAAGAGCCAGTTAGTCCATTTTCTTATTGAGTAAATTTGTCCAATATCAGTATTGAACATGTTTGGTAGCACAGTATTGAGTGCTGATTTGCCCTGTTAGTTCCCTCTTGTAAATGAGTGGTTTGGATCCTTCTCTCCTTCTCTCCCTTAATTCATTCCTATTGTTAACAACTCTGTGTGTGTGTTTGGGCGTGTGTGTGTATGTACCCGTCTCCAGGCTCGTTTTGATGCAGAGCTGCCGTGTGAGACGGTGAGTAAGATCCACCTGGTAGACTTGGCGGGCAGTGAGAGGGCTGATGCCACTTGCGCCACCGGTGCCAGGCTGAAGGAAGGAGCAAACATCAACAAGTCCCTGGTCACACTGGGCATTGTCATCTCTGCTCTGGGTAAATGATGCTTAGTACACACACACACCAGGGTTTCTGTTGGCCGGTAATATTAATTTGTTATGAAAAGACGATAAATAAAATTGCCGCTGGCCAATTGTCCGGGAGAAGGAAAGAAAATCCCCTTGCAAAATAAAGCGTTTTAGCCTATTCATTGACAGAAATACCAGTCAATGTAAATGCATTTCACTGTTCATGGTCTATAGGTTAATTTGCATAATTTAGTGGAATTAAATTGGAGCGTGTGCGGTATATTTGTTATGTACCTTATTTATCACACGGGTACAGCATACAGATACAGAGCCTTTGAGCGGAAAATATGTCAGACAGCACGAGAGCTGCTGCTACAGCATCTCAAACAGCAAAAGCACAGGCAACGGAAGGCAGGCTTCATCAGCAAGTCACACCACTTTGTAATGAGCAGGAGTCAGTATGCATTTTGAAAACATGTACTTAATTGTTTGAAACCTGAACGTTTTACTACATGCTATGAGGCATGTCTTACTTTGCTTCAAAGTAGCCTAGCCAAAACCGGACCAGGCAATTTATTTTATATCAACTTTCTTTCGATGTCCAGTAGGCAAAGGCACAATCCTAGTCATATTAGCAACAAATGCCAGTTGTTGCATATTAGATCTCCCCTCTTTCTAAATGTCTAACTGATATTTCCATCTCTGTCACATGAAACTGCTGTGGTGCGCTTTTGACAACGGTGTTTTCCACTAATTGCAATATGGATCGAACATTCATCTGTAGCCTACTGCCTTGTGTCCATTGCTGTGCTTATAATGTGAAGAAATAATAGGTTATCAACATTTTAAGCTAAATGTTCTACTCTGTTGCATCATGTTTTTTTAAATGTAGCCTAGGCCTACTGGTTGTATGAATTTGGGATCCATCGTCCCACAACTGTCCCAGAGTCTGTTTTGGCTATTTCTTTCTCGACCAGCTGACCAATAGAATAGGTCAACTTTTCTACTATGGGGGACAGTAGATTGACATAGGCTAGTGATTTTGCTGTTCGTTACTTGTCATGTTGGCTGAGGAAAAGTAAATGTGGACAGTTACTCTAACATGTTCAAAGTCCGCATCAGAATTTGTTAAGGACCACACATTGTTGCGTCCTGGACATGCATGTTCTGTTATTATGAATTACCATATTCTAAATGTGATTTCTGAGCACCGTCGGTGGATGCACTAATCAGGTTACGCACCCAATGCATATGGGTCCGGTAAATTTCTCAAAATGTCCATTAAATTAAAATGCTGCTGTTCAAATGGCCGGTGCCACATTTTCCTAACTGAAGCCCTGACACACACACGCACACACACACCACACCACATGCCTGATGCCAAACATTGACACAACAACTTACTTCATTTCAGAGTCAGTCAGGCTATTTAATAAATTAATAACACCAATTAGACTCTGAATAAGGATACATTTTTAATCAGTCCACTGCACAAGTGGTAGCTACACTACTGGCAAAACAATACTACGTATTTATGGTTCCATTTCTATCTGGCCTGTGTTGTGGCACATCCTTTCATGCTTTTGTAGTTGGTTTGGGAGAAGATGTTATTGTGTAATTTTCTGTTTCAGTGTGTGTGTGTGTCTACGTGGAGGAGTAGTTGGAGGGGTTACCAAGAGGAAAAAGCAGCTCTTCGTCCCCATGTAAAGACTCTGTCCTAACCCCTCTCTCTTTCGCTCTCTCTTTCTCTCTGCGTGTGTCCTCCTAGCTGATGTAAGTGGAGCATCAGGGAGTGTAGGTGGAGGTTCTGTCCCAGACCATGGGAAGAGGAAGAAGCAGCTGTTTATCCTCTACAGAGACTGTTCTGACCTGGCTTTCTCTCTCTCTCTGTGTGTGGCTGAAGGAGGAGATGGAGGAAGAGGAGGGGGCTCCCACAAGGAGAAAAGGAAGAAGCAGCTCTTCATCCCATACAGAGATTCGGTTCTGACCTGGCTCCTGAAAGACAGCCTGGGAGGAAACTCCAAGACCATCATGATAGCAAGTATGGTTGATCTTAGTCTGTGGTATTCAAATTGGGGTTGCAATCCTATATAAAAAATAAATAATAATAATTAAGAGTACATACATTTTAACATTTTGAGTAAATGTATTGATTGATCCAGAAGCGCATAGACTGTAAATACTAAAATAAGACTATAGTGTATATTCTGATTATAAGACAACAGTTTCCTGCCCAGCTAATGGCTGACCCAAACTACACCTAAACTATATTGAAACTAATTTCACACACATCATATTATATGTAGCCTAAAGACAAGATGAAATTGACAATAGTCTGATGCGTATATAATTGTCTTAATATCTTGGTTTTTATGACCTTCTTAAACAAAATATTAATTAATTTCTTTGATGCATTTTTAATGGATTTATTAGACTGGCGGCTATACAGTGAGGGGAAAAAAGTATTTGATCCCCTGCTGATTTTGTACCTTTGCCCACTGACAAAGAAATGATCCGTCTATAATTTTAATGGTACGTTTATTTGAACAGTGAGAGACAGAATAACAACAAAAAATCCAGAAAAACGCTTTTCAAAAATGTTATAAATTGATTTGCATTTTAATGAGGGAAATAAGTATTTGACCCCCTCTCAATCAGAAAGATTTCTGGCTCCCAGGTGTCTTTTATACAGGTAACAAAAGAGTGTGCTCCTAATCTCAGCTCGTTACCTGTATAAAAGACACCTGTCCACAGAAGCAATCTATCAATCAGATTCCAAACTCTCCACCATGGCCAAGACCAAAGAGCTCTCCAATGCTGTCAGGGACAAGATTGTAGACCTACACAAGGCTGGAATGGGCTACAAGACCATCGCCAAGCAGCTTGGTGAGAAGGTGACAACAGTTGGTGCGATTATTCGCAAATGGAAGAAACACAAAAGGACTGTCAATCTCCCTCTGCCTGGGGCTCCATGCAAGATCTCACCTCGTGGAGTTGCACTGATCATGAGAACGGTGAGGAATCAGCCCAGAACTACACGGGAGGATCTTGTCAATGATCTCAAGGCAGCTGGGACCATAGTCACCAAGAAAACAATTGGTAACACACTACGCCGTGAAGGACTGAAATCCTGCAGCGCCCGCAAGGTCCCCCTGCTCAAGAAAGCACATGTACAGGGCCGTCTGAATGATTCAGAGGAGAACTGGGTGAAAGTGTTGTGGTCAGATGAGACCAAAATTGAGTTCTTTGGCATCAACTCAACTCGCTGTGTTTGGAGGAGGAGGAATGCTGCCTATGACCCCAAGAACACCATCCCCACCGTCAAACATGGAGGTGGAAACATTATGCTTTGGGGGTGTTTTTCTGCTAAGGGGACAGGACAACTTCACCGCATCAAAGGGATGATGGACGGGGCCATCTACCGTCAAATCTTGGGTGAGAACCTCCTTCCCTCAGCCAGGGCATTGAAAATGGGTCGTGGATGGGTATTCCAGCATGACAATGACCCAAAACACACGGCCAAGGCAACAAAGGAGTGGCTCAAGAAGAAGCACATTAAGGTCCTGGAGTGGCCTAGCCAGTCTCCAGACCTTAATCCCATAGAAAATCTGTGAAGGGAGCTGAAGGTTCGAGTTGCTAAACATCAGCCTCGAAACCTTAATGACTTGGAGAAGATCTGCAAAGAGGAATGGAACAAAATCCCTCCTGAGATGTGTGCAAACCTGGTGGCCAACTACAAGAAACGTCTGACCTCTGTGATTGCCAACAAGGGTTTTGCCACCAAGTACTAAGTCATGTTTTGCAGAGGGGTCAAATACTTATTTCCCTCATTAAAATGCAAATCAATTTATAACATTTTTGAAAAGCGTTTTTCTGGATTTTTTGTTGTTATTCTGTCTCTCACTGTTCAAATAAACCTACCATTAAAATTATAGACTGATTATGTCTTTGTCAGTGGACAAATGTACAAAATCAGCAGGGGATCAAATACTTTTTTCCCTCACTGTAGGTATTTGTGGAGGCCCGGCTATTTTACTGTTAATATGCATATGTCATTTTGAGGTAGAAGTGCAAAACGTTTTTGTATTTTTGGGGTATTTATCTCAAAGTACTGCTAAAATACACATATTTAGGAAAAGTCAATGACAGGTATGTGTAAGATTTTTATTGAAATTAAGTTATTAAAATTACTACATTGAATACGGTCAGATTGTCTTGGCATTTCTAGTGTTAACTTGGCCCCAGACAATCGATCTGAGATCGATTTAAATTTCAGTCATGGGATTATTATTTGCTTTAACCCCTGTACAGGTGATTTTAGTAAGAGACCCACCGCACTTCTGGGTCCTCACACCTGTGATGTGTTCCTGTCTATCTTCCCACACAGCTCTTTCTCCCGCTGATGTGAACTACAGTGAGACACTGAGCACACTGCGCTACGCTAACCGAGCTAAAAACATAGTCAACAAGCCCACAGTCAACGAGGACAGCAGTGTTACAGTCATCAGAAAACTGCAGGAGGAGATCGTCAGACTGAAAGGACTAGTGGAGAAGAACAACCTGGTGGGGGGGGGGGGTGGTGGTGGTGGTGGTGTATGTTAAAGCATTAGGCTAATAACTGTACATGTGACCTCTCTCCAGTAAAGCAACCAGGTGTGTGTGTGAGATTATCTAAGGGTATGTTGAAGCACAATGCTCAAACAGTATGGCCTCTCTCTCTTGCCAGGCTCCCCTTTCTCCTCAGGATCTCTCCAAGACTCTGAAGGTTGAGGAGAAACTTCACAAGAATGAGGCCAAGGTGAGTGAACTCTTCAGGACTACAGGGAGTGACCTGTGTATGTTTCTCAGTGTGACTCCTATGGTCTTGGGTTCTATTCCTGCTGGGAACGTCATACACATTCTAAAGCAGTGTGCATTCACTGTAGCCTATTGTAAGTGCCTGCCAGTACCTAGTGGAATGTACTGTATGTGTTTCTCTGCAAATATGAAAAGTTGGATGTCAATGTTTTGTGACTACAGATCTGTTCTCATCAGTTTTCTGGGCTTGGTCTGTCTCAACAACCGGAAAAGCATATATAAGTTTAGCTTTCTTAATTAACCAGAATATCAACAGTTATTTCTAGTTGTTTATCAAAGTTAGCTGTCTAACTCATTGATCCTGCTTTGTAGTAAACCCTTCTGTTCTCTCCCACAGGTGTTAGAACTGACCAGGGAGTGGACCAACAAGTGGGGGGAGACCCAGAACATTCTCAAGGTACGCTAATATCTCAGTTAATTTGTTAGTTCTTTTTTTTAAACATTTATTTGACCATTAAAAAACACAATACAACCACAAATGTGGACACAATGCATTTAAAATCATTGATGATGATAAAGTTAAACGCATTTCCATTGTGGCCCCCCTTATTAATAATTATGGCTATTTAATAAAACCCAAAATTGATAATAATGCCATTGTAGAGTTATTTCAAAAAGGAGTATGCCCACTCATGGTGAAGACTGGTGCTTCTGCTGGCAACGCACTTGAGTTCAATGATGCCAGATGGTGGTGATGCCAGATGGTGGTGATGCCGTTGGCAATCCTTCCTCTCTTACTGTTTTGGACCTAAAACCTTCGTACAACATTTGACACACAATTTTGGCTAGATGATATATGCTCTCACTCACTCACCCCATCGCTGGCATATATATACATACATACATACATACATACATACATACATACATACATACATACATACATACATACATACATACATACATACATACATACATCCTGGCATATCGGTTTATGCATTGGCTGACTCATAGGTCGGCAACAAAGGCTCTCCACTAGATAATGATAATATCATGTACTCATTTTCTAGCATCTGGGGTATGCCAGAATGTAGAATGAGTCTTGGGCACTGGAATGTCAGTCACTGTAAACCATGTGAAAAGTAAGAAACTTGAAAATGTCTTTCTCTGGGTCAGTAATCTTGTCTCCATTTGTGTGATTATCTGTCACGCTTTATCTCAGACACACACATGCACACACACTTCTCCCAGTAGATCAGCCCAACAGATGGCTGTGTGTCAGTGTCTGAGCTTTGGGCTCCGTCTGACCGTCTGTCTAGATCCACGGATCCCCCAGAAGGCCACAGGAGTTTGACATGTATAAGCACTATTTATATTTTAGGATCCGTCGCTAATGAAACACTATTCCCTTTATAGTGCACTACTTTTGGTCAAAAGTAGTGCACTACATAGGGAAAAGGGTGACATTTGGGACACACCCTTAGTCTTGGCTGCCTGGCTTCTCATCTCACACAATTATGTTGCTGCTAGAATCATCTCTTGTTTGTGTGGCAGCCAAATAAGATTACAAAAAAGTTCTTAAATATCCAGGGACCAATTTGCTGTTGGTTCTGTCAACTCAGTGGCTCTGTCCCAAATGGCACCCTATTCCCTTTATAGGGCTCTGGTCAAAAGTAGTGCACTATATAGGGAATAGGGTGCCATTTGGGACGTAGTAACAGAGGCTCAGCGGGCTTCATAGTGCTGTCTGGTGTATGGAAATGAGTTGGTTGATACTCGGCACAGTATAATCATTTGATGTAGCAGGACTTTGGTGGAGTAGATTCTAGTTTTCCAGTAATGAACATTTGTTTTCTGCTTCTTTGTTCTTCTTCTGTGGTGGACTGATTAGCTAGCTATGCTGATTATGAACTGAATAATGTTGCTTGGAAAGAAGAACCAAATTGTTTGGAAATTAAAGTTGGGGAAATTATTTTGCTAAGTAACTTTGTTTGGAGGATTTTGCAGGACTGTATTATGACAATAATCGCACTAAGCCACAACGGCCACTTGATTTAATACTAAAACTTGCTTGTCCATGTACCCTTTGTCTTCTTAACGATCAGCCCTGAGATTGGGTCTGTTAGCTTACCCACTTCAATCAGTGTAAATGAAGGGGAGGAGACCGGTTAAAGAAGGATTTTTAAACATTGAGACATGGATTGTGTATGTGTGCCATTCAGAGGGTGAATGGGAAGACAAAAAAATTTAAGTGCCTTTGAACGGGGTATGGTAGTAGGTGCCAGGCGCACTGGTTTGTGTCAAGAACTGCAACGCTGCTCGGTTTTTCATGCTCAACAGTTTTCTGTGTGTATCAAGAACGGTCCACCACCCAAAGGACAGCCAGCCAACTTGACACAGCTGTGGGAAGCATTGGAGTGAACATGGACCAGCATCCCTGTAGAACGCTTTCGACACCTTGTAGAGTCCGCGCCCCGACGAATTGAGGGCAAAAGGGGAGGGAGGGTGCACAACTCAATATTAGGAAGGTGTTCCTAATGTTTGCTATACTCAGTGTGTGTGTGTGTGTGTGTATATACACATGCATACATACATACATACATACATACATACATACATACTGGAATACTTATAAATGGTCATAAAGCAACCCAATATGGAGTTAGTTGCAGGTTTTCCTACATTCCAGTTGCCAGTTTCCAAAACAGTCTAACCAGCATTCCGATATAGGCTATGCGGATATAACATTTGACATTTTCAGCAAAGATTGCATGTAGTTTCGGTCTTCCCTAACACTCCCTTTCTCTTCCTCTTTCCGTCCCATGTAAGGGCTGCTTATAGTTCCTGTATCCTACCAGTGGGTGTCACTGTTGCTCTACTGAACCTCAACATGGTGTTGCTATTTAATTTTCCAGCTATTTAGCTTAAATGGCATTCAACTGACATTAGAGCTGCTTAAATGGTCCTGAAGTCAACATCTGACACTGGGAGAAGAGTGAGGGAGAGAAGGGGAAACTCATCAGACATGCCTAATCGCTTACTCTCTCTCCATCCCATATGGCTCATCAGTGTGTGTCGGAGAGAGAGTGGGAGAGAATTTCCCCCTTCATACTTCAGCCTGCCAGCCCAGAGTTTAGTTTATGCTACTCAGGCCCAATAAAAAAGTAAGAAGTTGATGTTCACTTCAGCTTCGCAAAGATGACAGGTTTTGAGTATAAAGTAGGAAAAAGCATCCTAGTGGGGTGGGGGCAGCAAACACAGATCGCGCAGCCACACCATTTGAATCTCAATTGCGTTTCCTTGATTCCTCTCATCTCCTGCTCAACCCATTGGATGAGAAGTTCAGTGGGGAGGGACCAACTGACCTTCTCAATCAATGGGTTTTGAGCAGGAGACGAGAGGACGTGAGGAATCAAGGAAATGCAATTGAGATTCTCCCATGGACTTGGTCCCAGCTTAGACAAAAGAGCTCAATTTACTTTCACATTGAAAGCGGTTCAACTTCTCAAGTAGCTCTTGTTCAGGTCTTCAGTTTTCCTACAGTGTCTACACGGACTAGTCCTAGATGGTGTTGTTTTATTCCCCCACATGATAACAGACACAGCGGTGCCATTCTCTCAGAGGCTGTTCAGAACAGGTGTGTTGTCTTGAACAAGAATAATACATGAGAGCGAGAGAAGACCTCAGGAGGAAGACAAGATGACAGTGACACATGCACACAAGTTTGGCTTGTTGGTACATTGGCAACATGTTTCCAAGTGTCAACAAGGTTTGGCTTTCAATCTTATTCACAATGTTACCAAAATTTTCTGCGGTGGTGAGTGGTTACTTTACTCACTTTGAAACGTTGCATTTCATTTCAAAATCTTTGAAAATATTTGCACCCCACTGAACTAGACCCTGCAACCTGCTGCTAGAGCTAATGAACATTGTAGTTTATTACCTGACACTGCTGATATCTAATTAACAGGTCTTGATTAGCTACATATGGCACTGCATTCATTTAGCTGCTGTCCTTCTGTCCATCCCACGTGTTCATTAATACAGCCATGTTGTAAATCTCAGGTTACATGTTCAACGGTGACTCTGTTTTCCAAAAACATATGGGCTGTGTCTGAAATGGTACCTGGGCCCTGGTAAAAGAAAAATATGCTTTTCACTATATAGGGAATAGGATACAATTTCTGCTCAAAAGGAGTGCATTCTGAGGTCACCTCTCTGAGGTCACAATAGTATTTTTAAAATTTTTAGAACAATTTGGTGTTTCTGATGTACGGCGGGCACTAAATCCCACAAGGCAATACTCAACCCCCCCCATGTTCAGCATACCTTTTCACATATTGACCATTGATTTGTTGATGACAAACCTTTGCAACTATGACAGCATTGTAATATCTGACCATGCTCCGCTTGTCCTCCAGTTTACAGTTCCTGATAGAAAAAGCCCTAACAAAGTCTGGCGCCTTAACTCACTGCTGCTGACTGAACAACGTTTTGATTTTATCACTGCTCAAATAGTGTTTTGTAAATAAGACTCCTGATATTTCTCCCTCTATTCTATGGGAAACGTTTAAAGCTTTTATTCGTGGACAGATAATCTCATACTCAGCTAACGAAAACAAACGTACCAAGAAAGTGGCTGAGATTTAAAGACCGTATTCAGCAAACTGATCATCAGTACTCCATCTCCCCCTCCCCTGACCTGTACAGAACTAGACTATATTTACAATTAGTTTGACTTGATTTCAACAGCCCAAGCTGAACAGCATCTGCTGAGGGCCGTCATTCTACTTTTGAATATGATGAAAAGGCGAGCAGAAATTTAGCCCAACAATTAAGACAATCCACAGCTTCCTGCCTAATACCCCAGCTTCCTGCCTAATACCCCAGCTTTCTGCCGAAGCAGGACTGATTTCAAATGATAGCCATGTGATCAATAATCAGTTAAAAAACGTTTACTTTGATTATATCACACTGAAGCCTCTGGAGATTCCCCGTTGACAGACACTTTCCTTTCAAGTTTACAAATACTGAAGCTAAACGATGCAGTGAGAATGGATCTTGATAAACCACTTACCACTTCAGAAATTCTACAAGCCATAAAGTCCTTAAAAATGGCAAAGCACCGGGACCAGAAGGGTTCTCAGCAGAATTTTTTAAGACATTTGCTGAACAGCTCGTACCGCGTTAAGCCTCAGCCTTCTCCCACTCCTCTACCCCAGACTTCTTACCAAGCCACTATATCAATCATTCTAAAGAAAGATAAGGATCCCCTCGAGTATGCCTCCTACAGGCCTATTTCGCTTCTGGATGTAGACTATAAAATATTTGCTAAAACTGTTTTCCTTGAGACTGCCAAATCAGACAGGCTTTATTAAAAATATACTTTTTTTTTTTTAATGTTTAATATTATACAGTTGAAGTCGGAAGTTTACATACACCTTAGCCAAATACATTTAAACTTAGTTTTTCACAATTTCTGACATTTAATCCTAGTAAAAATTCCCTGTTTTAGGTCATTTAGGATCACCACTTTATTTTAAGAATGTGAAATGTCAGCTTTTATTTCTTTCATCACATTCCCAGTGGGTCAGAAGTTTACATACACTCAATTAGTATTTGGTAGCATTGCCTTTAAATTGTTTAACTTGGGTCAAACGTTTCAGGTAGCCTTCCACAAGCTTCCCACAATAAGTTGGGTGAATTCTGGCCCATTCTTCCTGACAGAGCTGGTGTAACTGAGTCAGGTTTGTAGGCCTCCTTGCTCGCACACGCATTTTCTATAGGATTGAGGTCAGGGCTTTGTGATGGCCACTCCAATATCTTGACTTTGTTGTCCTTAAGCCATTTTGCCACAACTTTGGAAGTATGCTTGGGGTCATTGTCCATTTGGAAGACCCATTTGCGACCAAGCTTTAACTTCCTGACTGATGTCTTGAGATGTTGCTTCAATATATCCACATCATTTTCCTTCCTCATGATGCCATCTATTTTGTGAAGTGCAGCAAAGCACTCCTGCAGCAAAGCACCTCCACAGCATGATGCTGCCACCCCTGTGCTTCACGGTTGGGATGGTGTTCTTCGGCTTGCACGCATCCCCCTTTTTCCTCCAAACATAACGATGGTCATTATGGCCAAACAGTTCTATTTTTGTTTCATCAGACCAGAGGACATTTCTCCAAAAAGTACGATCTTTGTCCCCATGTGCAGTTGCAAACCGTAGTCTGGCTTTTTTATGGCGGTTTTGGAGCAGTGGCTTCTTCCTTGCTGAGCGCACCAAAGTACGTTTATCTCTAGGAGACAGAATGCGTCTCCTTCCTGAGCGGTATGACGGCTGCGTGGTTCCATGGTGTTTATACTTGCGTACTATTGTTTGTACAGATGAACGTGGTACCTTCAGGCATTTGGAAATTGCTACCAAGGATGAACCAGACTTGTGGAGGTCTACCATTTTTTTTTCTGAGGTCTTGGCTGATTTTCTTTTGATATTCCCATGATGTCAAGCAAAGAGGCACTGAGTTTGAAGGTAGGCCTTGAAATACATCCACAGGTACACCTCCAATTGACTCAAATGATGTCAATTAGCCTATCAGAAGCTTCTAAAGCCATAACATCATTTTCTGGAATTTTCCAAGCTGTTTAACGGCACAGTCAACTTAGTGTGTTAACTTCTGACCCACTGGAATTGTGATACAGTGAAATAATCTGTGTGTAAACAATTGTTGGAAAAATTACTTGTGTCATGCACAATCGTGTGTTTGTATGCATGTCTGTGCCTATGTTTGTGTTGCTTCACAGTCCCTGCTGTTCCATAAGGTGTATTTTTATAAAAAAAAATTAAAGTCAAATTTTATTGCTTGCATGAGTTACTTGATATGGAATAGAGTTCCATGTAGTCATGGCTCTATGTAGTACTGTGTGCCTCCCATAGTCTGTTCTGGACTTGGGGACTGTGAAGAGACATCTGGTGGCATGTCTTGTGGGGTATGCATGGGTGTCCGAGCTGTGTGCCAGTAGTTCAAACAGACAGCTCGGTGCATTCAACATGTCAATACCTCTCACAAATACAAGTAGTGATGAAGTCAATCTCTCCTCCACTTGGAGCCAGGAGAGATTGACATGCATTTTATTAATGTTAGCTCTCTGTGTACATCCAAGGGCCAGCTGTGCTGCCCTGTTCTGAGCCAATTGCAATTTTCCTAAGTCCCTCTTTGTGGCACCTGACCGCACGACTGAACAGTAGGATGGATTGGACCTGCTAAGAATCTGTTACCATACCTCTGAGTTGTGCTTCTTGGTCCTGTCCCTCGGGACCCATCAAACCTCTCATTGGGGTTGGGTGGAGGCCGGGGGAGAGAATATGTGCATCCCTTTGGGTTCCCAGGGCCAGAAGTTGGGAAGCATTTCCCTCCAACAATGTAAAAATGGCCATGTCCTTGAATGTACATGACCCATCTGAATAAATGGCTATATGAAGTGATCTGATATTATATACCATAAAATGTAGATGAAATATTTGTGAAATATGAAAACTGAAAAAAAGTGTGTATACATACTTTGTTGAAGCGCCATTGGCAGTGATTACAGCCTCGAGTCTTCTTGGGTATGACTCTACAAGCTTGGCACACCTGTATTTGGGGAGTTTCCCCCATTCTTCTCTGCAGATCCTCTCAAGCTCTGTCAGGTTGGATGGGGCGCGTTGCTGCACAGCTATTTTCAGGTCTCTCCAGAGATGTTCTATCGGGTTCAAGTCCGGGCTCTGGCTGGGCCACTCAAGGACATTCAGAGACTTGTCCTGAAGCCACTCCTACATTGTCTTGGCTGTGTGCTTAGGGTCGTTGTCCTGTCGGAAGGTGAACCTTTGCCCCAGTCTGAGGTCCTGAGCGCTCTGGAGCAGGTTTTCATCAACGATCTCTCTGCACTTTGCTCCGTTCATCTTCCCCTCAATCCTGACTAGTCTTGCCGTCCCTGCCGCTGAAAAACATCCCCACAGGATGATGCTGCTACCACCATGCTTCACCGTAGGGATGGTGCCAGGTTTCCTCCAGACATGATGCTTGGCATTCAGGCCAAAGAGTTCAAACTTGGTTTTATCAAACCAGAGAATCTTGTTTCTCATGGTTTGAGTCCTTTAGGTGCCTTTTGGCAAACTCCAAGCGGGCTGTCATGTGCCTTTTACTGAGGGGCTTCCATCTGGCCACTCTACCATAAAGGCCTGATTGGTGGAGTGCTGCAGAGATGGTTGTCCTTCTGAAAGGTTCTCCCATCTCCACAGAGGAACTCTGGAGCTCTGTCAGTGACCATTGGGTTATTGGTCACCTCCCTGACCAAGGCCCTTCTCCACCGATTGCTCAGTTTGGGTGGTGCGTACGGCCCAGTTCAGCTTCCTGCCATCCAGGACCTCTATTTACATTTACATTTTAGTCATTTAGCAGACGCTCTTATCCAGAGCGACTTACAGTTAGTGAATACATATTTTTTTATACTGGCCCCCCGTGGGAATCGAACCCACAACCCTGGCGTTGCAAACGCCATGCTCTATCAACTGAGCTACATCCCTGCCGGCCATTCCCTCCCCTACCCTGGACGACGCTGGGCCAATTGTGCGCCGCCCCATGAGTCTCCCGGTCGCGGCCGGCTGCGACAGAGCCTGGATTCGAACCAGGATCTCTAGTGACACAGTTAGCACTGCGATGCAGTGCCTTAGACCACTGCGCCACTCAGTTATACCAGGCGGTGTCAGAGGAAGGCCCTCAAAATTGTAAAAGACTCCAGCCACCCTAGTCATAGACTGTTCTCTCTGCTACCGCGCGGTACCGGAGTGCCAAGTCTAGGTCCAAAAGACTTCTCAACAGCTTCTACCCCCAAGCCATAAGACTCCTGAACAGCTAATCATGGCTACCCGGACTATTTGCACTGCCCCCCCACCCCATCCTTTTTACGCTGCTGCTACTCTGTTAATTATTTATGCATAGTCACTTTAACTCTACCCACATGTACATATTATCTCAACTAGCCGGTGCCCCCGCACATTGACTCTGCAACGGTACCCCCCTGTATATATAGCCTCCCTACTGTTATTTTATTTTACTTCTGCTCTTTTTTTTCTCAACACTTTTTTGTTTTGTTTTTATTTTTATGCCTGGAATTTCAGCCTGTTCAGGTGGGATGAAGTTTTTTGCTCACATCATGACATAATCTGATCTGATTTATTCTGGCCACTGACCAGTCACCTTTTATTTGCATTTGTATCCTCCTCCTTTGAAGGAGTAAGTAAGGGTAGACTCCAGAGCAGGGGTGGGCCAGCTGATTTAAACTAATTGCATTCTAAACTGAAGATCTGGTGTTAGCTGGGGCTGGGGCAAAAGTGTGACACGATCAGGCCCCCGACAACTGGAGTTGCCCTGTTATCTAGAGTCTAAACCCCTAAAATTCAGTTCTGGACCTCGAAGCCTGTTCCAATGCTTTTTTTCATTGTTTCCCTCTAATCAGAGACTGATTTAGACGTGGGACACCAGGTGCGTGCAATTAATTATTAGGTAGAACAGAAAACCAGCATGCTCCAGACCTCGTAGGGTAAGAGTTGAAAACCCCTGGTATAGATTATCCTATTTGCCAATCAGGTCTGTGTATGTAAATATATTTAAATGTTTCAACACGCCCACACGATCAGACTGAGCATTTCAATGGCAAAAGGAGAATCAGGGAAATAATGTGGAGTTATTGTCATGAAAATAAACAGTGATTTATTAGGCATAGTGATGGTTAAAAAAATACAATTTAAAAGACTGTATAGGGAGTTTAAAGGGAGTTTACTATAAGGGAGACCATTACATATTCTATCTCTACAGGGACAGAGGGCTGAGGGGAATCGACACACACACACACTAGGGCCGGGACGATACCAGTATCGCGATACTCGTTAGTATCATGGCAACAGCACTAATGTTGGAAACAAACATTATGTTGTCATCCAGAGTCCCATTTATTTATTTTCCAAGCTATAGCACACAATATTTTACTTACAGCAGGTTTTTGAAGGACCAAAGAGTTGTCTGCTTCGTGTTGAAATCTTTGCCATGTAAAAAATATTGCGATTCTGGTATCGTCACAGCCCTAATACACACACACTGATATGAAGCCTGGCCATGTTTTTCCATGTTAAACGTTCAGCGTGACACCCGGGCTGAAAGGCCACTGTACTGGCAAGCGGCTGGCATACTGATGTTGCCATAACGATAAGTGTTTGATGAACAGCTTTATGGATTTGACATTTCGTCTTCCCTTATATTTGAATTCTGTGCAGGGTGACGAGTGGTAGAACCCGCCATGGAGCCAGGGGTACGGTGAGAAATGCAGGGGACATATTAGATTCCTGCGCTTCATTGTTAGAGAAAGAGAGCAGTGTAAACAGAAGGGTAATGCAGTTTCCCATGTAGATTTAGAATGCTAATGGCACCCAATTCCTCATTTAGTGCACTACTAAATAGGGAATATGGCACCACTTTTGACCATAGCCCTATGGGCCCTGGACATAAGTAGTGCACTAAATAGGGATTAGGTTGGCATTTGGGACTTAGACAGATTGGTTGCAGGGTACGTGGGAAAGGAAAGGTAATTTATATGAGATGGGTTGAAGAGCGGGAAGAGGGGGAGGGAGAAAGGAAGCGGGAAAGATACCAAAATGTTCTCATCTCCTGCTGTATACTTACACGCACAAATATTTCAGGATGTACCTGCCCATTTGTTTGGAGAGAGGTGCCACAGATTAATGCAAACCTGTTCTTGTTCTAGTGTTGGATTGCGTCCCAAATGTAACCATATCCCCTATATTGTGCACTACTCTATTTAAAAGAAGTGCACTGTATAGGGAATACGGTACCATTTGGGACACACTCTTGGAATGAGGAACATGATGAAGAAAATTGTTTAAAAAAATAATTTATTTCACCTTTATTTAACCAGGTAACCCAGTTGAACAAGTTCTCATTTACAACTGCGACCTGGCCAAGATAAAGCAAAGCAGTGCGATAAAAAACAACAACACAGAGTTACATATGGGGTAAAACAAAACATAAAGTCAAAAATACAACAGAAAATATATATAGACAGTGTGTGCAAATGTAGCAAGTTATGGAGGTAAGGCAATAAATAGGCCATAGTGCAAAATAATTACAATTTAGTATTAACACTGGAATGATAGATGTGCAAGAGATGATGTGCAAATAGAGATACTGGGGTGCAAATGAGCAAAATAAATAACAATATGAAGATGAGGTAGTTGGGTGGGCTAATTTCAGATGGGCTGTGTACAGGTGCAGTGATCGGTAAGGTGCTCTGACAACTGATGCTTAAAGTTAGTGAGGGAGATGAGCTGTCCTCTTGATTTGTGGAAAGGGAGACTGTTACTTTCTAGAAGTTTTATATTTTTGTTAGAGCCAGTGCCAACAGGGGACTGTTTCTTGGGTTGGATGAATCCTTCTCTTTTTCTCTCGATCTCTCTCGCTCGCTCTAGACTCCTCTGAACCTGCTATGATAAGCACATCGGAGAGTAGAGATTAAAGTATGTAACCATCGGTTTCTGATACTCCCAAATGGCACCTTATTCCCTATGTAGTGTACTACTTTGACCAGTGCCCATAGGGTGCCATTTGGGTAGTGCTGAGCGATTTAAATGAAATTTCAAGCAACTAGTTATTTTCCATTTTGTTTTTTGTCAGTTCCATGCGCACATACAGTGAGGGGGAAAAAAGTATTTGATCCCCTGCTGATTTTGTACGTTTGACCACTGACAAAGACATGATCAGTCTATAATGTTAATGGTAGGTTTATTTGAACAGTGAGAGACACTATAACAACAAAAACATCCAGAAAAACGCATGTCAAAAATGTTATGAATTGATTTGCATTTTAATGAGGTAAATAAGTATTTGACCCCTCTGCAAAATATGACTTAGTACTTGGTGGCAAAACCCTTGTTGGCAATCACAGAGGTCAGACGTTTCTTGTAGTTGGCCACCAGGTTTGCACACATCTCAGGAGGGATTTTGTCCCACTCCTCTTTGCAGATCTTCTCCAAGTCATTAAGGTTTCAAGCCTGATGTTTGGCAACTCGAACCTTCAGCTCCCTCCACATATTTTCTATGGGATTAAGGTCTGGAGACTGGCGAGGCCACTTCTTGAGCCACTCCTTTGTTGCCTTTGCCGTTTTGGGTCATTGTCATGCTGGAATACCCATCCACGACCCATTTTCAATGCCCTGGTTGAGGGAAGGAGGTTCTCACTCAAGATTTGATGGTACATGACACCGTCCATCGTCCCTTTGATGCGGTGAAGTTGTCCTGTCCCCTTATCAGAAACCCCCCCCCAAGGCATAATGTTTCCACCTCCATGTTTGACGGTGGGGATGGTGTTCTTGGGGTCATAGGCAGCATTCCTCCTCCTCCAAACACGGCGAGTTGAGTTGATGCCAAAGAGCTCGATTCTGGTCTCATCTGACCACAACACTTTCACCCAGTTCTCCTCTGAATCATTCAGATGTTCATTGGCAAACTTCAGACGGGCCTGTGTATGTGCCTTCTTGAGCAGGGGGACCTTGTGGGCGCTGCAGGATTTCAGTCCTTCACGGCGTAGTGTGTTACCAATTGTTTTCTTGGTGACTATGGTCCCAGCTGCCTTGAGATCATTGACAAGACCCTCCCGTGTAGTTCTGGGCTGATTCTTCACCGTTCTCATGATCATTGCAACTCCACGAGGTGAGATCTTGCATGGAGCCCCAGGCTGAGGGAGATTGACAGTTATTTTGTGTTTCTTCCATTTGCGAATAATCGCACCAACTGTTGTCACCTTCTCACCAAGCTGCTTGGCGATGGTCTTGTAGCCCATTCCAGCCTTGTGTAGGTCTACAATCTTGTCCCTGACATCCTTGGAGAGCTCTTTGGTCTTGGCCATGGTGGAGAGTTTGGAATCTGATTGATAGATTACTTCTGTGGACAGGTGTCTTTTATACAGTTAACAAACTGAGATTAGGAGCACTCCCTTTAAGAGTGTGCTCCTAATCTCAGCTCGTTACCTGCATAAAAGACACCTGGGAGCCAGAAGTGTTTATGATTGTGAAGGGGTCAAATAATTATATCCCTCATTAAAATGCAAATCAATTCATAAAATTTTTGACATGTGTTTTTCTGGATTTTGTTGTTGTTATTCTGTCTCTCACTGTTCAAATAAACCTACCATTAAAATTATAGACTGATCATGTCTTTGTCAGTGGGCAAACGTACAAAATCCGCAGGGGATCAAATACTTTTTTCCCTCACTGTAGCACAGTTTCTCTAGAGATAAATCGTATCCAGCCTGAACTGTGCGACGTACTAGGGAGTTGTAGTTTTGTGAGGTATCTCTACCTGAAAATACATGATCAAAGTGATTTGATAGTTGGTATTCAGCAGTGATAAAAGTATTCCTTATTTACTTTGAAGAACTACTAAAATAGTGATTTAGTCAGACCGCATAGGCAGCAGCTCTATAGAGATGAGATGATGACTTGGAATGAAATAATTTAGTAAAATAAAACAAATGTAATATACACAACAACTGAAATATTTCACTTAAAGTAATGTGAATAAATGATGGTTAAGAAGCGATAGGCAGTAATGGGGACTTTTATTAATTGTTTTATTCTGTGTTACAGCATTCAACCCAAATAATCGAAATTGAAAACAGTGATATTTTTTCAAATAGTCGAACCGAAACCAAACCTACCTCAAAAAGCACAAATCGCTCAGCACTACATCTGGGACGTCCCCACAGACTGTCTTCTGTTCTTCCACCATTGTCTTTGGTCTGTCATTTCCACATTATATTTCATCATTAAGGGATTCCATTACCTTCTAGTATCCACCCTGTCTGCAGTTAGACCTTGATGTATCATTTGAGATGACCTTTGTGATTGTTCTATCTATAACCTTTACATGAGCGATAGAGCTCAATTTCAGATGGCTTGACTAGGACTCGACTTGACTCGCAGTGGAAATCAATAAGCATTCAAGTTGCTGATGTTTTTGAGCCCTTAACTTCACGGAAGTAAATCCCATTTAATGCGTAGATCTATGAGCTTCATTCTAATGTCTTTGGTGACTTCCCTCAGACTTGCTCCAAATGGAGAAGTATTGTTTTGTGCTTTTTTATTGTAGTGTTTCAGTGTGTGCCTCTGCAGGTGAGGTGGACAGGTGACTAGCTGGCGAGCTGGACAGATGCTTGGCTGTCCTACAGTGGAGTTTGATATGCAGAGTAAGGTAGAGGAAACTCCTATGAATGTCTGGAGGCGCTCAGAAACCCATTAAAGATGGAATCCGCATGTAGGGGAAACTGCGGCACTGTCCGTCCTACGGCTATTGTTATTGATTTGTTGCCGAAGCAGAGCTGGGGAGCGTCGCACATTGTGAATTTTTTTTGGGGGGCAGTACATATGCTGCTGTTCTATCGTGTGTGTGCAATGATGTTGGCGGTAACTTCTTTGTTGTAATATCGCAAATGCACATGGCAGTTTCACCATTAAGGATTCCAGTTTTAAAGCCATCATCTGCAGTTGGGTGACATTTTAATAATGCTGCCCAAGATGGCCTTTGATGTTCTAGAGAACCTCCACATGTCTGTAACCATGGAGATAGAACAGGGACATGATGGCACAAACAAATCTGGGCCCAGGTTCACAGAACACTTCTTACGCAAAAACGTAATAAGCTTAACATTGTTTACAAAAAGAAGTTCATAAGATAGTTTGTAAGTGCATTTCCTCAACATCTTAAGATTTAATGATTTGAATTCTTATGAATCTTCTTCAATTGTTTGTTGCTAATCACCCGATTTTTAGCTAGCAATGGCAATCATGTTAGCATATTTCGTACTGAAATTACTGTTCTAAAACATGTTCTTGGGTTTAAAATAATAAATACTGAAACTTTCAGATGAAGTTTGTGAATTAAACATGTTCAATTGCTTTCATGAGCTTCTTCTCTCACTGCCCTGAGTTTAAGACAAGGGTTTATCTATCTTGGAATTAAGAACATTTCCAATAACTTTATCTTCAAGAATCTAAATTTCTACTTAACTTTTTGCTTAAGGAGAAACATTATAAATAAATAGCTCGAATTTCCAAGAACCTTTTTGAGGAATAGCAATTTTGTTTAACTTTCTTCTTAAGTCTATAGTTAAGGAAAAAATTGGCAGTTAAGAAGACATTTCTTCTTAAGGAGGTTTTGTGAATCTGGGCCCAGGTTTGGACCGTGAGGAACTGAGTGATTGAGTTCTATAGAGTTATTTTTAGACCTCTTGACAACTTTTCATGACTTGACCATTCACTTTCTATGACTCGTAATGAAAATCGCTAAGCAATTGAGTGTCCAATGTCTGCTCTCAAAGCCTCAAGCATTTTGTTGCAACTCCCAATTATAAATCCCAATAATGCAAAGATCTGAATTTAAACTTCTTTGGAGAGAGATCCCCGCAAGTTACCACTACTGTTCCAATTCGAGATGGCCTCCTAACCTACTCTGCCCTGTGCTATCTCTGCGTGATGATTTTTTATTGATGTTGTAGTGTGGGCTCCTGTCAGATGAAGTACTCCTGAGTGGCGCAGTGGTCTAAGGCACTGCATCGCAGTGCTAACTGTGCCACTAGAGATCCTGGTTCGAATCCAGGCTCTGTCGCAGCCGGCCGCGACCGGGAGACTCATGGGCGGCGCACAATTGGCCCAGCGTCGTCCAGGGTAGGGGAGGGAATGGCCGGCAGGGATGTAGCTCAGTTGATAGAGCATGGCGTTTGCAATGCCAGGGTTGTGGGTTTGATTCCCACGGGGGGCAAGTATAAAAAAAAATATGTATTCACTAACTGTAAGTCGCTCTGGATAAGAGCGTCTGCTAAATGACTAAAATGTAAATGTAAAGTTTGTGCCATATTTATTAAATATATTGGAAATCTTACTCACCAGTGCTCTCATCAGAGCTCTCGTGGACAGGTGGTGGGCTGACCTTGCAGTGGAGATACTTTAATTTATGTAAAGTGAAGTAGGGAAACTCAGTGGAAGTGCTCACAAATGCATGAAAGCCATCATCTGCAGTTGGGTGAAATTTTAATGCGAGTTTAAACGCTGCCCAAGCCTGGCCAATAGATGAGGTGTGTTTGTGCCCAAGCCTGCCCAAAAGATAATTACGTCCACCACCTGCCTCAATCAAGGGATGGAGAGCAACACACTCACACATGCAGTAGTGTGTGTGTGGCATCATGCTGCATGGCCTGGCCCTATACTCTGATTTGGTCTGACTAAGAAAAATTATCTCATCTACCCATCCTGTCTCAGGGAAGTGTGTGTCCAGGCCTATAGTTAATTAAAGGGTTTCTTCACAGACTTCATTAGAGGTGAAGAGAGGAGCCTGGCAGATTAATGCACTGTCACTTAACTGAGACAGGACTGGGAGATGAGAGACACACACACACTGAGTGAGTTAGTTTGTTATTCAGCAGGAGCCACTGACTGAAAGGAAAAGGCAGTTTAGCCTTGAACCCAAGGTGGGAAGTCTGCTCTGCTTTTAATGTCTGGTGCCATTTCATCGAAGTCAATAGTCATAACACTGGCAATGTTTTTCAGCCTCCTAGTATAGAATATATAGACACACACACACGGCTGTCGACTCCCCCTCTCAGGACAGTTTCCTGACGTTAGCCCAGCTCCCGTACTGTGGGCAGTGAAGCAGACCGTACAGAGCAGACCGTTCACAGATGGAAATGTAGAATTGCACCTCTGTACTAAAGCTTTAAAAATGTATTCCACCGATCAAATCCATTTATTCTGCCTCTTATCACCCTCTTCTGACGTGCAGAAACCTGAAATGCCATTAAATACATATTTAGCAGGGATTTCTGGACAAACGGCATGGATTTTCCCACCTGAACATTCATTGATTTGAGGCTGACTTTTGAGTTTCTGATGTGACCAAAGGCTAACGTGGGGGTGTGACTTCCTGTAATGTGAATGTCAGCACTATAGGGCAGCATTCATCACACACACACACACACACACACACTATAGGGTAGCATTAATCACAGACTTGTGTGTGTGTGGAATATGGACGTTAAAAACCCTTCTATTAGTCAGTGTTTGACATGGAGGTTTCTGTGTGTGAATAAATACAATTCTTCAGAAGGGAAAATATCTATGATAATAATGCCATGAAATTGTGTTTTAGAATGTTTCATATTCACCCGATCCTTCAACCTTTCCTCAGGAAGATGGTGCATTGAAAGATAATTTGCCACAGAGGTGCAGAGAAAACACATCACTTGTTGTATAAAGATGAATAGGAGGGCAACATGCAGTGCCTTCAGAAAGTATTCCTGCCCCTTGACTTATTCCACATTGTTGTTACAGCCTGAATTCAAAATAGATTAAAACTTTTCTTCTCACCCATCTACACACTACCCCATAATGACAGTGAACATTATGTGTTTTGTACAGAAATATGTAATTTACGTAAGTATTCACACCCCTGAGTCAATACATGATGTAATCACCTTTGGCAGCGACTACAGCTGTGAGTCTTTCTGGGTAAGTCTCTAAGAGCTTTGCACACCTGGTTTGTACAATATTTGCCCATTTATTCTTTTTAAAATTCTTCAAGCTCTGTGAAGTTGGTTGTTGGTCATTGCTAGGCAGCCATTTTCAAGTCTTGCCTTAGATTTTCAAGCCGATTTAAGTCAAAACTAACTTGGCCACTCAGGAACATTCAACGTCGTCTTGGTAAGCAACTCCAGTGTATATTTTGCCTTGTGTTTTAGGTTATTGTCCCGCTGAAAGGTGAATTAGTCTCCCAGTGTCTGGTGGAAAGCAGACTGAACTAAGTTTTCCTCTAGGATTTTGCCTGTGATTAGCGCTCTTCCGGTTCTTTTTATAAAAATAAAACTCCCTAGTGCTTCCTGATGACCGGCATACCCATAACATGATGCAGCCACCATCATGCTTGAAAATATGAAGTGGTACTCAGTGATGTGTTGTGTTGGATTTGCCCCAAACATAACGCTTTGTATTCAGGACAGAAAGTAAATTTCTTTGCCACATTCTTGGCAGTTTAGTGCCTTATTACAAACAGGATGCATGTTTATGGAATATTTTTATTCTGTACAGTCTTCCTTTTCACTGTGTCATTTAAGCTAGTATTGTGGAGTAACTAAATGTTGTTGATCCATCCTCAGTTTTCTTCTATCACAGCCATTAAACTCTGTAACTGTTTTAAGTCACCATTGGCCTCATGGTGAAATCGCTGAGCGGTTTCCTTCCTCTCCGGCAACTGAGTTAGGAGGGACGCCTGTATCGTTGTAGTGACTGGGTGTATTGATAGACCATCAAAAGTATAATTAATATACTGTCTTTTTGTTTGTTTTTACCCATCTATCAATAGGTGCCCTTTACGAGGCATTGGAAAACCTCCATGGTCTTTGTGGTTGAGAAATTAACTGCTCAACTGAGGGACCTTAAAATGATCTGTGTGTGTGTGGGGTACAGAGATGAGGTAGTCATTAAAAAATCATGTTAAACACTTATTGCACACAGTGAGTCCATGCAACTTATGTGACTTAAGCACATTTTTACTCATTAACTTATTTAGGCTTGCCATAACAATAGGGTTGAATACTTATTGACTCAAGACATTTCAGCTTTTCATTTTTAATTAATTAGTAAACATTTCTAAAATCATAATTCCGTTTTGACATTATGGGGTATTTATGTGTAGGCCAGTGACACAATCTCAATGTAATTAATTTTAAATTCAGGCTGTAACACAACAAAATGTGGACAACATTAAAGGGTGTGAATACTTTCTGAAGGCACCGAATACCTTTTATACAGTGCCTTTGGAAAGTATTCAGACCCCTTGACTTTTTCCACATTTTGCTAGGTTACGGCCTTATTCTAAAATTGATAAAATAGTTTTTTCCCTCATCAATCTACACAATGCCCCATAATGACAAACCAAAAACAGGTTTTTAGAAATTTTTGCTAATTTATTAAAAATAAAAAACGATCACATTTTACATAAGTATTCAGACCCTTTACTCAGTACTTTGTTGAAGCACCTTTGACAGCGATTACAGCCTCAAGTCTTCTTGGGTATGACTCTACAAGCTTGGCACACCTGTATTTGGGGAGTTTCTCCCATTATTCTCTGCAGATCCTTTCAAGCTCTGTCAGGTTGGATGGGAGCGATGCTGCACAGCTATTTTCAGGTCTCTTCAGAGATATTCGATCGGGTTCAAGTGCCTGGGCTCAGGCTAGGCCTCTCAAGGACATTCAGAGACTTGTCCTGAAGCCACTCCTGCGTTGTCTTGGCTGTGTGCTTAGGGTTGTTGTCCTGTTGGAAGGTGAGCCTTCACCCCAGTCTGCGGTCCTGTGCGCTCTGGAGCAGGTTTTCATCAAGGATCTCTCTGTACTTTGCTCCGTTCATCTTTGCCTCGATGCTGACTAGTCTCCCTGCCACTGAAAAACATCCCCACAGCATGATGCTGCAACCACCATGCTTCACCGTAGGGATGGTGCCAGGTTTCCTCCAGACGTGACGCTTGGCATTTATTAGGTTTATTTTATTTTACGAAGTCCTTTTTACATCGGCAAAGTCACAAAGTGCTTTACAGAAACCCTTCCTAAAATCACGAAAGAGCAAGCAATGCAGGTGTAGAAGCACCGTGGCTACTAAAAATCTTCTGGCTGTACCAGTAGGACCTGCCTGGTTGATTTTAGATGTCAATAAAGCAGAGCAATGCCTTTTCTTAGCTACATTAGTGGATCTCAACATTTTACACACAAGGTACCCCCTGTGGATAGGCCAGGTACCCTCAGGGGTCCTAGTACCCCAGGTTGACAACCACTGACCTACAGTATGCTGTGTCTGCATGAAGGTCAAGTAGATCTGACTATTGTCTTAAGTTTGTCTCTGGTCTGTGTAAAGTTGAGTATTCCCTCAGTCTCTCTCTCTCTCACACACACACACACACACACACACACACACACACACACACACACACACACACACACACACACACACACACACAGAGTTTGAGTGTTTCAACCGTAGGCACCATAGTTGAAATCTTAAACCAATGGTGCATAGTTATTTTGTGTGTGGTGCGATGCTGGTGGAGTGATCCGCTTGGTAAAACACTGTGTACGTCGCCATGGTAATCTGAGTTGTTTATAGTCCCTCTAACCTTTAGCCAGTCTACCACTGGGACACATGGTTTGTGCTTCCCAAATGGTACCCTATTCCCTTCGTAGTGCACTACTTTTGATCTGGTCAAAAGTATTGCGCTGTATAGTGAATAGGGTGCCATCTCTGACTGACATGTTTGGAGCTTTGCTGTTATTCTTTCTAACTTTGGAGTGGGGAAGAGCCAGAACTCCTAAATAATTCACTTTTCTGCTGTTTTGCTATTAAACGTCTGACTGTCAGCGGTTTCGTTGGTTGTTATTCGTTGGGGCGGCAGGTAGCATTGTGGTTAAGAGCGTTGTGCCAGTAACCGAAAGGTCGCTGGTTGTAATCCCCGAGCCGACTAGGTGAAAAATCTGTCGGTGCCCTTGAGCAAGGCACTTAACCCTAATTGCTCCTGTAAGTCGCTCTGGATAAGAGCGTCTGCTAAATGACTAAAATGTAAATGTAAAATGTTATTGTTGCCCAGACCTAGGAGCTCTATGGTGATTTTCTGTGCTCTGTTTGGTCCCTGTTGTGTTGGAGGAGATGGTAGCACTAAGGAAGGAGGAGATAGGAGTGGTGCTGGACTCAGAACTACCTAACCTGTTTCGTGACTGTGTCTGGCTGTTTACTGTGTCTGGCTGTTTACTGTGTCTGGCTGTGACTGTCTGTTATATAGATGTACAGTACCAGTCAACGGTTTGGACACACCTACTCATTCAAGGGTTCTTTCTTTATTTTTACTATTTTCTACATTATATAATAATAGTGAAGACATCAAAACTATGAAATAACACATATGGAATCATGTAGTAACCCAAAAAAGTGTTAAATAAATCAAAATATATCTTATATTTGAGATTCTTCAAAGTAGCCAGCCTTTGCCTTGATGACAGCACACTTGGCATTCTCTCAACCAGCATCATGAGGTAGTCACCTGGAATGAATTTCAATGAACAGGTGTGCCCTACCTGGCAGGGTTGGTCCTACAAAGCCAGAGCCCCCTGATGGGAGAGCATAATATACAAGGAAATTCTCAAAGCTGCTAATGAGAACCTTGACGACCTTTTACCTAGCCGGTGGGGTACGCCCACCCAGGTAGTGGCAGTGCTGGAAACACTGGCTGCAGTAACCCATGGGGAGGGGGTCACACTCGGACAATCAGAGAGGGGGTTTTTCATTGTGGCACAAAATAATCAAAGGTCTGACCGCACGGAGATGCTTGGGAAAATGGTTACAACAGGGGATCAGAGTGTTTGTGTCTCAGGTGAAGAGGGTGGATCTGATCTCCATCACCTAGGACTTGACATAGATTAAGTAGATTAATCAAATCTCACATTGTTGTCAATTTCTGCTCAATCTGCATGCTTTCTCAATCAGCTTTAACTGTATGTGCACTCGTAAATCAGGTTCTTTCTTGAGTTGGGCTCTGGGATATAACAGCCGTTGAGTATCTGATTTTATGGTGGATTGTGGAGGAGGGGGGTTGAGTGTGTTGGAGTATGTGAGTGTGCGTGTGTGTTTGTCCGGCATCTGTTGTGGGGGGGTGGGGTTATGGGATGGACCACAGGAATTATTTGCTAGGATAATAATTGCTTGTCAATATATTAAATGTAATACAATGGCAATCCGGGTTATATGTTAAAATCCTACGCATGAACTGCCGACATTATTACGCATATTAATTGATAATGATGGAAAATAGGATATGCATAATTTTTTTTAAAATAGTTATATATATATATATATATATATATATATGAGAGCGAGAGAGGTGACAGCATTGGAAATGCTTTTGGCGGTTAATCTGCTTCTGTTTTGTGGGTGGCACAAGACAATATTATTATGGTGGGGGATTATAATACTGTTTTAAATAGCTCAATGGACCGTAAAGGAAATCACACCACAAACAATCACCCACATGCTCTTAAGGAAATTGTGAATGTCATGGATACATTAGAACTAGTAGATATATGGAGGCTTAAATATACTGATCTAGTGAGGTATACATGGCGGAGACTGAATCAAGCTAGTCGTCTTGACTTCTTTCTTATCTCATTCTCGTTGGCACCAAAAGTATTAAAGTGTTGATAGGGGACAGAATGCGGTCAGACCATCATATAATTGGCATATACATTACTCTTACTGAATTTCCACGTGGGCGAGGATATTGGAAATTTTATCAAAGCCTATTGGATGATAATTTATTTATAATTAGAACAAAGGAATTTATAACTTACTTTTTCCGACATAACATAGCAAATCCCCTTATTGTATGGGACACCTTTAAATGTGCCTTTAGAGGCCATGCAATTAAGTACTCATCTCGAAAACAAAAGCAATTTAGGTCAAAAGAGTTTATACTAACAAAGGAAATAGAAAGTCTAACAGAACAGATAGATGGCAATAAAAACTGTAACATAGAGGCTCAGAATAAATTAGAGGAAAAACAAAAAGAAATGGAGAAACTTATTCAAGAAAGATCAAGTGTAATATATTATAAAAATAAAGCAAACTGGATGGAATATGGGGAAAAATGCACAAAATTATTTTTTAATCTTCAACATAGGAATGCTACCAAAAATAACTTAATGAAACTGGTTACAATTGACGGAGTCACCCATGATTCACCAAATGATATTTTGAAGGAGGAAACAAAGTACTTTAAGCATATGTTTTCTTTTCAGTCGCCTCCATCTCCTCTAACTGAAACTAATTGTAGAGATTTTTTTCTATTGATAATGTCAAATTAACAGCCATACAGAAAGACTCATGTGAAGGTGAAATTACAGAGGAGGAACTTCTGGATGCAATTAGTCTGGGAAAACTCCAGGGTTGGATGGCATACCAGTCGAGGTATACCAAACCTTTTTTGATATACTAAGAGGACCGTTATTAGCATGTTTTAACCACTCCTATGTAAATGGTAGATTATCTGACACTCAAGAAGAAGATCTCATTATTACTGAAACAGGATACAAGTGGAAAATTATAAAGATCCAGTCCATTTAAAAAATTGGAGGCCCCTTACACTTCAGTGTTGTGATGCAAAAATTCTAGCAAAATGTATAGCGCATAGAATTAAAAAGGTATTGTCGGATATTATTCATTCTAATCAGACAGGTTTTTTACATGGAAGATACATTGGAGATAATATAAGGCAAGTATTGGAAACAATAGAACACTATGGAAAATATGGGAAACCAGGCCTGCTATTCATAGCAGACTTCAAAAAGGCATTTGATAAAGTATGACTCGGGTTTATATATAAATGCCTGGAGCATTTCAATTTTGGAGAATCTCTTATAAAATGGGTCAAAATCATGTATAGTAACCCTAGGTGTAAAATAGTAAATAATGGCTATTTCTCAGAAAGTTTTAAACTGTCAAGAGGAGTGAAACAAGGTTGTCCACTATTAGCTATTAAAATCAGATCCAATAATAATATCAGAGGATTAGAAATCCAGGGCTTAAAAACAAAGGTGTCATTGTATGCTGATGATTCATGTTTTCTTTTAAATCCACAACTAGAATCCCTCCACAGCCTCAGAGGATCTAGATACATTTTCTAACCTCTCTGGATTACAACCAAATTATGACAAATGTACTATATTACGTATTGGATCACAAAAAAATACAATTTTTACATTACCATGTAGTTTACCAATACAATGTTCTGATGGTGATGTGGATATACTCGATCTCACTTCAATAAATTTTAAAAGAAAGTTAGCAAAAATAGATAATATCTTACTACCATGGAAAGGTAAATACCTGTCAATTTGTGGAAAAATCACCCTGATTTAACTCTTTAGTATTATCCCAGTTGACCTATTTGCTTATGGTCTTGCCTACGCCTAGCGAACAGTTTTTTAAATTATATGAGAAAAAAAGATTCAATTTTATTTGGAATGGCAAGCCAGACAAAATTAAAAGGGCCTATTTATATAATGAATATGAATTCAGAGGACAGAAATTATTAAATATTAAAAAGTTAGACCTATCACTAAAAGCTTCAGTCATACAAAAGTTATACTTAAATCCGAACTGGTTCTCAAGCAAATTAGTAAGATTGTCTCACCCAATGTTCAAGAAAGGCCTTTTTCCCTTTATTCAGATTACAACAACTCATTTTCAGTTATTTGAAATGGAAATCATCTCCCAAATATCACTATTTCTAATTTAATCCTCCAGAAACGACAGAACAAATAATGCAACAAATATTGTGGTTAAATTCAAATATACTAATTGACAAAAAACCTTTATTTTTTGACAGAATGTTTAAAAAAGGTATAATCTTCGTAAATGATATCATCGGTAGGCATTCTAGGTGAAGCTGGTAGAGGGAATGCCAACAGTGTGCAAAGCTGTCATCAAGGCAAACGGTGTCTATTTGAAGAATCTCAAATATAAAATATTTCGATTTGTTCAACACTTTTTTGTTTACTACATGATTCCATATGTGTTATTTCATAATTTTGATGTCTTCACTATTATTCTACAATGTAAAAATAAAGAAAAAAGCCTCCCCTTTTTCCTCCAAACATAACGATGGTCATTATGGCCAAACAGTTGTATTTTTGTTTCATCAGACCAGAGGACATTTCTCCAAAAAGTACAATCTTTGTCCACATGTGCAGTTACAAACCATAGTCTGGCTTTTTTATGGTGGTTTTGGAGCAGTGGCTTCTTCCTTGCTTAGCGGCCTTTCAGGTTATGTCGATATAGGACTCGTTTTACTGTGGATATAGATACTTTTGTACCTGTTTCCTCCAGCATCTTCACAAGGTCCTTTGTTGTTGTTCAGGTATTGATTTGCACTTTTCGCACCAAAGTACATTCATCTCTAGGAGACAGAATGTGTCTCCTTCCTGAGCGATATGACGGCTGCGTGGTCCCATGGTGTTTATACTTGCATACTATTGTTTGTACAGATGAACGTGGTACCTTCAGACATTTGGAAATTGCTCCCAAGGATGAACCAGACTTGTGGTCTACAATTTTTTTTCTGAGGTCTTGGCTGATTTTCTTTTGATTTCCCCATGATGTCAAGCAAAGAGGCACTGAGTTTCATCCACAGGTACACCTCCAATTGACTCAAATGATGTCAATTAGCCTATCAGAAGCTTCTAAAGCCATGACATCATTTTCTGGAATTTTCCAAGCTGTTTAAAGGCACAGTCAACTTAGTGTATGTAAACTTCTGACCCACTGGAATTGTGATACAGTGAATTATACAGTGAGGGGAAAAAAGTATTTGATCCTCTGCTGATTTTGTACGTTTGCCCACTGACAAAGACATGATCAGTCTATAATTTTGATGGTAGGTTTATTTGAACAGTGAGAGACAGAATAACAACAAAAAAATCCAGAAAAATGGTCAGAGGTCAGACGTTTCTTGTAGATGGCCAAAAGGTTTGCACACATCTCAGGAGGGATTTTGTTCCACTCCTCTTTGCAGATCTTCTCCAAGTCATTAAGGTTTCGAGGCTGACGTTTGGCAACTCGAACCTTCAGCTCCCTCCACAGATTTTCTATGGGATTAAGGTCTGGAGACTGGCTAGGCCACTCCAGGACCTTGATGTGCTTCTTCTTGACCCACTCCTTTGTTGCCTTGGCCGTGTTTTGGGACATTGTCATGCTGGAATACCCATCCACGACCCATTTTCAATGCCCTGGCTGAGGGAAGGAGGTTCCCACCCAAGATTTGACGGTACATGGCCCCGTCCATCGTCCCTTTGATGCAGTGAAGTTGTCCTGTCCCCTTAGCAGAAAAACACATTTACATTTACATTTTAGTCATTTAGCAGACGCTCTTATCCAGAGCGACTTACAGGAGCAACCCAAAGCATGTTTCCAACTCCATGTTTGACGGTGGGGATGGTGTTCTTGGGGTCATAGGCAGCATTCGTCCTCCTCCAAATACGGCGAGTTGAGTTGATGCCAAAGAGCTCGATTTTGGTCTCATCTGACCACAACACTTTCACCCAGTTCTCCTCTGGATCATTCAGATGTTCATTGGCAAACTTCAGACGGCCCTGTATATGTGCTCTCTTGAGCAGGGGGACCTTGCGGGCACTGCAGGATTTCAGTCCTTCACGGCGTAGTGTGTTACCAATTGTTTTCTTGGTTACTATGGTCCCAGCTGCCTTATTATTATTATTATTATTATTATTATTATTATTATTGTTATTATTATAATAATAATAATATGCCATTTAGCAGACGCTTTTATCCAAAGCGACTTAGTCATGCGTGCATATTTTTATTTATTTTTGTGTATGGGTGGTCCCGGGGATCGAACCCACTACCTTGGCGTTACAAGCGCCGTGCTCTACCAGCTGAGCTACAGAGGACCACAAAATAACTTTCATTACTCCCGTGTAGTTCTGGGCTGATTCCACACCATTCTCATGATCATTGCAACTCCACGAGGTGAGATCTTGCATGGAGCCCCAGGCCGAGGGAGAATGAAAGTTATTTTGTGTTTCTTCCATTTGCGAATAATCGCACCAACTGTTGTCACCTTCTCACCAAGCTGCTTGGCGATGGTCTTGTAGCCCATTCCAGCCTTGTGTAGGTCTACAATCTTGTCCCTGACATCCTTGGAGAGCTCTTTGGTCTTGGCCTTGGTGGAGAGTTTGGAATCTGATTGATTGATTGCTTCTGTGGACAGGTGTCTTTTTATACAGGTAACAAGCTGAGATTAGGAGCACTCCCTCTAAGAGTGTGCTCCTAATCTCAGCTCGTTACCTGTATAAAAGACACCTGGGAGCCAGAAGTCTTTCTGATTGAGAGGAGGTCAAATACTTATTTCCCTCATTAAAATGCAAATCAATTACATTTTTGACATGCTTTTTGTTGTTATTCTGTCTCTCACTGTTCAAATAAACCTACCATTAAAATTATAGACTGATCATGTCTTTGTCAGTGGGCAAACGTACAAAATCAGCAGGGGATCAAATACTTTTTTCCCTCACTGTAAGTGAAATAATCTGTGTAAACAATTGTTGGAAAAATGACTTGTGTCATGCACAAAGTAGATGTCCTAACCGACTTGCTAAAACTATAGTTTGTTAACAAGAAATTTGTGGAGTGGTTGAAAAACGAGTTTTAATGACTCCAACCTAAGTGTATGTAAACTTCCAACTTCAACTGTATGTACGTACAGTGGGGGAAAAAAAGTATTTAGTCAGCCTCCAATTGTGCAAGTTCTCCCACTTAAAAAGATGAGAGAGGCCTGTAATTTTCATCATAGGTACACGTCAACTATGACAGACAAATTGAGAGAAAAAAAATCCAGAAAATCACATTGTAGGATTTTTTATGAATTTATTTGCAAATTATGGTGGAAAATAAGTATTTGGTCACCTACAAACAAGCAAGATTTCTGGCTCTCACAGACCTGTAACTTCTTCTTTAAGAGGCTCCTCTGTCCTCCACTCGTTACCTGTATTAATGCCACCTGTTTGAACTTGTTATCAGTATAAAAGACACCTGTCCACAACCTCAAACAGTCACACTCCAAACTCCACTATGGCCAAGACCAAAGAGCTGTCAAAGGACACCAGAAACAAAATTGTAGACCTGCACCAGGCTGGGAAGACTGAATCTGCAGTAGGTAAGCAGCTTGGTTTGAAGAAATCAACTGTGGGAGCAATTATTAGGAAATGGAAGACATACAAGACCACTGATAATCTCCCTCGATCTGGGGCTCCACGCAAGATCTCACCCCGTGGGGTCAAAATGATCACAAGAACGGTGAGCAAAAATCCCAGAACCACACGGGGGGACCTAGTGAATGACCTGCAGAGAGCTGGGACCAAAGTAACAAAGCCTACCATCAGTAACACACTACGCCGCCAGGGACTCAAATCCTGCAGTGCCAGACGTGTCCCCCTGCTTAAGCCAGTACATGTCCAGGCCCGTCTGAAGTTTGCTAGAGTGCATTTGGATGATCCAGAAGAGGATTGGGAGAATATCATATGGTCAGATGAAACCAAAATATAAATTTTTGGTAAAAACGCAACTCGTCGTGTTTGGAGGACAAAGAATGCTGAGTTGCATCCAAAGAACACCATACCTACTGTGAAGCATGGGGGTGGAAACATCATGCTTTGGGGCAGTTTTTCTGCAAAGGGACCAGGACGACTGATCCGTGTAAAGGAAAGAATGAATGGGGCCATGTATCGTGAGATTTTGAGTGAAAACCTCCTTCCATCAGCAAGGGTATTGAAGATGAAACATGGCTGGGTCTTTCAGCATGACAATGATCCCAAACACACCGCCCGGGCAACGAAGGAGTGGCTTCGTAAGAAGCATTTCAAGGTCCTGGAGTAGCCTAGCTAGTCTCCAGATCTCAACCCCATAGAAAATCTTTGGAGGGAGTTGAAAGTCTGTTGCCCAGCGACAGCCCCAAAACATCACTGCTCTAGAGGAGATCTGCATGGAGGAATGGGCCAAAATACCAGCAACAGTGTGTGAAAACTTTGTGAAGACTTACAGAAAACGTTTGACCTGTGTCATTGCCAACAAAGGGTATATAACAAAGTATTGAGAAACTTTTGTTATTGACCAAATACTTATTTTCCACCATAATTTGCAAATAAATTCATTAAAAATCCTACAATGTGATTTTCTGGATTGTTTTTTCTCATTTTGTCTGTCATAGTTGACGTGTACCTATGATGAAAATTACAGGCCTCATCTTTTTAAGTGGGAGAACATGCACAATTGGTGGCTGTCTAAATACTTTTTTCCCCCACTGTATGTATGCATGTATGTGTATATGAGAAGACCGTGTTGGACTCTGTTACCTCACCTGGCTGTTACCTCACCTGGCTGTTACTTCACCTGTCTGTTACTCACCTGTCTGTTAATCCCCTGCTATATAGGAGACGGTAGCTCTGAGTAAGAAGGTTATAGGCGTAGTGCTGGGTTAACCTGTTGTTATCATAATAGTAGTACTACCCTATTCTGTGTCTGGTACTGTGTAGGAAGAGACTGTAGCTCTGAGGAAGGAGGGTATTGGCGTGGTCTTGGACTCCAAACTACCTCACCTAATCGGCATCAATGAGGATCTTCTCAGCACTGGCATCATTCTCTATCATTTAAAAGTGAGTAAGACACACATGTATATACACTGACTGTACAAAACATTAGGATCCCCTTTTGCCCTCAGAACAGCCTCAATTCGTCAGGGCATGGACTCTACAAGGTGTCGAAAGCGTTCCACATGGATGCTGGCCCATGTTGACGCCAATTCTTCCCACAGTTGTCATTGGCTGGATGTGCTTTGGGTGGTGGTCCATTCTTGAAACACATGGGAAACTGTTGAGTGTGAAAAACCCAGCAGCGTTGACACAAACCGGTGCGCCTGGTATCTACTACCATACCCTGTTCAAAGGCACTTCAATCTTTTGTCTTGCCCATTCACCCTCTGAATGGCACACATACACAATCCATGTCTCAAGGCTTAAAAATCCTTTAACCTGTCTCCCCCCATTCATCTACACTGATTTGAAGAGGACTTAACAAGTGACATCAATAAGGGATCATGGCATTCACCTGGTCAGTCTGTCATGGAAAGAGCAGGTGTTCCTAATGTTTTGTATACTCGGTGTACGTTCTCAATGGGTCTGTGGTACTAGCCAATAATGTAGCTTGTTTTAAAACTACTGCTAAATGTGGGAAATCCATATGAGTTTATCCACTACTGGTCTCTTAGTCTACATCCCAAATGTCACCTTATTCCCTTTATAGTGTACTACTTTTGACCAGGGCCCATAGTAGTGCACTATATAGGGAATAGGGTGCCATTTGGGATGCAGCCTTAGATTGGATTCTCCCATGAGGAAATCAGCTTACGATCAGGCAGACCTAATGACATTGGCCTTGTGATCTGATTGCAGGAGGGCAGGACGCTGGTGGGTCGAGACAAGGCGTCATTCAATCAGGATATTGGTGAGTCAGTAGGAAGACAGTGTATATATATGCAGTGGGCTGTTGCTTGGGGTTCATGTGAGTTTAGTGTTATTCCAGAGTATTAGGCACTCATTTCCCTGTGTTTTAGACTGCTCATTATATGATCAAGATAAGTGATTCTGCGCCTCACCTCAACTGACCCCCTTAAACTCACGCTTTCCCTCCCTTTCTTCCCTGCAGTGCTCCATGGTGCTGGTCTGCAGGAGGAACACTGTTTTTGAATTCTGACCTCTAACCCTAACCCTGTCTCCCACCATGCAGTGCTCCATGGTGCTGGTCTGCTGGAGGAACACTGTGTGTTTGAGAACTGTGACGGAGTTGTTACTCTGATCCCCCAGATGGGGGCGCTGTGCTCTGTCAACAGACTGGAGATGACCAAGCCTTGTCAGCTGACACAGGGTAATGATCCATGTGTGTCATCTCACATCTCCCGGTCGTGTGTGTGTGTGTGTGTGTGGAAACTGCAGGATAATGAGTGTACGAAACCCTCTCTCAAACCCTTTCTCTGACACTGGGAGTTGGAGACTGGTAATTTACGTCCTCTAACCGGGGCGCAGGGACAGTTGTACCTATAATCTAAACCGGCACCTCTTTTTCAATGAGCCTGTGTGGACTTGGAAGACATGCTAAACCTATAGTGGCTGCTCCAACCTTGGAGACCTCATCTTTCCCCTTTTTACTTTGGGACTAGACAACATGACCTGTCTGACTCTTAACTTTCAGGCAACTTGACAAATAAACTGGAAAAGTTTTACTCATTTTGTCACTCCTTTGCTGCGGTAAAGTGAATACATTGCCTTGAAGTACACAATCTCTCTGACATGATTGGCTTTTGTCAAGACCCTGGCTGGGTGATTTACCAAAGGTAATAGGCTAGAAAAACTCTGGGATGTGTTGTAAAGCTATGGAATAGAGGCTGATATTGGGGCTGTTATACTGAGCTCAGCACGAGCTCAGGCACTTAGACAGCGAGAAGGAGGGGAGCAGAGGAGAGGAGGAGAGAGGAGGAGCGAGAGGAGAGGGAGAGGGAGAGAGCGAGAGAGAGAGAGCTCAGAGAGAGAGAGAGAGAGAAGAGAGAGAGAGAGGAGAGAGAGGAGAGAGAGAGAGAGAGAGAGAGAGAGAGGAGAGAGAGCGAGAGAGAGAGAGAGAGAGAGAGAGAGAGAGAGAGAGAGAGAGAGAGAGAGAGAGAGAGAGAGAGAGAGGAGAGAGAGAGCGAGAATCGCGCTAGAGAGAGCGAGAGAGCAGAGCTCGAGAGATCTAGATCTTGACCGCATAACCCCGATATATAATATATATCTAGATCCCATGCTCTTTCCCCACCCCCCCCCCCCCCCCCCTTCTTTCTGTGCAGAAAATACTAATCTTGCTTCGATTAATGGCTTCTGACGAGTGACAATGCACCTGAGCTGCAACATGAGCAGAAATTACTATCATTTGTTGTGTAGAAAATGGCCTAGATGCAGTTGCTTCGGAGGGTCTATTGGGTCAATTGAAATGGCTATAAAGGAGTAGTGGCAGGGACCTTGTGGTGTGCTGGGACTCTCACTCTCTTTCTCCTCTATATCCTCTCTCACCTCCCCCTCTCTCTCTCTCTGCTGTTCTTTATATCTCTGAGCCAAGCCAGGGCGGGTTGGCGTAAGAAAGGCTATAGTGGAAAAAAACTCCCAGACAGACATGGCAGAGCTAACTGAATATTGGGTTTTTCTATGGGGGCCAAAGTTAGCTCTTCAGCTCTCTGCCTGCCTGGCTGGCTCTATTCCCACTTCTCTTTAAAGGTTGATCCTGGTCTCCACTCCAGACCCCACTCTGCTATCACCACCATCTGCCAATTAACCGGAGAGGCCTGGAGCTTTGTCCAGGGCTTTTTCCAGGGCCTCTCGCCTTCCGAAATGTTTAGTAAGAGAAATGTCATCTGCCCTATGGAGAGGGGATGGGAGCGTGGTTCACAGCCACTCCTGACTGGTAACACTGAACGCTTCAGAGGGAGACAGAATTCAGGAATTTGAAGTGGATGCCATGAGAAGAGGTGAAGAGGCAGCACTTTATTCCAAATAACATTTAGGAGAGATGTGTTGTGTGCCTCTCACTAAAACTGAACAAACTTTATCAACAACTAATGCTTTTAATACACTGGTCCAATTACCAACCACCCACTGCCACAGCACTCAACTCTCAGGGCCGGTTTCCCAGACACCGATCAAGCTTAGTCCTGGAATAAAAAGCTATTTCAATAGAGATTCTCTATAGTCCAGGACTAGGTTTGATCTGTGTTCAGGAAACCGACCCTCGATGTAAAACATTGTTCACGGCATAACTTCTGTCCCATTTACATTGAGAACGTTTGTCTCTGTGTCTGGTTGGTTTCAGGTACAGTAATCCAGCTAGGGAGAGGGACTATATTCCGTTTCAACCATCCTAAAGAGGCTGCCCAGCTCAGAGAGCAACGCAAGGTGAGTCACACCACAACCACTCTTACTAACCCTAACCCCCAGACCACACCACAACCACTCTCACTAACCCTAACCCCCAGACCACACCACAACCACTCTTACTAACCCTAACCCCCAGACCACACCACAACCACTTACTAACCCTAACCCCCAGACCACACCACAACCACGCTTACTAACCCTAACCCCCAGACCACACCCACTCTTACTAACCCTAACCCCCAGACCACACCACAACCACTCTCACTAACCCTAACCCCCAGACCACACCACAACCACTCTCACTAACCCTAACCCTAACCCCCAGACCACACCACAACCACTCGCACTAACCCTAACCCCCAGACCACACCACAACCACTCTCACTAACCTTAACCCCCAGACCACTCCACAACCACTCTCACTAACCCTAACCCCCAGACCACACCACAACCACTCTCACTAACCCTAACCCCCAGACCACACCACAACCACTCTTACTAACCCTAACCCCCCAGACCACACCACAACCACTGTTACTCTCTTAGAGCCAGTTTCCCGGACACAGACTAAGCCTAGCCCTGGACTAAAATACACTTTCAATAGACATTTTACATTGAGCATGCTCTTTATTCCAGGATCAGTTTTGTATTAATCTGTCTGGGAAACCAGCCCTTGCAACACGACCAACTCTTACTCCCAGATCAGAGTAAACACCAGCCCAGAACATAACCTTACATTTCCCTAACTTTCCTGTTATAGATCAGTTATCTTGTGATTGCTGCTCACGTTTACTTTATCTAAACCGGTACGTAAAGTCATTTGCAATGCTTCGTCTCTGAGTCATAATTAGTGCTGTGCCGTCGGATGTATATATATTCGAACAAGGAAAAAAAAACATCTTCAAAGAAATGCATCTTTCACTTTCTCCAAGCTATCACTGTAAATACTGTATCTCCTCCTACTTTAGCATGTCTGTACACACACACAGAGATGTGAAGCACTTCTGGTAACACCTGCAGGCGTAATACTTCATAGCTCGTTATCAACAAGTATTTATAATGTATTATAATAAGGCATATAATATGCTCTCAAAATGGCTGGTATTTAGTCAGGATCATGAGATGATTATAAGACATTATAATGGGGTCATATACTGTATGCTTATGACAAGTGTAGTCAAACTGAATTATAATGCATAATATACCTGCTGGTTTTAAGTACTGTAAAGTGTTACCGAGCTGCTTCTTTGGATAATGGGCTGTAACCGGCAGGTTCCTGGCTCAGTGATCTTTATAGTGCACTAGTTTTGACCAGGGTCCATAGGGCACTATGAAGGGAATAGGGTGCCATTTGGGACGCACTCATACATTTACTGAGGCAGGTTCAGCAGGTAATGGTTGAGTTCTAGGCTGTTAAGTCCTTTAATGTACAGTATATTTAATGTATACTGTATGTGGGGTGCGTTCCAAATGACGCCCTATGGTCACTGGTCAAAAGTAGTGCACTATAAGGGGAATAGGGTGCCATTTAGGACGAAATGCTGATGTTAACCAGAAAAGGTACCCAGCCTTTAAACAGTAATGCTACTGCTTCTCAGCCTTGTCCAATGAAATCGCTTTATTTGGCTGCCAAGGTGTTACATGCAAGAGTTTCTATACCAACAATTATAGCACTCACATTTGTAAGTATTCATTTATATTGTGGACATTGTTTTTTTTTCATTATAATTTTAAATTGGGTTTAAAAAATGGATCACAAAAAGACATGGGTTATGTGGGTCCTCCTTCCTGTACGCATTTATGTGGGGATGAAATTAAGATAAATTGTTTCGATATGTTCAATCAGAGTGCTGCCTATAAAATTACATTTTACATTGGATTGTTTTCTCCTACTGATCTACACAACCTACTCCACATTTTCAAAGCCAAATAAAGATTATAGAACATTTTCCAAATTAATAAAAAACAAGAGTTAAGGGTTAATAATTGGTGTAAGCACCTTTAGCAGCCATTACAGAATGAATCATATTGAATAAGATTGTACCAACTTTGCACAACTCTTAGGTCAACATATATACAAAAAAAACACATTCAAATTGCTCAAGCTCAGTAAATTTGCTTGGGAATCATTGATGGACAGCAATATTCTAAAATTGTCTCAGCTTTTCAAGCAAATTTAATTCAGTACTGAGACTGGAACAATCAACACCTATTGGAAAGCCGTTCTGGTGTGTCTTTGGCATTACAGTTTGATTGTCCCGCTGAAAAATAAAGACATACACAAGCAAAACATCTTTGTTTTTTATTAAAACATTAATTTGAAAGAATTTCAATACATTTCCTTTCACTTAGAAAATGTGGAGTAGATTGGTAGGAAAACATCAAATGTAATCTGTTTTTTTATTACATTTTAAGGCAGTAAAATATGGGGGTGTGTAGACTTTTCACTAAGCACTATAATTGCCCAGTCTTTGGAAGGACGACAAGTGTATAGATCAGGAAAAGCATGTTCAATGTCTCCATGTTTTCAAAACCATTTGGAGTTCAGTTTTCAATATGTCCATAAAGACCTTTGGTGGGACCTCTTACGTTTGCAACATCGTTGTTTTTATTAGTGAAAGTGTGTGTGTGTGTGTGTGTGTGTGTGTGTGTGTGTGTGTGTGTGTGTGTGTAATACTGTGTCTTATGTTTTCTCCCAGAGTGGCCTTCTCTCCAGCTTTTCCTTGACCGACCTCTCCAGGCTTTTCCATCCCGGGTGAGTTAACACGCGTGCACACACACACACACACACCTGAACCCTCTCTCCACTCCCACTACATTGCAACTACACAAACATGGCATTGGATGGGAATTGTAATTTCTGGGTAACAATTGGATACCTTACTGTAACAGTTTTCCATTTAAAATGGTAAAAAATAAACAAATAGCTTTTTAGCAAGAAACTATTTCTCAAGCAAGAATTTAGTTGAGACTGTCTGGGGGGGGGGGGGAGAGATCACAGTAGGCCTGTGTTCTTTGGCTCCTAGGCCTGGTTGTGTGATCTGATATCCTGGTGTTACAGCTACTACTCATGTCTGACTTGCAATTTCCTCCGCAAGACAACGTCCCCTAACAGCTGCACAGCACAGCACTTTCTCCTGCAGGCTTTAGACAGAAGTTATGATTTGGAGAGGAGATGGAGTGGGAGGGAGGGAGAGACAGAGGGGATGGAAGAAGATGGAATGGGAGGGAGAGATGGACAGAGGGGATGGAGGGAGATGGAGTGGGAGGGAGAGACAGAGAGGGGATGGAGTGGGAGGGAGAAACTGAGGGGATGGAGAGAATGAGAGGGGATGGATGAAGTGGAAGAGAGAGTTGGAGTGGGAGTGCGATGAGAAAATATGGGAGAGAAAGAGACAAAGATAGAGGACAGGAGATGGATGAGCTAGTCGGATGAGATGGATGTCCCCTGGTGATATTGAGAAAGTTATCTTGGAGAAGTTCAGACGGATAACAACATGCACTGCTCCAAAAAATAAAGGGAACACTAAAATAACACATCCTAGATCTGAATGAATTAAATAATCGTATTAAATACTTTTTTCTTTACATAGTTGAATGTGCTGACAACAAAACCACACAAAAATGATCAATGGAAATCAAATTTATCAACCCATGGAGGTCTGGATTTGGAGTCACCCTCAAAATTAAAGTGGAAAACCACACTACAGGCTGATCCAACTTTGATGTAATGTCCTTAAAACAAGTCAAAATGAGGCTCAGTAGTGTGTGTGGCCTCCACGTGCCTGTATGACCTCCCTACAACGCCTGGGCATGCTCCTGATGAGGTGGCGGATGGTCTCCTGAGGGATCTCCTCCCAGACCTGGACTAAAGCATCCGCCAACTCCTGGACAGTCTGTGGTGCGAGATATGATGTCCCAGATGTGCTCAATTGGATTCAGGTCTGGGGAACGGGCGGGCCAGTCCATAGCATCAATGCCTTCCTCTTGCAGGAACTGCTGACACACTCCAGCCACATGAGGTCTAGCATTGTCTTGCATTAGGAGGAACCCAGGGCCAACCGCACCAGCATATGGTTTCACAAGGGGTCTGAGGATCTCATCTCGGTACCTAATGGCAGTCAGGCAACCTCTGGTGAGCACATGGAGGGCTGTGCGGCCCCCCAAAGAAATGCCACCCCACACCATCACTGACCCACCGCCAAACCGGTCATGCTGGAGGATGTTGCAGGCAGCAGAACGTTCTCCACGGCGTCTCCATACTCTGTCACGTGCTCAGTGTGAACCTGCTTTCATCTGTGAAGAGCACAGGGCGCCAGTGGCGAATTTGTGTTCTCTGGCAAATGCCAAACGTCCTGCACGGTGTTGGGCTGTAAGCACAACCCCCGCCTGTGGACGTCGGGCCCTCATACCACCCTCATGGAGTCTGTTTCTGACCGTTTGAGCAGACACATGCACATTTGTGGCCTGCTGGAGGTCATTTTGCAGGGCTCTGGCAGTGCTCCTCCTGCTCCTCCTTGCACAAAGGCGGAGGTAGTGGTCCTGCTGCTGGGTTGTTGCCCTCCTACGGCCTCCTCCACGTCTCCTGATGTACTGGCCTGTCTCCTGGTAGCGCCTCCATGCTCTGGAAACTACGCTGACAGACACAGCAAACCTTCTTGCCACAGCTCGCATTGATGTGCCATCCTGGATGAGCTGCACTACCTGAGCCACTTGTGTGGGTTGTAGACTCCGTCTCATGCTACCACTAGAGTGAAAGCACCGCCAGCATTCAAAAGTGACCAAAACATCAGCCAGGAAGCATAGGAACTGAGAAGTGGTCTGTGGTCACATCCTGCAGAACCAGTCCTTTATTGGGGGTGTCTTGCTAATTGCCTATAATTTCCACCTGTTGTCTATTCCATTTGCACAACAGCATGTGAAATGTATTGTCAATCAGTGTTGCTTCCTAAGTGGACAGTTTGATTTCACAGAAGTGTGATTGACTTGGAGTTACATTCTGTTGTTTAAGTGTTCCCTTTATTTTTTTGAGCAGTGTACAACACATCTCTAAAATGTAAAGATGGCAGACAGACAACACACAGCTAAAACACCGATACAATAACATGCAGCCACTACAGTTACCACACACACTAACGCCGGGTGGACACTACACGACTTTTAGAATTCCAACATCGCTGAGCCTCACATTAAAGGACCAGCTTTCCTGTAGTTTTTTGTCTTGTCAACGTAGTGGTGTGCACACTAAATGATGTGGCACAGACAGGGGTCACACACTACAAGATTCTTGACTTGGTCGTGAGGATTCTCGATACCACGCTGTTTTGCGAAAACAATGTGATTATATTTAACGTAGCTACAACGAGCTATGGCTCAAAGCAGCCTCATAAACGTTCAGTCAGACATTCATGCTTGCCACACAGATTTGAAATATCTAGCCAACATTTTGAATTGAATAACATTGCTTGTGAACTTCAGAGCCCTCAGATTGCGTCTTTGACCTGCTCAAATTAAACGAGTGTCGGTGACGGCCGGGGATTTTGTCTCCGATCTCAAAAACTTGTCTGGGACAGCTAAATCGTGGGCAAAATCGTGTAGTGTACACCCGGCTTAACAGATAATGGACTCCGAGGCCACTGGGATCGTTTTGGCTGCTCTAAAATGAGGTGTGTACGTGTACAGTATGTCGAGACACACACACAACTGTCTTGCTGTACTTGTGAGGACTTTTTGGGGACCAACAATCTGTTTCAATTCAAAATCCTATTTTCCCTAACCCTAAACTTAACCCCTAACCTTAAACTTAACCTCTAAGCCTAAAATAGCCTTTTTAACCAGCAAAATGTCCTCACTTAGATTATTTTGTTGGTTTACGATTCTTGTGAGGACTTCTGGTACTCACAAGTATAGTAAAACGTGTCTCGCACACACACACACACACACACACACACACTATTAGATTTGAATAGCAAACAGCCCCAATGTCTGGATAAGGATTATGAGACACTCAACTAGCTGTGAAATGAAGCAGAATGACTGTGTGCATGTAGATTGGAGGATTAACGTACAGTACAATACTGGGGCTGTGTCCCAAATGGCACCCTATTCCCTATGGGCCCTGGTCAAAAGTAGTGCAGTATACAGGAACTAGGGTGCCATTTGCATCGCAAATGGAGGGGGAGGGGGGGGGGGGGGGGGGGGAGAACACAGAGAGAAACCAAATATACAGCTCAAGAAGATATCTGACAGCAAATGACAGATTTAGGGAGGGCTAAATGTATTACTGTATTAGTGTGTGTCTGTCTGCACATGTGCATGCGTTAATAAATGGTTTTGCAGTCTTGTCTTTTACAAACACTTTTGAAGTATCTTGTGTCACAGCAAGGAAAATAATTAAAATAGCTTTTGAAAACAAAGTCGCTGGCAGCCGGATAAACCCAATTGATCTGAGCCTCCTCTCCTCTCCTCTCCTCTCCTCTCCTCTCCTCTCTCTCCTCTCCTCTCCTCATCCTCCCTCTCTCCTCTCCTCTCCTCTCCTCTCCTCTCCTCTCCTTCCTTCCCCTCCTCTCCTCTTCCTCTCCTCTCCTCTCCTCTCCTCTCCTCTCCTCTCCTCTCCTCTCCTCTCCTCTCGGCTTATCGAGATCCTATTAAAATACTTTACCAAGATGGATGATTTCTAGTGTTCTAATTCCTAATTCTATGGCTGCCTCCTCCTCCACCAACAGGATGGATGTTTTTGCTGTAGCAGGAGAGAATGGAGAATCTAGACAACAGAGGAGCTCTGTGCTTTCTCCTCGACTACGGACCTGTACGGTTATGGTACGTACACACACAGCGACATATATGTGTATGTACACTCATAGATGGAAACTGTGCTAGTGGATGGGTAAACCTTTTACTAACTAACAACGGGGCAAATTTGCACCAAATGTTTCTAACAAAAAGGTAAAATACAGATTAAAGGATTAAGATAGACAAAATGTAAAGTGGGTTTAACTGTCAGCGTGTTGCTGTATGAGACTATTGTGTAGGCTACGTTCCTATATCCACAGCATACCAATTAGAATGCATTCCCAATACATTGCTTTATTCTGTGTTTGTGTGACTGTCAGTGCACTTCTGTTACTCTGGGCTCTGAACATCACCATCTCAGTTCTAGTCAGGTCGGGTTTCACTGCTTCTTCTTTGCAAATTGTTAGATAAGAATATAATGGCTACTCCTCTCCCCTGCCTCGGCCTAATGCATTCACGCACACAGCCTAATACAGACTTTTATGGAGCATGAAATGCCTGTTCCCTTGGCTTGTTTTCTTTGTTTAATATGCACATATTTCAAACCCATTACCTTCCTGCAGGGTTTTCAGAGCCCACCTCAGAGAGAACGACTAGCGTTTTGTGAAAGCACATTGTACACAAAGCAAGACGTTAGTGTGTGTACATCTCTCTCTCTCTCTCTCTCTCTCTGATCCTCACGCCATTGGCTTGTTAATGCTTTGATGAATGTTTTTTTCTACAGAAGAAAACAAAATACTTGAAACATTGTTTTTTTTAAATTAGCAATGTGGGTTAACTGTGGCTTTTTTCAGTTAAAAACAATAGACAGGCTACCTGGTTATATGAGGAATTACTTGTTTCAAAAAGTTGAAACGAAGGAGAAGTGATTTATCATGTTTTTCTCTCTCACCCAGACAGAGGCCACGTCTATGGAGGCCCCTGACTCTCGTCATCCTTCAGCGTGTTATGCTGCCGGAGCCCCTCAGCATCTGCAGGCCAGGCTAAACAGGTGGAGCTTCGGTGAGGCTGAGGGCCGTCAGGGGCCCAGCAGTACTGCTGATAGAGAGAGCCAGAGCAGGCTGCAGGAGAAGAGGGCCTCCCCAGTCCACCGGACAGGGACTCCTACTAACGCTCCCACTCTCACTTCCGACCCCACTCTCACTCCCACAGCCTTGGAACGGGACAGCCTGCAGCAGGGATCGGAAGGAGAGGTGGAGGAGGTTGAAGAGTGGGACTCGTGTCATCAATTAGGGTCTGGGGTGGGGGTGTCTGATAGGCAGATGGAGGGAGCGCTACCTCTGCGTAGAGCGAGGGAAGAGGGAGGACTCTATTGGGGTGAGGAGGCCTGGTCTGGGCCTTGGGACCGAGACGAGGAAAGGAACTGGGCCCTCCAGCAGACACCTGTCCTCCTGGTCCAGCAGGCTGATGTATGTACTGTTGGGCCAGAGGGTCTACCGGAGCCTGCTAACAAGAGCCCAGGTGTCCTGTCAGGCCTACCTGATGGCTGCAGGGGCCTGGGAGGGGACCTGTCCAGGGCCGGAGCCCGCTACGGTGGCCCTGCAGGGACCTCATTAGGCACTGCTGTATCCTACCTGCATAGAGGAGACGGAGGAGGAATAGACGGAGGGACGGAGGAACGAACGCACCATGCCCACCTCCCACAGGCCAGCAGCAGCTCAACATACACACAGACCTCTCCCTCTCAGTTTGACACACACACTGCCTCTCTGTCTCAGATTGACACACACACTGACAGCCAGGCAACACACACTGCCTCTCGGCAGGACAGACACAGACGTAGCCAGGCGGTACGCGGCCTACCGCTAGAGGCTTTGGAGGGTCAGTTCAGTCGTGTCATGATGGATCGATCCAGGACGACAGTGCAGGGCCACTGGGAGAATGACAAGGAGGATGAGGCTGGGGCTAGGAGGGAAGGGGAGGCTGGGGCTGGGAGGGAGGGGGAGGCTGGGGCTGGGAGGGAGGGGGAGGCTGGGGCTGGGGGGGAGGAGGTGGAGCAGGCCTTCAGGCTGGGCTCTCTGGTTAGCAGGGTGTTTAGGGAGGAGGAGGTGGAGCAAGAGGGGGAGCAGCAGTTCTCTGTCTCTGGGCTAGGCGCTCTGGTTAGAAGGGTATGCCAGATCTCTGGGCTTGGAAGGGAGCAGGACCTAGACTCTCTGGGGGAAGAGGTCTCTGGGATGGGTTCTCTGGTCAGCAGGGGGGTCTCCTGGATGTTTCCGGACGCGGGGCGTCTCCTTCGCAGCTCCACCCCCAGGGTCCTGCAGCAGGTCTGGGACGGTACAGGAGTTCTGCAGCCCACAGCTGGGGAAGGGGCTGGGAGTCTGCAGCCTGGAGCCGGGGGAGGAGCCAGCTCCAACTGGTCCAGTCAGGTTGTCTCCATTGTGAGGGAGAGTCAGGTGCTGTCGGTGGTCAAAGACAGCCAGGTCTTCTCATTGGTCAGAGAGAGTCATGTGTACTCCCTGGTCCGAGACAGTCAGGTGTTCTCTATGGTCAGTGAGCTGCCATTGGTGCATCACATCAGCACAGCGCTAACTCAAGACTTCGGGAGCATTCACAATGAGCTCACTCAGGATCGTCAGCCAGTGGAGTCAACTGGACTCCAGCAGAGAGCTATTGACCTCAACACAACACCAGAAATAAACCTGCCCCTAGTCCACAACACTGTTCTCAGCACAGCACCGATCCTGTACCCAGCCCACAACACCATCGAGTTTGCACATAAACGGAACACAGGTAAAGAAGTGGATTGGAGAACAAAGGAACAGAGTCCCATCAGAGAACTGGTGTGTACATCGGAGCAGGAGGGCAGGGAGGAAGCTCTAGCTAAGTCAGAGGAACAGAGTCCCATCAGAGAACTGGTGTGTACATCGGAGCAGAAGGGCAGAGAGGAAGCTCTAGCTAAGTCAGAGGAACAGAGTCCCATCAGAGAACTAGAGTGTACATCGGAGCAGGAGGGAAGAGAGGAAGCTCTAGCTAAGTCAGAGGAACAGAGTTCCATCAGAGAACTGGAGTGTACATCGGAGCAGGAGGGCAGAGAGGAAGCTCTAGCTAAGTCAGAGGAACAGAGTTCCATCAGAGAACTGGAGTGTACATCGGAGCAGGAGGGCAGAGAGGAAGCTCTAGCTAAGTTGGAGGAACAGAGTCCCATCAGAGAACTGGTGTGTACATCTGAGCAGGAGGGCAGAGAGGAAGCTCTAGCTAAGTCAGAGGAACAGAGTCCCATCAGAGAACTGGTGTGTACATCGGAGCAGGAGGGCAGAGAGGAAGCTCTAGCTAAGTCAGAGGAACAGAGTCCCATCAGAGAACTAGAGTGTACATCAGAGCAGGAGGGCAGAGAGGAAGCTCTAGCTAAGTCAGAGGAACAGAGTCCCATCAGAGAACTGGTGTGTACATCGGAGCAGGAGGGCAGAGAGGAAGCTCTAGCTAAGTCAGAGGAACAGAGTCCCATCAGAGAACTGGTGTGTACATCGGAGCAGGAGGGCAGAGAGGAAGCTCTAGCTAAGTCAGAGGAACAGAGTCCCATCAGAGAACTGGTGTGTACATCGGAGCAGGAGGGCAGAGAGGAAGCTCTAGCTAAGTCAGAGGAACAGAGTCCCATCAGAGAACTGGTGTGTACATCGGAGCAGGAGGGCAGAGAGGAAGTTCTAGCTAAGTCAGAGGAACAGAGTTCCATCAGAGAACTGGAGTGTACATCGGAGCAGGAGGGCAGAGGGGAAGCTCTAGCTAAGTTGGAGGAACAGAGTCCCATCAGAGAACTGGTGTGTACATCTGAGCAGGAGGGCAGAGAGGAAGCTCTAGCTAAGTCAGAGGAACAGAGTCCCATCAGAGAACTGGTGTGTACATCTGAGCAGGAGGGCAGAGAGGAAGCTCTAGCTAAGTCAGAGGAACAGAGTCCCATCAGAGAACTGGTGTGTACATCGGAGCAGGAGGGCAGAGAGGAAGCTCTAGCTAAGTCAGAGGAACAGAGTCCCATCAGAGAACTTGTGTGTACATCAGAGCAGGAGGGCAGAGAGGAAGCTCTAGCTAAGTCAGAGGAACAGAGTCCCATCAGAGAACTGGTGTGTACATCTGAGCAGGAGGGCAGAGAGGAAGCTCTAGCTAAGTCAGAGGAACAGAGTCCCATCAGAGAACTGGTGTGTACATCTGAGCAGGAGGGCAGAGAGGAAGCTCTAGCTAAGTCAGAGGAACAGAGTCCCATCAGAGAACTTGTGTGTACATCAGAGCAGGAGGGCAGAGAGGAAGCTCTAGCTAAGTCAGAGGAACAGAGTCCCATCAGAGAACTGGTGTGTACATCGGAGCAGGAGGGCAGAGAGGAAGCTCTAGCTAAGTCAGAGGAACAGAGTCCCATCAGAGAACTGGTGTGTACATCGGAGCAGGAGGGCAGAGAGGAAGTTCTAGCTAAGTCAGAGGAACAGAGTTCCATCAGAGAACTGGAGTGTACATCGGAGCAGGAGGGCAGAGGGGAAGCTCTAGCTAAGTTGGAGGAACAGAGTCCCATCAGAGAACTGGTGTGTACATCTGAGCAGGAGGGCAGAGAGGAAGCTCTAGCTAAGTCAGAGGAACAGAGTCCCATCAGAGAACTGGTGTGTACATCGGAGCAGGAGGGCAGAGAGGAAGCTCTAGCTAAGTCAGAGGAACAGAGTCCCATCAGAGAACTTGTGTGTACATCAGAGCAGGAGGGCAGAGAGGAAGCTCTAGCTAAGTCAGAGGAACAGAGTCCCATCAGAGAACTGGTGTGTACATCGGAGCAGGAGGGCAGAGAGGAAGCTCTAGCTAAGTCAGAGGAACAGAGTCCCATCAGAGAACTGGTGTGTACATCGGAGCAGGAGGGCAGAGAGGAAGTTCTAGCTAAGTCAGAGGAACAGAGTTCCATCAGAGAACTGGAGTGTACATCGGAGCAGGAGGGCAGAGGGGAAGCTCTAGCTAAGTTGGAGGAACAGAGTCCCATCAGAGAACTGGTGTGTACATCTGAGCAGGAGGGCAGAGAGGAAGCTAAGTCAGAGGAACAGAGTCCCATCAGAGAACTGGTGTGTACATCTGAGCAGGAGGGCAGAGAGGAAGCTCTAGCTAAGTCAGAGGAACAGAGTCCCATCAGAGAACTGGTGTGTACATCTGAGCAGGAGGGCAGAGAGGAAGCTCTAGCTAAGTCAGAGGAACAGAGTTCCATCAGAGAACTGGAGTGTACATCGGAGCAGGAGGGCAGAGGGGAAGCTCTAGCTAAGTTGGAGGAACAGAGTCCCATCAGAGAACTGGTGTGTACATCTGAGCAGGAGGGCAGAGAGGAAGCTAAGTCAGAGGAACAGAGTCCCATCAGAGAACTGGTGTGTACATCTGAGCAGGAGGGCAGAGAGGAAGCTCTAGCTAAGTCAGAGGAACAGAGTCCCATCAGAGAACTGGTGTGTACATCGGAGCAGGAGGGCAGAGAGGAAGTTCTAGCTAAGTCAGAGGAACAGAGTTCCATCAGAGAACTGGAGTGTACATCGGAGCAGGAGGGCAGAGGGGAAGCTCTAGCTAAGTTGGAGGAACAGAGTCCCATCAGAGAACTGGTGTGTACATCTGAGCAGGAGGGCAGAGAGGAAGCTAAGTCAGAGGAACAGAGTCCCATCAGAGAACTGGTGTGTACATCTGAGCAGGAGGGCAGAGAGGAAGCTCTAGCTAAGTCAGAGGAACAGAGTCCCATCAGAGAACTGGTGTGTACATCTGAGCAGGAGGGCAGAGAGGAAGCTCTAGCTAAGTCAGAGGAACAGAGTTCCATCAGAGAACTGGTGTGTACATCGGAGCAGGAGGGCAGGGAGGAAGCTCTAGCTAAGTCGGAGGCACAGAGTATAACCAAGGAGGAACTGTGGCCATCAAAGGACCAGATCAAGATCGCGGAGGACCCACGGTGTGTCACTTGTGGAGCCAAGAGCACCAAGTCACAGCCCCCTCCAGAGCAGGGGGACAACACCAGGTCCACAGGCCCAGAGAAGAGCTCTATTCCTGTGCAGGGGAATCGGAGGACTGATGGTGTTCAGGTGTATTATGGGGTATGTTTTTTGGGGGGGGGTTAAAAAAATATAATAATTGTAAATTGTGTTAAATAATTCAGCCTTCGCTGCTATTGATACCATGGGTGCGTTCACTATGAGAAAATGGTTTCCAACGTTTAATTCAATTGAGACGGCACTGTATTTAACGATCAGAACGGTGTGATTATAGTGGCCCAGAGGGAGATTGTATATGGTGTTTGTTGCACAAGTTTTGCGATTTCAAATGGTCACAACCATATTGATCTGGCCACACTGCAAAGGCTGTTGAAGAACGGTGTGCACCGTTTTGTGCAAACGTGTCGTTTAGTAGAAACTGTCACGCGACGTAACAAACGTTGAATTGAACTGAAAGCACATATGTAACGTTGCTTTAATAAAATAAACCATTCTCTCTTTCTCTCAGAGCCTGGTGGAGTTCCCAGGGGCTCTGGTTAAACTCCAGTCCCTTCACGTATCCACCCTTCTGGGCTGTCTCCAGTCCGTCCTCCCCTCAGTCTTCACATCTCGGAGACTACTGGCTCTGTACTGGCTGGGCGTGGCTAACTGCAGCCAGCCCCGCCCACACATCGCCCTCGTTCTCCTATTGGAGTCCTGCCTCTACGCCCTGACCTTTGACCCTGACACGCCCGATCAGACCACATCTCTGACAGTGTTCCACCACCTCATCCTGCTACAAGTTAAGGAGATCCGGGTAGGCTGTTTTAGAGTTGAAAAAATGAATATAATATCTATTTTATTGTTCTACCAATTAAATCATTTTCCTATTTCTTATTTGCCTATTTAATTAGATTTATTCATAACATTTTATCGTTATCTTTATCATCATATACACTACCAGTCAAAAGGTTGGACACACCTACTCATTCAAGGTTTTTTCTTTATTTTTACTATTTTCTATATTGTAGAATAATAGTGAAGACATCAAAACTATAAAATAACACATATGGAATCATGTAGTAACCAACATTTTTTTCAACAAATCAAAATATATTTGAAATTCTTCAAATAGCCACCCTTTTCCTTGATGACAGCTTTACACACTCTAGGCATTCTCTCAACCAGCTTCATGAGGAATGCTTTTACAACAGTCTTGAAGGAGTTCCCATACAGTTGAAGTCGGAAGTTTACATACACCTTAGCCAAATAAATTTAAACTCAGTTTTTCACAATTCCTGACATTTAATACTAGTAAAAATGTCCTGTCAGTTAGGATCACCACTTTATTTTAAGAATGTGAAATGTCAGAATAATAGTAGTGATTTATTTCAGCTTTTATTTCTTTCATCACATTCCCAGTGGGTCAGAAGTTTACATACACTCAATTAGTATTTGGTATCATTGCCTTTAAATTGTTTAACTTGGGTCAAACATGTAGCCTTCCACAAGCTTCCCACAATAAGTTGGGTGAATTTTGGCCCATTCCTCCTGACAGAGCTGGTGTAACGGAGTCAGGTTTGTAGGCCTCCTTGCTCGCACACACTTTTTCAGTTCTGCCCACACATTTTCTATAGGATTGAGGTCAGGGCTTTGTGATGGCCACTCCAATACCTTGACTTTATTGTCCTTAAGCCATTTTGCCATAACTTTGGAAGTATGCTTGGGGTCATTGTCCATTTGGAAGACCCATTTGCGACCAAGCTTTAACTTCCTGACTGATGTCTTGAGATGTTGCTTCAATATATCCACATACTTTTCCTTCCTCATGATGCCATCTATTTTGTGAAGTGCACCAGTCCCTCCTGCAGCAAAGTACCCCCACAGCATGATGCTGCCACCCCCGTGCTTCACAGTTGGGATGGTGTTCTTTGGCTTATAAGCAACCCCCTTTTTCCTCCAAACATAACGATGGTCATTATGGCCAAACAGTTCTATTTTTGTTTCATCAGACCAGAGGACATTTCTCCAAAAAGTACGATCTTTGACCCCATGTGCAGTTGCAAACCGTAGTCTGTCTTTTTTATGGCAGTTTTGGAGCAGTGGCTTCTTCCTTGCTGAGCGGCCTTTCAGGTTATGTCGATATAGGACTCGTTTTACTGTGGATATAGATAATTTTGTATCTGTTTCCTCCAGCATCTTCACAAGGTCCTTTGCTGTTGTTCTGGGATTGATTTGCACTTTTCACACCAAAGTACGTTCATCTCTAGGAGACAGAATGCTTCTCCTTCCTGAGTGGTATGATGGCTGCGTGGTCCCATGGTGTTTATACTTGCGTACTATTGTTTGTACAGATGAACGTGGTACCTTCAGGCGTTTGGAAATTGCTCCCAAGGATGAACCAGACTTGTGGAGGTCTACAATTTTTTCTCTGAGGTCTTGGCTGATTTCTTTTGATTTCCCCATTATGTCAAGCAAAGAGGCACTGGGTTTGAAGGTAGGCCTTGAAATACATCCACAGGTACACCTCCAATTGACTCAAATGATGTCAATTAGCCTATCAGAAGCTTCTAAAGCCATGACATTTTCTGGAATTTTCCAAGCTGTTTAAAGGCACGGTCAACTTAGTGTATGTAAACTTCTGACCCACTGGAATTGTGATACAGTGAATTATAAGTGAAATAATCTGTAAACAATTGTTGGAAAAATTACTTGTGTCATACACAAAGTAGATGTCCTAACCGACTTGCCAAAACTACAGTTTGTTAACAAGAAATTTGTGAAGTGGTTGAAAAACAAGTTTTTAATGACTCCAACCTAAGTGTATGTAAACTTCCGACTTCAACTGTGTACGTGTATAAATATACAGTGGGGGAAAAAAGTATTTAGTCAGCCACCAATTGTGCAAGTTCTCCCACTTAAAAAGATGAGAGGCCTGTAATTTTCATCATAGGTACACGTCAACTATGACAGACAAATTGAGAAGAAAACAATCCAGAAAATCACATTGTAGGATTTTTTATGAATTTATTTGCAAATTATGGTGGAAAATAAGTATTTGGTCACCTACAACCAAGCAAGATTTCTGGCTCTCACAGACCTGTAACTTCTTCTTTAAGAGGCTCCTCTGTCCTCCACTCGTTACCTGTATTAATGGCACCTGTTTGAACTTGTTATCAGTATAAAAGACACCTGTCCACAACCTCAAACAGTCACACTCCAAACTCCACTATGGCCAAGACCAAAGAGCTGTCAAAGGACACCAGAAACAAAATTGTAGACCTGCACCAGGCTGGGAAGACTGAATCTGCAATAGGTAAGCAGCTTGGTTTGAAGAAATCAACTGTGGGAGCAATTATTAGGAAATGGAAGACATACAAGACCACTGATAATCTCCCTCGACCTGGGGCTCCACGCAAGATCTCACCCCGTGGGGTCAAAATGATCACAAGAACGGTGAGCAAAAATCCCAGAACCACACGGGGGGACCTAGTGAATGACCTGCAGAGAGCTGGGACCAAAGTAACAAAGCCTACCATCAGTAACACACTACGCCGCCAGGGACTCAAATCCTGCAGTGCCAGACGTGTCTCCCTGCTTAAGCCAGTACATGTCCAGGCCCGTCTGAAGTTTGCTAGAGTGCATTTGGATGATCCAGAAGAGGATTGGGAGAATGTCATATGGTCAGATGAAACCAAAATAGAACTTTTTGGTAAAAACTCAACTCGTAGTGTTTGGAGGACATAGAATGCTGAGTTTCATCCAAAGAACACCATACCTACTGTGAAGCATGGGGGTGGAAACATCATGCTTTGGGGCTGTTTTTCTGCAAAGGGACTAGGACGACTGATCCGTGTAAAGGAAAGAATGAATGGGGCCATGTATCGTGAGATTTTGAGTGAAAACCTCCTTCCATCAGCAAGGGCATTGAAGATGAAACGTGGCTGGGTCTTTCAGCATGACAATGATCCCAAACACACCGCCCGGGCAACGAAGGAGTGGCTTCGTAAGAAGCATTTCAAGGTCCTGGAGTGGCCTAGCCAGTCTCCAGATCTCAACCCCATAGAAAATCTTTGGAGGGAGTTGAAAGTCCGTGTTGCCCAGCGACAGCCCCAAAACATCACTGCTCTAGAGGAGATCTGCATGGAGGAATGGGCCAAACTACCAGCAACAGTGTGTGAAAACCTTGTGAAGACTTACAGAAAACGTTTGACCTGTGTCATTGCCAACAAAGGGTATATAACAAAGTATTGAGAAACTTTTGTTATTGACCAAATACTTATTTTCCACCATAATTTGCAAATAAATTCATTAAAAATCCTACAATGTGATTTTCTGGAAAAAAAAATCTCATTTTGTCTGTCATAGTTGACGTGTACCTATGATGAAAATTACAGGCCTCTCATCTTTTTAAGTGGGAGAACTTGCACAATTGGTGGCTGACTAAATACTTTTTTTTCCCCACTGTATGTATGTATATAATACACACACACACACAAGTATGTGGACACACCTTCAAATTAGTGGATTTGGCTATTTCAGCCACACCCGTTGCTGACCGGTGTATAAAATCAAGCACGCAGCCCTTGATTTTGGAGATGTTCGACAAGCAGGTGTCCACATACTTATGTAGTATATAACCATCTATTCATTGATCCATCCATCCAGGTGGGTTTCTGCGGTCAGAGCCTGCATCTCAAGGCCTCCAGTGAGGAGAGCGTCCTCACCCTCTACACCCACAGGTAAAAGACAGAACCACGGTGCTTAACTCTTATCCTCTAAACAAATGAAAGGGTGCTTGGAGCCAACAGTGGATCAAGATCGATCGCCAATCAAACAATCAATTTTTTCCAGATACGCCAGCACTTGAATATAAGTAGATTGTAAAGTAGGTTATGTCTTCGTGTGGTTTACTAAGACATGTGTATATTTTAAACAAAGCTTCAGTTGCACCCTTTACCTCCAAACCCACAGCCAGACCCTCACCCAGGCCCTCACCCACACCTTGCTTGGTGTCCTCTGTCCCGGGGACCAGCGAGTGTCACAACACCCCCTCCTGGTGGAGGACCTGATGGTTCTGTCTCTGGACTGGAAGGCCCAGGCACCTGACCTGCTGCTGAATGCTGAACTCAGGCTGTCTGGCCAGTTCCACCAGACCCTAGCTGACCTGGTCTACCTCGTTCACGGCAACATGAACAGGTATAGTAGTCGTATTAATATAGTAGTATTATTGTAGTAGTGGTGGTGGTCTCAGGCTGTCTGGCCAGTTACACAACACTAGCTGACCTGGTCTACCTCCTACACAGCAACATGGACAGGTAGTAGTATTTCTTGGTCTTGAAAGGATAGCTCAAATATTATAGCTCTATATTTATTTTATTCAGTGTCTGTATTTCAGGGAAAGCAAGTCAGTGGGCAGATAAGAGGTAAAGAGATATAAAAGGGATTGTATTATCCAGTTTAGAAGATAAAATAATGAGTAGAACATAGGATAAACTAAAATGTTTTAGTCTTTTCAGAGAGAAGCCTCATCTAGGAGAGGTCAGGCTGCTGCTTTACACCAGCGTTGGTGTGACAACGACCCCTGACCCCAGACCTGACCCCTCGGCCCAGCTCCTCCTCACTGACACACACCTGGGACTGGTGCAGGTACATTAACTTTGTCAAATACATTTATTAATAAATTAATACATTCATTCATTTATGTAGGATGATGCCATGCGCAAAGCACTCACTCACTCACTCATGTAGGAGGATGCAGTATTCCACTCCGCCCCGCGCCACGTCCCCCTGCTTTCCCGCAAGGCCCAGTTCAAGGGGGTGACCCTCCGTTGCCGCTCTGACGTCCGCTGTGTGATAGTCCGAGACGGGGTTGGGAGCTCGACCGGTGTGGGTGGAGATGGACCCGGGGATGAAGGTATTTCATTTGATTTATTTGACCATTTTTAAAAACACAATTCAACCACACATATGGATACAGTTTATTTAAATTCATCAACGATAACACAGAAAAGTTTAATAACTTATTTATGTTATGGTCTTAGGTGGGGCAACCAGGCTGGACATCATCCTGTCTCAGGACTGGAGGACCAGGGGAGAGAGGGGGGACAAGCCTAGAGGTCACCCTGAAAGAGGTGCTGTTGCTGGAGCTGATGGAAGTGAGGTAGGGGGGGTAGCTGGAGCTGGTGTCCCATCTGCTGGCTCTAATTCATGTCCTCCTCCGCAGCAGGCTGAAGTATGGAAATTACATTTCAGCTGCTCCTCCGAGGCCGCCTGTCTGATTAATCACTTGTCAAACGTCTGAATGGTCACTGATCAAGGACTAGAGGACTGGACATTCTGTAATGAACTATAGCTTAGACAGGACCGGTCAGAACTGGTACCTATCTCTCATCGAGAGGATGGCAAGGTGTGTTTGCTCACTGAGTGGCAGTCAAGGGTCCAGTGTATCTCAAACAAACAAGATGGAGAATATCGCTACCATTAAACTATTTAGGGCCAGTTTCCCGAACACAGACTAAGCCTAGTCATGGACTTAAAAGCAGGCTCAAAAGACAATCTCCTTATACCTTCTAGTCCATAGAGTATAGTAATATATTGATGATGTGTTTAAAGTTTTGGTGAATGTTTCCATGCACATATTTCTATGCAATTTCTAAATCAAATTTTCCACTTACTTTCACATTCATTTAAAGAGACTCAGCGACATGACGTAGATGCAGAAAGTAAACAGCATAGTGGGTCAATTTCCGCAACAACTAAGAGCGTTGAAGCGCGAGGCTCAACTTCTCCGCTGTCTTGGTGCCCTGGCTACCAGCAACCACATGCGCAGATACTGTGTGTGACAGAGAGGTCTTGCATCATTTCAATATCTGCGGGGCTGCTCGTGGACACATTATTTCGCTGAGTCTACCTTTAAGTCTTTCTGAAATATGCTATAATGTTTGTTTATTTGTTTGTGTCTCATCTTCCATGCCACACTGTGTGTTAGTGTTAGTCTGTTAATGCTGTTTTTGTTTACACTGTAGAGGGAACACAGGACACTTGATTGCACAGAATATAGGCCATTTTTATGGAAAAATGTGAAGGGCACAAATAATTGCAGGGTAAGCTTTTTAAGCATATTTGCACATTTGACCACACAACAGACCAGTGTTATACCTCAGATATTAAAATGTTTGGGTTTTATGGACATTTATTTTATGCCAAATAAAGTCATCGAGTAATTAATTATGTTTGTGGAATATTTGCCTGTCATAGTTTTAGACACGTGTGTAAAATATAAATGTGTTAAAATGATCATGTTTACAATGCTGCAGGTGGCAAGGCTGTTTTTGGTTTGTTTTTGTTTGTAAAGTAATAAAAGTAATACTAATCTCTTTGGTTTGTCAGTCAATTGTTTATAGTAGACTATCTTGTGTGAAGGATTGAAACTCTTCAGAATGTAGTTGAAGCTGCTCATCCTTAGAATTGTTTTTATTTCTCTCGCTCTCTGGCTGGCTCTCTGGCTGGCTCTCTGGCTGGCTCTCTGTCTCTCTGGCTCCATTATCTAATTTCCCTTTGTTTTCCTGTCTTTCACACATATTCTGTCTCATCTCGCTCTCCCCCCTCTGTCTCTTGCTCTCTCTCTCTCTCTCTCTCTGTGTGTGTGTGTGATAACTCTGTCAGTAACTTGCTTCCTCTTAATATTCCTCTTGTCCCTTAGGACCCAGCCTCGCCAGTCTGAAGGACCTAGGGTAAATCACTATTCTACTCGCACACACCTGTCAATGTGCCTGAGGTCAAGGTGAACCTCTTAACTGCTATTTCCCAGCTCCTACACCCAATACCCAATAGATTTTCCCTGGCCTTTCCAGTTAACATTGTGCTGCACCAATGTATAGGCCTTTTTGTACTGGATAAAAACTGATGACGATGTTGGTTTAACAGCTGATCATCATGTTCCATCTGAGAAAAATTTGAGGTCAAACTAATTTCGAAGCTGACGGGCTGATTGAGTACACAGGCACACGTACACTGAGGTCAGGACTGACTGTGCTCCCATACAGCCTGCTAAATTACAGGCCCAGCAGCAGCAGAGTGCAGTAACACCTCCTTTTGTTGTCTTTCTCCTGCTTTCTGCTCTCCTCTCTTTCTCCTCCTCTGCTCCTAGTCTGAAGGGGAGAACAGGGTGTGTGCGTAGGGCCAGGAGTTTTTTGAGGCACTGCTTTTACCGGTATTTCCAGCAATGTCCACTAGTTTTGCTGCAGGTAGGAAATCCTAGGAAATGTTCTGTAATTGACACAATCAATGTCTGGTTGTGCGTGAACTAAACGACTATCGCCCCGTAGCACTCACCTCTGTCATCATGAAGTGCTTTGAGAGAGTAGTCAAGGATCATATCACCTCTACCTTACCTGCCACCCTAGACCCACTTCAATTTGCTTACCGCCCCAATAGATCCACAGACGATGCAATCGCCATCACTCTGCACACTGCCCTATCCCATCTGGACAAGAGGAATACCTATGTAAGAGTGCTGTTCATTGCCCTCCCAGGACACATTCAGCATTCAACACCATAGTACCCTCCAAGCTCATCATTAAGCTCGAGGCCCTGGGTCTGAACCCCGCCCTGTGCAACTGGGTCCTGGACTTCCTGACGGGCCGCCCCCAGGTGGTGAAGGTAGGAAACAACACCTCTACTTCGCTGATCCTCAACACTGGGGCCCCACAAGGGTGCGTGCTCAGCCCACTCCTGTACTCCCAGTTCACCCATGAGTGCGTAGCCATGCACGCCTCCAACTCAATCATCAAGTTTGTAGGCGACATAACAGTAGTAGGCTTGATTACCAACAATGACGAGACAGCCTACAGGGAGGTGGTGAGGGCTCTGGGAGTGTGGTGCCAGGAAAATAACCTCTCACTCAACATCAACAAAACAAAGGAGATGATCGTGGACTTCAGGAAACAGCAGAGGGTGCACCCCCCTATCCACATCGACGGGACCGCAGTGGAGAAGGTGGAAAGCTTCAAGTTACTTGGTGTACACATCACTGACAAACTGAAATGGACCACCCACACAGACAGTGTGATGAAGAAGGCGCAACAGAGCCTCTTCAACCTCAGGAGGCTGAAGGAATTAGGCTCTGCACCTAAAACCCTCACACTTTTACAGATGCACAATTGAGAGCATTCGGTCGGGCTGTATCACCGCCTGGTACAGCAACTGCACCGCCCGCAACCGCAAGGCTCTCCAGAGAGTGGTGCGGTCTGCCCAACGCATTACCGGGGGCAAACTACCCGCCCTCCAGGACACCTACAGCACCCGATGTCACAGGAAGGCCAAAAAGCTCATCAAGGACATCAACCACCCGAGCCACTGCCTGTTCACCCCGCTATCATCCAGAAGGTGAGGTCAGTACAGGTGCATCAAGGCTGGGACCGAGGGACTGAAAAACAGCTTCTATCTCAAGGCCATCAGAGACTGTTAAATAGCCATCACTAGCACATTAGAGGCTGCTGCCTATAGACAGACTAGAAATCACTGGCCACAATAATGTTTACATATCTTGCATTACTCTTCTCATGTCTATGTACTGTATTCTATACTATTCTACTGTATCTTAGTCCATGCCGCTCTGACATTGCTCGTCCATATATGTATATATTCTTAATTCCTTCCTTCCTTATATTTGTGTGTATTGGGTATATGTTGTGAAATTGTTAGATATTACTGCACTGTCGGAGCTAGAACCACAAGCATTTCGCTACACCCGCAATAACATCTGCTAAACACGTGTATGTGACCAATACAATTTGATTTGATTTGTGTGTGTTTGGCAGGGGGATTGCCTAAGGCAGGGGAGGCGTAGCTCTGCAACTCAATCGCACAAAGCCTATTTGGCAGGGAATACTATTAAATGGTAGATCAGTGATTTTACACCTCACTTTGTTCAAGCTGATCCACTCCAACAGACTCGGAAGTTGTGGCTAAAAATGTGTCAATTAGGAGCAGTTAAAGGGGAGAGTCGATTAAACCAACCATGTTTTTGCGAATTCGTGGGTAGTCCTGACCGGGACTCAAACCCGGGTCCAGCAACCGTTAAGCCAACACCTTAACCATTACACCAAGAGATCCGAACCTCTTGGCCTACACCTTAACCGTTACGCCAAGAGTCCAAGCCTCTTCGCGTACGGTTAAGGTGTTGACTTGACAGTCGCTGGATCCGGGTTCGAGTCCCGGTCGGGAGTTACCCCCAAATTCGTCACCCCTTTAACTTTTCCTAAATTACCCCTTTTAAGCTACAACTTCCGAGTCCATTAGAGTGGATCAGCTTGAACAAAGAGAGATGTAGAATCACTGATCTTCAAATAGTATACCCTGCCAAATAATAGGCTTTGTGCAATTTAAGATTCGCAGAGCTACACCTCCCTGGCTTAGGCAATCCTCCCACAAAACACACACTCACCACCAGACATGGATTGATTGATTGATTAGAGACAGTCAACTAAATAACATTTCCTAGTATTTTCTAACTGCAGAAAACCTAGTGGAAATAACGGTAAAGCAAAGTGCCCCAAAACCCCTGGCCCTATCTATACAGAATAGTGCACTACTTTTTGTCAAAGGTCATGCACTATGTAGGGCAGCGTTTCCCAAGCTCTGTCCTCGGGGCCCCAAGGGGTGCACGTTTTGGTTTTTGCCCTAACACCACACAGCTGATTCTAATTATCAAAGCTTGAAGATTAGTTGATCATTTGAATCAGCTGTGTAGTGCTAGGGCAAAAACCAAAACGTGCACCCCTTGTGGTCCCGAGGAACGAGTTTGGGAAACCCTGATGTAGGGAATAGGGTGCAATTTGGGGGACACACCCTGTTCTCCCCTTCAGATTAGACCAGGCTGTGAATGTACCCGAGACATATCACACCTCTTTACAGGTCTCAGTTTTACACCGGCTGAAAGCCTCCGGAGAAGAAGGCTCTTCCTCTCCTTCCTCTTCCACTCCTTTCTCTTCCTCTCCTTTCTCTCCTTATTTCCTCTTCCTCTCCTTCCTCTCCTCGCCTTCCTCTCCTTCTGCTCCTCTCTTCCTCTCCTTCCTCTTCCTCTCCTTCTGCTCCTCTCTTCCGCTCCTCCCTTCCTCTTCCTCTCCTTCCTCTTCCTCTCCTTCCTCCCTCTCCTTCCTCTTCCCCTACTCTCTTTCTCTCCTTCCTCTCCTTCCTTTCCTTTCTCTTCTTCCTCTCCTTTCTCTCTTTCCTCTCTTTCCTCTTCCTCTCCTTCCGCTCCTCTCCTTCCTCTCCTTTCTCTTCCTCTCCTTTCTCTCCTTCCTCTTCCTCTCCTCTCCTTCCTTTCCTCTCCTTCCTCTTCCTCTTCCTCTCCTTGCTCTCTCCTCTCCTTCCTCTCCTCCCTTCCTCTCCTCTCTTTCTCTCCTGAGACCTCAGACATTTCATTAGCGCACTCGAGGCATCCGTCCGTCCTTCATCGTCCTCATCCCTCTTTTGTATCGAACACCAAAGAAGAAAAAAGAAATCATAACCTAATGTTGCATATTAAAATGTAGCTGCATGCTCCAACAACGTGCTGGGGAAAGATTAGAATTATGGTTTAATTTTCTTCGCCATCGGCTCATTTCTAAATTCCGAAGCTATATTGGAGGGAGGCTAATGTATTGCAAATATTTGTACAGGTCCTGAAAGGAGTTGTTATTATACTGTAGATGAGAGCGGAGACTCTGTCCTCTAGTAGATAAGCCTATAAAGTGGAGTCTGTAATTGAAAACACAGCGTAACTTCATTCCGTTCTGAATTAGACTTCACCTCACCTCACACACACTTTATGAAGGGCCATATAACAAACCAGGATAGATTTCTGATTGAAAAAGAATCATTGATCATTCTCTCTCCCATCTATGTCCCAAATGGTACCCTATTCCCAATCTAGTGCACTACTGCCCTATGACCCTTGATCAAAAGTAGTGCATTACATAGGAAATAGGGTGCCATTTGGCACACATAGCATCTCTTAGTAGAGAGGCAGTGAGATGAGGGAGAGAAGAACTAAAAGCAGTCACCCTAACGTTTCATCTTCAATAACCCCTCTTGTGTTCTCTTCTGCCATATCAACCAAAGACACCTTCAAAGTTTTCTTTGTAACTCTGCTGCTTTGAACATTCATGGACGAAAAAAAGATATGTCTGAGTAGAAATGTGTCTAATCTTGAAGTGTTGTCATCTTGGTATCTCTCTCAAAAGAAAATAAATGGAGTAGTTTCTGTATCATAATGCACTGTATCAATCATATCATCGCTAATGACACTGACGGAAACTTCTACCGGACCGAAAGTTTAAATGTGTTGTAGGCTGAATATCCTTGCCCAGCCTGGTCAACGCCAAGGTTGGTGCCAACGGGTCATTGCTCTAGCCTACAGAAAATGTCATCTTGGTTGTCAAAAAGTTATAAGATAAAGGATTCACACGGGGGTATAAATTACTATGCAGGTAGAAATAGCCTATAGGCCACGTGTCAAATACAAGGCCCATGGGCCGAATTCGGCCCATGCAATGGTTTGGGTTGTCAATTCATTTAAGCCCGCTTCCATATAGGCCGCGACACATTTTTTTTGTTGTCAAAAATCTTGTTTGTCAAAAAGTTATACGATAAAGGATTCACACCCAGGTATAAATGACTACTAAAGGACAATAGGACACACAAGCTAGTATAAATGAGTCAAAAGTTGAGTCATCTACTTTATGAAAGTACAGTCTGATGGCTCACATTGGTGAATTCAACATCAATTGCGCTGCTTTTGTGTGTCCCATTTAACGCGCGCAGCAGAGGGAAAGTGTCCAGACACATGCCACAGTCCTACCTAGGCTACTAAAATTGTACAGTCTGGCTTAGTTTTTTAAAGCTTGATAATTTAGGCCTATTAACCAAAAAACCAAACCTGCAGCAAAACACCATGCAAAGGAGAAACATATAGACATAGCCACAGGAAGTAGTGTGGGGGTGCTGCGATTTGTTTGCGGGGGGGGCATTTGTAGCTTGAGTCTGATACTACTTGTGGAATATAAAAATACTTGCTTGATATATGTTTTACAGTTTCTTGAAATACTTTGCAAATCAACTTATTTCTATGTGAAAACTGAAATGGTCTATTCATTCCTTTATCATTTTACTAGACACTCCAGATCAACTTACAGTAGTGAGTGCATACATTTTCACATTGGTCCCCCATGGGAATCGAACCCACAACTCTAGCATTGCAAGTGCCATGCTCTACCAACTGAGCCACATCATCACAAACCGCTTGATGTCTCAATGTACTCTATTACTGTATTGTGCATTGTTTTTCTTCATGGTGATGGAAAGTAATAGACTTGGTAATCAACCTTCCCAGTCCCCACATTATAATTGGAAGAAGTGTAAACTCTAACATAGAATAATAGCATTTCACTGCACCTGCAATAACATTTTCAAATATGTGTATGCGACCAATATTATTTTATTTTATTTTTTAACTACAACGGTAACTCCAAACACATGTTCTCTAATAGCAGCTGTTTAGCTGGTTAAACAAAGGTTACAATGAATGTCCAAGTAAAGAAAGCTTGCCAGCAGCCAGCGGCACTTGCCGTGACTGGTACTCACGGGTGCTTTTTAAAAAACATATGTCCGATACTTCAGTGCATAGCCGCGGGAAGTAGTTTGGGGCGGGGGGACGGGGGGGGGGGTTATGCCCGTGCTGAAGACATCTATATTGGTCCGCTAATACAGGACTAGTAAAGGCCCAGTGCACTACTTTAGTGAACAATTTTAACTAAATGTATTTGAGTATTTACCAGCATTTGTAACTTGAGTCTGATAATTATCTGTACAAAACAGTTAATCTGATACTTGTTTGATATACAGTATATTTTCCAGTTTCTTTAAATACTTTGCAAATGCAACTTATTTCTGTGTGAAAACTGAAATGGTCTATTAATTCATTTTCAGTAGACACTCTTATCCAGAGCAACATTTTCATACTGGTCCCCCATGGGAATTGAACCCACAACCCTAGCATTGCAAGCGCCATGCTTTACCAACCTCGACTAACCGTACCTCTTGTATATAGCCTCCCTACTGTTATTTTATTTTATTGCTGCTCTTTAATTATTAGCTATTTTTATTTTGTACTTATCAATTTTTTACTTAACACTTTTTTTATTTGCTTAAAACTGCATTGTTGGTTAAGGGCATGTAAGTAAGCATTTCACTGTAAGGTGAATACCTGTTGTATTCGGCGCATGTGGCAAATACAATTTGATTCGATTTGAGCCGCATCATCACATCGCAAACCACTTGATGTCTCAATTTATTAAAATAATTACTGTATTGTGTATTGTTTTTCTTCATGGTGAAGGAAAGTCCACAGGTACAAATCTAGATGACCAGCCTAAGTACAATACAGTACTGTACATTTACATTAAGTGGTGTGTGTAAGGATGGTAAATTAATACTGCACAAAAAGTGATTGTTTTCCATATTATTTGATCAAGAAAAATATTTAATTTGACGTGGATGTTTCGTGTCTGCCCATGACCCACCTTTTGATGTAAATGTTAGAGGACAGGGTTTGGTTCTTTCTGGATTCCATTAAAATGACAATCGCATAGAAGGGGACAGGGCAACAACTCTTACAATTCCAACTATTGAATCCTGCAAGATACTGTTCTTAATTATAAACTGGGTGGATCGAGCCCTGAATGCCGATTGGCTGGAAGCCGTGGTATATGAGACCATATAGCACGGGTATGACAAAACATGTATTTTTACTGTTCTAATGACGGTTGTAACCAGTTTATAATCGCAATAAGGCACATTGAGGGTTTGTGGTATATGGCCGATATACCACAGCTATGGGCTGTATCCAGGCACTCCGCATTGCGTCTTGCGTAAGAACAGCCTTTAGCCGTGTTATATTGGCCATATACCACACCCCCGCGTGCCTTATTGCTTAATTATCCAACTACTTTTTTGCCAAAGTGGAGATGCTGACATTATTTTTTTTGCCTACGCTACAGACGTCTATATCGGTCCGATAGTAAAGGCAACTATTTTCACTACTTTTGCAGCACCTGCAGTACCCCTATTTCTCGCTGCTATGCATGTAGGCCTCTTACAGCAACATTTGAGCAGTAGCCTAGGCTGGCTACTCAATCTACAAGACATTATGAGTGCCCCATACAGCAATGCTGCGTTCAACCACAACGGCGATCCATGCAGTGCAAAAAAAATGAAAAACATGTTTTAAGGTTAAATGTAAAGCTACAACAACCTAGCTACGTTTTTGTTATTCAGGGTTATTAAATACTTTTTGATTAGGCTTGCAGCATATTATGCACATCTGCAAGCATAGCAGCAAAGGCTGGACAAATATTATTTATCTCTTTTGTTTTAATATGTTAAAAATGCTATATACAGCATCCTATGTACATATGTGGACATTATAAAGGAACATATTGTTTCAAATAAAACAATGGCCAGTTTGGGTCTGTAAAAACAAACATAATAGTCGATGTCTGGCCCTAGAATTCATTGTTTTTTTTCTCAATATGGCTCTTGGCTGATTGAGTTTGACACCCCTGCTGTAGGCCTACAACAAGTTAGTATAAGCTTCCATTCCTCCCATCTTTCATTTAATTGGACCCAAGTCACAGTAGTAAATAGATAAGCTATTTCAAGTATTTTGTTCTAGGCTATGAATCCGAAAGGGAGTGCGGCTTATAACATAAAGTAGAATTTAACAGGTGAACAGACCGTTTACATTTTGCATGGAAGTGCGTACTGTCAGTAGGCCAACTGTATTGTATTTTTTCAGAGTAGACAATGTTTCAGAATTCGCGGGCAGTGCAGCATATTTAGGTTGGGGAAAAAAATAAATGCAAAACATTATTGAATTCAAACGATCTGTTTACAGGTCCACAACAATTTGCAAATTGTTTTTGTCTTTCAGAAACATGGTCAAATAGAGAAAAATGGCACTGCAACAGAAAACATTCTGCCAACACCTCCAAAGACATTTGATCAAGTTCGCAATTGCTATTTCTTTTACTCTCTTGGCCTGATTCCAATACTTCCAAAGTATATAGCAAATAAGGGCGTATTGTCACCATAAAATGTGAATTATGGGCGTTTTTCAGGCGGCCTTATAATGCTTGTTCACACGCACTTTTGTTTTACGACAGGTCTGATTTATAATGGGAAACATGCTTATGTATGGTGTGCGCCAAGTTGATAAATCTCAATATTTTTGTATGTGCGCATACAGATATTTAGTGTGAAATGTATGCCACAGTTATGAGGCCCCAGGGCTTATTGTGGGAGCAACTTATAATTTACCTGTTGGAAAACGTCAGTGTTAGTTCCCTTTACCCTGTCCCCCCTGCATGTTTGACTGTGTGTCATTAGCTTCTGTGGTCACACTTTAAACAAACTATAACTTTGAAAGCTTAATGAAGCCTTCATAAATGCTTGAGATCATTCATAAGAACAGGTCATGTTTTACATAGGATGGCAAGCATGTTAGGTCACATTCTGTTTCTGTAATAGATGGCATCCTGTCTCTTGCCACCTTGTCTTCGCTATGTTTTCCTGTCCCCAGGCTTCTGTCTCACTGTCCCCTGTCCCCTTTTTGCATGACCTACAGTGGGGAAAAAAAGTATTTAGTCAACCACCAATTGTGCAAGTTCTCCCACTTAAAAAGATGAGAGAGGCCTGTAATTTTCATCATAGGTACACGTCAACTATGACAGACAAATAGAGAATTTTTTTTCCAGAAAATCACATTGTAGGACTTTGTTATAGACCCTTTGTTGGCAATGACACAGGTAAAAACATTTTTCTGTAAGTCTTCACAAGGTTTTCACACACTGTTGCTGGTATTTTGGCCCATTCCTCTATGCAGATCTCCTCTAGAGCCGTGATGTTTTGGGGCTGTCGCTGGGCAACACGGACTTTCAACTCCCTCCAAAGATTTTCTATGGGGTTGAGATCTGGAGACTGGCTAGGCCACTCCAGGACCTTGAAATGCTTCTGACAAAGCCACTCCTTCGCTGCCCGGGCGGTGTGTTTGGGATCATTGTCATGCTGAAAGACCCAGCCATGTTTCATCTTCAATGCCCTTGCTGATGGAAGGAGGTTTTCACTCAAAATCTCACGATACATGGCCCCATTCATTCTTTCCTTTACACGGATCAGTCGTCCTGGTCCCTTTGCAGAAAAACAGCCCCAAAGCATGATGTTTCCACCCCCATGCTTCACAGTAGGTATGGTGTTCTTTGGATGCAACTCAGCATTCTTTGTCCTCCAAACACGACGAGTTGAGTTTTTACCAAAAAGTTCTATTTTGGTTTCATCTGACCATATGACATTCTCCCAATCCTCTTCTGGATCATCCAAATGCACTCTAGCAAACTTCAGACAGGCCTGGACATGTACTGGCTTAAGCAGGGGGACACGTCTGACACTGCAGGATTTGAGTCCCTGGCGGCGTAGTGTGTTACTGATGGTAGGCTTTGTTACTTTGGTCCCAGCTCTCTGCAGGTCATTCACTAGGTCCCCCTGTGTGGTTCTGGGATTTTTGCTCACCGTTCTTGTGATCATTTTGACCCCACGGGGTGAGATCTTGCGTGGAGCCCCTGATCGAGGGAGATTGTCAGTGGTCTTGTATGTCGTCCATTTCCTAATTAATGCTCCCACAGTTAATTTCTTCAAACCAAGCTGCTTACCTATTGCAGATTCAGTCTTCCCAGCCTGGTGCAGGTCTACAATTTTGTTTCTGGTGTCCTTTGACAGCTCTTTGGTCTTGGCCATAGTGGAGTTTGGAGTGTGACTGTTTGAGGTTGTGGACAGGTGTCTTTTATACTGATAACAAGTTCAAACAGGTGCCATTAATACAGGTAACGAGTGGAGGACAGAGGAGCCTCTTAAAGAAGAAGTTACAGGTCTGTGAGAGCCAGAAATCTTGCTTGTTTGTAGGTGACCAAATACTTATTTTCCACCATCATTTGCAAATAAATTCATAAAAAATCCTACAATGTGATTTTCTGGATTATTTTTTCTAAATTTGTCTGTCATAGTTGACGTGTACCTATGATGAAAATTATCTCATATTTTTAAGTGGGAGAACTTGCACAATTGGTGGCTGACTAAATACTTCCCCCCCCACTGTATAAAGCCCTTTTTACATCAGCAGATGTCACAAAGTGCTTAGACAGAAACCCAGCCTAAAACCCCAAAGAGCAAGCAATGCAGATGTATGTCCCCTGTCCCCATGTCACCTCTTCCTCTGTGCCCTGTCCCCTTTTCCCCAGTCCTGTGCTCTGTTCCCATTACCCTATTCACCTGTCCTCCTGCCCCATGCCCCATTTTTCCTGTCCCTGTCCCCCTGTCCCACGTCCCCTGTCCCCTGTATGTGTTCAGTTTGTGTCATTATTCGTTTCTGTAATAGATGGCAGAGCCGAACGGGCTACAGTCAGGGTTTAGGTTACCTCGCCCCCAGGCAACTTCGAGCGAGACTAGGGTTTAGGAGAGACTGGATGCATCCCAAATGGCATCCTATATAGGAGACACTGGATGCAGGCTCTGGTCAAAAGTAAAGCACTATAAAGGGGATAGGGTGCCATTTGGGACACAGACACTCACTCTTAGCATAGGCATCAGACATGGCGATATTCATAGGTCAGGCTCTGAATTCTAATGCTTACTGTTGTTGGGTTTCTCTGCCTGGCCTCCAGTATTAGTGTTCTGAATCTGAACACAGTTTGTTCACTCCACACTTTAGTCATAAACAAAGCTGTCAGTTCTCAGTGTGTTTAGCCTTACCTGTGAATGTAATGTCCTCTCAAGGATTTGTATTCTAATGCCATAGACTTGGACCACTCTAGTGCCCAAAAGCCTGTATTAGCATGGGCAGCGCCGTTGAGGACTTTCACCATTTTGAATTAGTCAACTGGGTGGGAATTCCTATGGGTTAAGGAAGGATCACATAATTGGCAATAAATCACCAACCTTGGATTTATACCTGTTCAAACAACACACTCCAGGTGGCAGTATTACATTTTACATTTTAGTCATTTAGCAGACGCTCTTATCCAGAGCGACTTACAGTTAGTGAGTGCATACATTTTCATACTATGCACCCTTAAAGTTTGTTTACCAACTCATAGAAGTAGTAGAAGAAGAAATTGACCTTTTAAAATGGAGATAGCCTCAATAGCACTGCCCATGTTGTCACAGATGCTAGATGGGGCAGATACAAAGATGAGAAGTCTAACTAAGTCTATGTCTAAAGCTCTGTATTGTTTGAGTTTATCTGTGCTCAGTATTCATACTCCTCACAGTTTGTTTACCTCTAAATGTAGTCATAAACAGAGCTGTCAGTCTTCAGTCAGATTTACGAGGTTGAGCTCCCCTGATCACTCTATCCTTAGAGGGCAGAATAAATTAACCAAATACAAATAATGCATAAAGGCTGTAGGGCTATTTCTGCTGATGCTCAATTAGTCAATAGATATCTAAAGGCTAAGTTCAGTAAGACATATACTGGAGAATATTAAAACTAGTTCAATTATCTACAGTATAATAGCTGTATTCTTTGTTCTGTTTTTCAGTGATGGGTAGTTCACGGTTCCCCTTTAACATAGAAGGAGCGTCCGAGTTGCACTGAACATGTGAGTGTCTGAGTCAATGTGTGTCAGGAGAAGACAAAGGGTTGAGGTGTGTTTGCTCTGCCGTGTTATCACATTTAGACTTGGTTCATTTGTGGCTTCCAAGGAATCGAACAAACTATCTTGGTGTTGCAAGCACAATTCTCTCTCTCTCTCCTCTCTCTCTCTCTCTCCTCTCTCCTCTCTCTCTCTCTTCTCTCTCTCTCTCTCTCTCTCTCTTCCTCTCTCCCCTCTCTCTCTCTCTCTCTCTCTCTCTCTCTCTCTCTCTCTCTCTCTCTCTCTCTCTCTCTCTCTCTCTGTGTGTGTGTGCACTCTTCTCTAATGAACCCAGTGTGAGCCAGCAGAGCAAGGTTTTATTCCGCCTTTCTGATGTAATGTAGTCTCTGAGGAGAACGTCACAATGGCACCCTGAATGTCACACCACCACCACATCCCTCTGAGCTCTGCTCATTTGTGTCTGTCTGTCCTCAGGCCAGATACATTTCAATGCCCTTTTTAGAAGGATGGTTTGTCACACAGTGTCATTTCTAAATTGGAATAAACTCTGAGTCCTCTCCAACCCCCTCCACCCCTCCTCGTTTTTCTGGACCTCTCATGAGTTGAATTAGCATTTGTAGGAACTGCGAGACATTTGCTACCATGGTTTGTGACGGATTTCACAGGCTCCATTTGACTGCTGCTGCCCTGGGGGGACGAAAGGGAGCAGGGCAGCATTGTCAGACCATCTGTTGATTCTCTGTGACTGGCTGGAGCTACTTAGCAGACTTAAAGGTCCAATGCAGCCATTTTTATCTCAATATCAAATCATTTCTGGGTAACAATTAAGTACCTTACTGTGATTGTTTTCAATTAAAATTGTCAAAAATAAACAAAAATAGCTTCTTAGCAAAGGGGAATTTCTCAAACAAGAACTTAGCTAGGACTGTCTGGGAGTGGTCTGAGTGGGGAGGAGAAAACAAAACGTGCTGTCATTGGCAGAGAGGTTTGGAACTCTTTCTTATTGGTCTATTAACTAATTTACCACATGATGTCACCAGGCAGGCCCAAAACTCCATCCCACCAAAACAGGCAGAAATTTCAGGCGGTCTTTTCAAACAGCTCTTACACTAAAAGAGCATTATCATATTTTTCACAATTTCACAGTATTATTCCAACCTCGTAGTGTGGAAAATATATAAAACAGGAAAATCACGTTTTTCATTCACTGAGCCTTTAAGAGGGGGAGAGAGAGTGTGTGCGTGAGAGAGAGTCCTTCAGAGACCTCTGCCATGTCTGCCAGTGCTCTCTGAAGCCCCAGCGACTGGCTCTGTGATGTCTGGGGATTGGAATGTGATATCACTACAAGGCTTTCTAGGCATCAGCAGACTGAAAATGTAATATTTACATTAGAAATTGTTTTGTAAGAAGAACTAAACTAGCCCGTTCTTTTCTGTATGCCCAGTGGTATTCATGCATTGAGGGTGTTTTGAATGGACTCTTAGTTTTACAGTGATTTACTGTAACGCCATTAGTTAGATAACATCTAAGAAAACGGTCCATTAAATGTCCATTACATTTTCATAGAAAGGACATTTTCTTTTGGCACTCAGGCTTGGATAGAAGCAGAGGACAATTGGATGGAATAATAGTGTTTACACATAGATAGACTGAAAGGGCACAGAGTGGTGGGGTGGAGGCTGGTGTATTAACATAACGATACATCCTTAAAAAGCATGGAGGCCAATTTACATCAGGGCTGGAAGGACAGAGCAGAGCAAGACAGTCTTCTGAGGCCTAAAGCACTTAGAATAATTAATGCTTTTCAACAGCCCATTTATTAAAGGAGAGAGTGGCCCTTAGACGTGTGGACATTCTGAATGTATAGGACATCTAAACAGCTATAAATGATTGTTCTGTATGATAATCCTTCTAGAATGAGCATATATGGGAACTCCTTCAAAACTGTTGGAAAAGCATTCCAGGTGAAGCTGGTTGAGAGAATGCTAAGAGTGTGCAAAGCTGTCATCAAGGCAAAGGGTGGCTACTTTGAAGAATCTCAAATATAAAATATATTTTGATTTGTTTGACACTTTTTTGGTTACTACATGATTCCGTATGTGTTATTTCATAGTTTTGATGTCTTCACTATTATTCTACAATGTAGAAAATAGTAAAAATAAAGAAAAACCCTGGAATGAGCAGGTGTGTCCAAACCTTTGACTGGTACTGTATGTTGTGTTAGTTATGAAAAGATTGTGGAAGTGGGTGAGAGAGACGTATGGGAGGTATTTGTATTTATTATGGATTCCCATTAGCTGCTGCCAAGGCAGAAGCTACTCTTCTTGGGGTCCAGCAAAATTAAGGCAGTTATACAAATTTAAAAACATTAAAATACATTCACAACAGATTTCATAACACATTAAGTGTGTGCCCTCAGGCCTCTACTCTACTACCACATATCTACAACACAAAATACATGTTATCGTGTGTTTGTATGCATGTGTCTGTACCTATGTTTGTGTTGCTTCACAGTCCCTGCTGTTCCATAAGGTGTATTTTTATCTGTTTTTTAAATCTGATTCTACTGCTTGCATCAGTTACCTGATGTGGAATAGAGTAGTCATGTAGTCATGGCTCTATGTATTACTATGCGCCTCCCATAGTCTGTTTTGGACTTGGGGACTGTGAAGAGACCTCTGGTGGCATGTCTTGTGGGGTATGCATGGGTGTCTGAGCTGTGTGCCAGTAGCTCAAACAGACAGCACAGTGCATTCAACACGTCAATACCTCTCACAAAAACAAGTAGTGATGAAGTCAATCTCTCCTCCACTTTTAACCAGGAGAGTTTGACATGATATTATTAATGTTAGCTCTCTGTGTACATCTAAGGGCCAGCCATGCTGCCCTGTTCTGAGCCAATTGGAATTTTCCTAAATCCCTCTTTGTGGCACCTGACCGCACGACTGAACAGTAGTCCAGGTGCGACAAAACTAGGGCCTGTAGGACCTGATAGTGTTGTTAAGAAGGCAGTGCTGTGCTTTATTATGGACAGACTTCTCCCATCTTAGCTACTGTTGTATCAATATGTTTTGATCATGACAGTTTACAATCCAGGGTTACTCCAAGCAGTTTAGTCACCTCAACTTGCTTAATTTCCACATTATTCATTACAAGATTTAGTTGAGGTTTAGTGAATGATTTGTCCAAAATACAATACAATGCTTTTCGTTTCGTTTCGTTAGTAAAGCTTGTAAGGGGCCTAGACAGCTGCCCTGTGGAATTCCGATTCTACCTTGATTACGTTGGATAGGCTTCCATTAAAGAACACCCTCTGTGTTATGTTAGACAGGTAACTCTTTATCCACAATATAGCAGGGGGTGTAAAGCCATAACACATACGTTTTTCCAGCAGCAGACTATGATCGATAATGTCAAAAGCCGCGCTGAAGTCTAACAAAACAGCCCCCACAATATTTTTATCATCAATTTCTCTCAGCAAATCATCAGTCATTTGTGTAAGTGCTGTGCTTGTTGAATGTCCTTCAATATAAGCAAGCTGAAAGTCTGTTGTCAATTTGTTTACTGTAAAATAGCATTGTATCTGGTCAAACACATTTCTTTCCAAAAGTTTACTAAGGGTTGGTAACAGGCTGATTGATCAGCTATTTGAACCAGTAAAGGGGGCTTTACTATTTTTAGGTAGGGGAATTATTTTTGCTTCCCTCCAGTCCTGAGGGCACACACTTTCTAGTAGGCTTAAATTGAAGATATGGCAAATAGGAGTGGCATTATCGTCCACTATTATCCTCAATAATTTTCCATCCAAGTTGTCAGACCCCGGTGGCTTGTCATTGTTGATAGACAACAATACTTTTTTCACCTCTTCCACACTCACTTTACGGAATTCAAAATTACAGTGCTTGTCTTTCATAATTTGGTCAGATATACTTGGATGTGTAGTGTCAGTGTTTTTGCTGGCATGTCATGCCTAAATTTGCTAATCTTGCCAATGAAAAAATAATTAAAGTAGTTTGCAATATCAGTGGGTTTTGTGATTAATGAACCATCGGATTCAATGAATGATGGAGCGAAGTTTGCCTTTTTGCCCAAAATTCCATTGAAGATGCTCCAAAGCTTTTTACTGTCATTCTTTATGTCATTTTTCTTTGTTTCATTGTGTATTTTCTTCATCTTTTTCTTCAGTTTAGTCACGATTTCTCAATTTGCAGTACGTTTGCCAATCGGTTGTACAGCCTGACCTATTTGCCATTTTCTTTGCCTCATCCCTCTCAACCATACCATTTTTAAATTCCTCATCAATCCACGAAGATTGAACAGTTTTTACAGTCATTTTCTTAATGGGTGCATGCTTATTAGTAACTGGAATAAGCTATTTCATAAATGTGTCAAGTGCAGCGTCTTGTTGCTTCTCATTACACATCACGGACCAACAAATATTCATATATCAACAACATAGGAATCACTACAAAACGTATTGTATGACCTCTTATACAGTGAGGGAAAAAAGCATTTGATCCCCTGCTGATTTTGTACATTTGCCCACTGACAAAGACATGATCAGTCTATAATTTTAATGGTAGGTTTATTTGAACAGTGAGAGACAGAATAACAACAAAAACATCCAGAGAAACGCATGTCAAATATTTTATAAATGTATTTGCATTTTAATGAGGGAAATAAGTATTTGACCCCTCTGCAAAACATGACTTAGTACTTGGTGGCAAAACAGGTTTGCACACATCTCAGGAGGGATTTTGTCCCACTCTTCTTTTTTTTTTCTTCTTCTTTTTTTTCTGGGGGTAGATCAGCTTATATTGCAGATAGATTGTAACTTCTATCAATGTAACTGTCTGCATCACTTCCAATCCCCCATGTTTTTTATATATACAGTGGGGGAAAAAAGTATTTATTCAGCCCCCAATAGTGCATGTTCTCCCACTTAAAAAGATGAGAGAGGCCTGTAATTTTCATCATATTACAGGCCTCTCTCTATTACAGGCCTTGTCATCAACTATGATGACAAAATCCAGAAAATCCCATTGTAGGATTTTTAATGAATTTATTTGCAAATTATGGTGGAAAATAAGTATTTGGTCAATAACAAAAGTTTCTCAATACTTTGTTATATACCCTTTGTTGGCAATGACACAGGTCAAACGTTTTCTGTAAGTCTTCACAAGGTTTTCACACACTGTTGCTGGTATTTTGGCCCATTCCTCCATGCAGATCTCCTCTAGAGCAGTGATGTTTTGGGGCTGTCGCTGGGCAACACGGACTTTCAACTCCCTCCAAAGATTTTCTATGGGGTTGAGATCTGGAGACTGGCTAGGCCACTCCAGGACCTTGAAATGCTTCTTACGAAGCCACTCCTTCGTTGCCCGGGCGGTGTGTTTGGGATCATTGTCATGCTGA